AAGCAAATAAAATGGACGTGTCATCTTAAAACTAATTATGTTTATTTATATTTTTTTATTTTTTCTTTAAATGAAATAACTTTTAAATGTGTAGCTTCCCACTCAATCTTATATACGAATATTAGCGAAAACTTCAGCAACTATATATTTTTATATTATTTACATATATACAGCCTAGCGACCTCGTGGGGTCACTGGATCCCTAATTGGGTCCAATGACCCCAACGTGGGTTCACTGTACCCCTGAAAGGGTATCAAACTGCGGAAGGGTAAACAAAAAACGCATCGAACCCGTACTAAGTTTACAAATATTTATATAGTACCACCTAAACTCACTTCAATAATTATTTATACAAAATAATAATAATAGAAAAAAGGAAATCTAAATTTCGCACACACTTAATAACATTTATTTAAAACTTTTAGACATCTCTAGCTTTATCTTTTAAAAAAAAAACTATTTTTAATCTACACCGTTCTATATTACAATTTAGTACAAGTCGAGGAAATATATAAAAAAAAAATGATACCAAGATCAATCAGGCGGAGAAGACATTCGAAATTAAAGATCTCGGCGAGATTAAAGAGCTTCAGACGATCTACCAACCCCACATTACCAGCTGGTGACACCAAGCATATAATTTAAAGTTGGGCAACAGTCTGGAGGTACCATAACTACAGCATATGTGAACATTGCCTTTTTATTAAGGAAACAGTTTTACTTACGGGTTTTGGACTAGACATCCTTGAAATACACACATAAGAAAAACCATAAAAATGAGTCAACTAACAAATTCATCAATACAGAGCCAGACCAATACAGAATGGTATAAGGTTGGGGCTAAAAACTTGAAATATTGGCAGCTAATACTTTATTTATTGTAACTTCCTAGTAAGAAAGGATTTTTGGAAATTTCACCCCTTAGGGGTAACATGAGGGATGAACGGTTGTAAAGAAGTTCATCATTTTCAAAGTTAGGAACACGAAATAAGTAAAAAATCACGAGCGAAGCAAAAAATAACTAGTTTTAAATAAATATGACTACTGCTCACAATAATTTTAATTTCGACGAGGTTCAGCGAGGACACGTCTAGTTTTTTTAGATAAGTTATTATTATAACCGAGATATTTAAAATGTTTATGTTCGAGAATTAGTTTCCGTTCCGGATTAAGAATACAAACTGTCACCACCCCTATTTATCCAATGGATGTCGTAAGAGCCGACTAAGAGAGCTTACTCTGCAGGATAACAGCACTGCAATGAGAAGGAAAACTTGACACAAAACATACCAATACCAACCCATCTGGCCAGCGAGTTATAGTAGGCCAAAACCTCCTTTCTAATAAGAGGCATATGTCCAGCAGTGGACTATTAAAGGCTATTGATGATAATAAGTAGGTTATTATATATCAGTAAGGATTGTCTTTCAAGCGCCTAAATATATATTTCTGGATACCCTCACCGACCAAAAACACTTTTACGTTCGTGACCTTAAAAAAAAACCTAATCTTTTTTTTTTAAGACAACTCCCGCATTAGGAATACATACTCCCCGGATACAATACATCCCGGGACTTTACAAACATTCATGAAACGGACACAAAGAACACCCAGCCTCAGAAAAACAATTTGTGGATCACACAAAGTGTCTTCAACACACTCAGCGCAATAGTAAGTTAATTTTTTAAAGTTTTAGGGGGCAAACGAGCAGACGGGGCACCTGATGGTAAGTGACCACCGCCGCCCATAAACACCTGCAACACCACGGGAGGGTTTGGGCTCAGGCGACACTGATGAAAACCAACGGAAGAATTGTTTAACGCCATTCAAATTAAGAACCAAATAATTTCCTCGACTGTACATATCCTAAGTATTTTTCTTAACTCAGTACATTTCTACTTATATACAAGATTCTTCGCACCTTCGGCAGGTCATGCGCAGAGTTTAATGTATAATAAAGATATTACGGCCTACAGATAAACACTCGCTCGTAAGTTATTTCCCTATACACAAGGTAACGCAGTCTTTTTACATTGTATTGCTAACTAACCAACTGTCCCGTCTTCATTTCTGTATAAACAAAAGTTTCATGATAATTTGTTAAGTAGTTAAGGCGTTAGGGAGTGACAAACAAACTTATTATCGCGTTTATAATATTACTTAGGACCTGTATACGCTTAATCATTTTATATATATATGCTCGACGTCTCAAAATGGCTGCCGATAGGGCCAGGTCATCTTTATTATATTACCAATGTTTCTAGAGAGCTGACCGGCTCCTTATGTTACAAGCGTGATGTTAAATAGCCCATAACGCTCCTTAAGAATTGGGCTATCAAGAACAAAAATAATTATTCAAATCTGTGTTAGTTTATGAGATAAGCGCATAAATATAAACAAAAAAACTATCACAGTCAGTTATTCATATTAATCTATATTATAATAACAATAATATAATCAAGTTCACAGTTAGTTTGTTTTAATTCATAAATCTTTGAAACTGTCACTTAGATTGGAATAAATCTTTTTGTATTAAATAGAGAATGCATAGACAAAAAACGATTACATTCCCATTAAGGGTCGGCATCAGGCCATAAAAGGAAAAACTAATACCGTTTAGCAATGAAATAAAAGAGTGCGTGAAAGAGGATGATGGAGAGATCAGGAAGAATGGAAGATAAAAACTTATTCCACCGACATGACATATATTTGGGAAAATGGTAAGATGACGAAGGATGCATCTAGGAAGGTAACTGGCTGTCTAACATCACGCTACGTCACTAACGAGTGGAGCAGAAAACGGCATGTTTAAATTAAATGGTTTTAACTCATTAAGGTTATGAAAAAACCCTATGGGCAGTCAAGTTTGTGGGATGTTTTGGGGACAAAAACCTTTAGACTTTAATATGGGTTCTTAATTTGATAAAACTATTCAAATCGACCTCCATTTTGACATTTGTTGAACAGATATGTTTGACTACCCTCATAAAACTTAAAATTTGTACAGGGTGTTAGGAGAATAATAATTAATAAATATTATAGAGTATAAAAAGGTTTTTTTTTCTACATCAGGATCCCTTTTTTTTTTACTGATCCATCATCAAAGTTATCATTGGTACATTTTTTTTGTTTTCGTTTTCGGTAGCGTTCTCTAACACCCTGTACACCAAGATTAAAACTTTATCATGCCATAATCTATGTAATTAATTACTGCGGGAATTAACACGATCAATAAATATTGAATATCTTTAAATTGGCTGTAGTTTCGATTAGGTTGAACCAGCAGTGGTCAAAAACAGACTCAACACAGTGACTATGGGTTGTGCAAAACGGTCAAAACATCAGACAATTTTTGACGCTTCCACCCGATTGTACTAGCAGTAGTCATAGGCAGATTCCTCACAGTGATCATGACCAGTGTAAATTGGTCAAAACGTCAGATAATTTAATGGTTCATAACACATATTAATCACATTAACTCCCGAAATAACGAAATATATACACAAAAATTCCAGTATTTGCGAATCAACTTTGTGTTTGGTTTAATGGGTCATATCAGCCTCCCTTGTTCACAAACAAACAATAATAGTGACATTTTGAGAACATACATAACTCCATACATTCTGTACATATGCAAATTGGTGTTCATAGTGTTTTTAAGGCTTTTTTCTTTACACCCCATTTGTTGATATACAAGAAGCCGATTTAACATTACGGTAAACAAGCTTTCGCCCGCGTCTCCGCCCGCGTTTATGTCGGTTATTATATTCGCGGTAAATAGTAGCATATGTCCAAACTGTCTCCATGCCAAATTTAATTTAAATACGTCCCGTGTTTACTGATTCCCCATACAAACTTCCACCTCCCTTTTTACCCCCTTAAAGAATAATTTCTGGGTTAAAAACTATTCTATGTCTTGTCCCGGGATTCAAGCTATCTCTATTTAAAATTACATCTAAATCGGTTCAGCGGTTAAAGCGTGAAGAGGTAACAGACAGACACACTTTCGCTTTATGTTACTGTGAATTAAAACCAATTATTATTATCGCAGCCGATATTTAAAGTTATTTAACTCAGTACCTTCAATTATATACCTGCCACACGCAGCCCTATGTCAAAGAAAATGCCTATGGCATCAAGTCCAGCTTATTTAATGTATTTGCAAGAAATATTAATAAATATTAAATGTTAATTACAGGCGGATTAGTTGTCAGTGTGGTGACGGATCAAGAATACGGAGTGGGTGTCGTAAGAGTCGACTAATGGAACAAACTACGCAGGACAACAGCACTGCAGAGAGAAGGAAAACTTGACACAAACCCTATACCAACCCGTCTGGCCAGCGTGATATAGTAGGCCAAAACCTCCTTTCTAAGGAGAGGCCTATGTCCAGCAGTGGACTAGTAAAGGCTGTTGATGATGACGATGAGTAGGTTTCAAACTTATTCCTAAAACGCAACTTACCCGACCTCGTTAAGGCTGCTAGCGTAATATTAATAGATTTAGTAACAAATGAACACTTACACCGATGCGGGTTAGTTATACACCATTGTGGACCAATTCAAGTCGGGCAGCAGACTACCATGTTACTCTTAGACAGGTTTTTTGTTTCCACTTAACGACAGGGTTTTGATAAAATTTAGTTATATATAAACATGTTGTAGATGGACAATCATTTTTTTGAATACAAATATTTTTCCTTTTTTTTTTTTAACAGTAATTAGAATTAAATCGGTTTACAGTCTCACCTGAAAACTTAATAAATAATAAACGCCGTGGATCACTTATACACCGACGCGGACCATTTATACACCGCCTCGAACAATCGCACTGCAGTCCACACCGTTAAATCAGCTTTTTGTATATCACACTGCCTCGTTTAGTTTCATTAAAATTAATAACATTTTCATTAAATCTTACAAACAAACGTTCTATACAATAATTAGCCCTAACAATATGTTTAACCGCTAAGTGTGGGTGTGTAGTCGGTCGGTGCGCGCTAGTCGTAGAGGTCCCGCTCGTGGTCGGGCGAGCGCGCGCGCGGGGCGAGGGGCGCGGGCGCGGGGGACGCGCCGCCGTAGTTCAGGAAGTCCCACACCAGGATCGTGTCGTCGTGCGACGAAGACACGATCTGGAACTCGTCGAACTGCAGCCGGAACACTCGCCCCGTGTGCTCCTGGAACCAGATCCTACCTTAGAATATACATCTACTGATATTTTGTCCGTCTAATGACGGATTAAGAATACGGAATGTCACTACGCCAATTCATCCCGTGGGTGTCGTAGAAGCCGACTAAGGGCTCAAAACAACGCAACCCCTATACCAATCCGTCTGGCCAGCGTGGTATAGTAGGCCAAAACCTCCTTTCTAAGGAGAGGCCTAGGTCTAGCAGTGGACTATTAAAGGCTGATGATGTGATGTGATTATCAAATCTCATTTGCTTAAAAAATATTTAACTTAAATTAGAATTGTTTTATGTTTCGTTCAAATCGTGCAAAGTTATCTTCTCTAATCACAGAACGTCAGTTATATCTGTCAAAATGCACTTCTTAAATTGTTTTGACTATATCTACTAGAAGCTCAGAATACTTCTCAAGCATTTACATGCTTCTGGAAGTAAACTACACCTGCTAAAATCAGAGGCGTAACTAAATAACCAAAGACCCTGGTGCAAAATAAAAAACTGAATTTTGAATGAAATCCGAACAGTACTTTTCATAAAATTAAACTAAAACTAAAAAAAAAGAAAAAAATCAAAGTTCAATATCTCTATCGGATCAATGTAGTTTTTAAAAAAATTTACGAGAACATAAACATATCAATATTTAATAATATGTCATTTTTTTATTTAAATTTTCAGCGGTAATCTCTGACCGGCAGTACTACGACGCTGGCTAAAATATTTACTCTCTTGAACTCCAGGATAACGATGGCAACTGCATAAGGCTTTTTATTGTATTGATGGTCAATACATGCCCACTTAAAGCCAAGTAGGTAAATATTTATTTTTATTTTTTTTAAAAGCCAAATCCCGCACTAGAAATATATTCTGTGTCGCGAGTAACATTACCAACATTCATGGAACGGACACAAAGAACACCCAGACTCAGAACAACAATTTGTAGATCACACAAAGTGTTGTCCCATGTGGGGATCAAACCCACAACACTGTGTAGTATGAATCTGCGAGGTGACCGCTTAACGCACTACGTCATCCGTGCAGTCTAAGGTACTGTTATTTTTCTACTACTGTTTAGTTCTGTTAGAACTGGGCCTCAATTCTGCTATTTTATGTTAATACCAAGTTACTGTCATTCCATTGACACGATATTGAGATGCCGCTGACATCGATCGAAATATCGATATTCCACTAACATAAATTCAGTGTTAATAGACTGTCGATATGGTAATATAGGTAATCAATGGTGATATCAACAACATTGCCATATCATGAAAATTAAATATATCATTTTCTTACAAATTTAAAATGTACCGTTTACCAAACTGTTACAAAGACATCGACGACATTTGTATCAGTGGCAAGTCATTGGGAGGTCATTTGTCTTACATAGATAGTAGAATAAGAAAATTGAAATGTTCCGACGACATTCCATTATCTATTGATACAATATTAAAATAGCAGAATTGAGGCCCTGTTCGGATGTAGAGTGGTAGGTAGAGGGCCCTAAGACCCCCAGTACTTACCACGAGTGTCCGTAGACAGAGGTCCTGGTGCGGAGTGCGCACGTCGAGCGCGGCGGGGAGGTCCCACACTTTGATCTTGCCGTCGTACGCACCGCTCACTATTCTCTTGTTGTCAAACCTGATGTAACACATATATACCACATTTAAAAAAATCTAGGTACATAACCATATGAACCATGAGAGAAAACCGGTGTTAGGGTTGCGTTGCTTTCATTGAGTTCTTAAGATTACCGGAAAACAATTCTGGGTAGTGGAGGGGAGGGGGTGGTTACTCAAAGTGGGGCAAAGCACTTGTGTTGCTCAAGTTGCAGATATATATATATATATAGGCGGAGGTAGTCACTTACCAACTGGTGAGCCATCTTAGGGAAGTGGATTTATTGTATTTCCAATTTTCTTCTGATTAATTTCGTTGTGGGTTCTAAGACAGTTTACTTTTTTCCTGTGACTTCCCAACTCAGTGTGTTCGTGGGTCACTGCTGTTGATCCTGGTGTACAGGAGTTACAGTGGTGGGCGTGTGGGAGGGATTAGTCCCATAATAAAAAAAACCGTGGTGAACCATCTGTTCGTTTTCTACTTCTACCGTAAAAAAATACTGTATATAAATAATGAATAAAAAACGAACAAGCCCTACAGTATGTATCAAGAGCCATCTGCCGGACAACTCTAGCACAACACACTCATTGGTCAAATCAAATAGCACACGCTTCACCGGCATCCTGTTACACACTTCCGTCCCTTTTTCATAAAATCACTCCCAGAGATTAGCGGTAGTCACTTTCCATCAGATGACTTGTTTGCCTCTATGCCATTAAAAAAACTAAGTGTGACATTTGTGTTGTGACGGATTAAGAATACGGAGTGTCACCACCCCTATTTTAAAACTAAGGGAGCAAACTACGCAGGACAACAGCACTGCAAAGAGAAGGAAAACTTGACACAAAATCTATACCAATCCGTCTGGTCAACGAGCTATAGGAGACCAAAATCACCTTTTTAAGAAGAGGCCTATGTCCAGCAATAGACAATGGTTGATAATAAGAAGTGTGACATAAGAGTCCATTGACCAGGGATGGCATAAAACATAATCACATGCTATAAATCATATGATTTAAAAATCATTTCATCACAACTGCGACTGATTCATAAAACCACTGCTACTTAACTATAACCCTAGCGCAAGACTCGTGAAAGGTCTAAATAAAAAAAAAAAACGAAATCTTTGATAAAAAGAGTTGATTGATTTTAATGCCACTTATCTTTGTCCGTGACTAAATCACAATCACATCTGAAATGAATATGATTTGTAATCTATACTAATATTATAAAGCTGAAGAGTTTGTTTGTTTGTTTGAACGCGCTAATCTCAGAAACAACTGGTCCGATTTGAAAAATTCTTTCAGTGTTAGATAGCCCATTTATCGAGGAAGGCTATAGGCTATATATCATCACGCTAAGACCAATAGGAGCGGAGCACCAATGAAGAATGTTTCAAAAACTGAGAAAATTTATTACTATTGAGAGACGCAGACGAAGTTGCGCGGGTCAGCTAGTCTTTGATAAAAAGAGTTGATTGATTTTAATGCCACTTATCTTTGTCCATGACTAAATCACAATCACATCTGAAATGAATATGATTTTTATTTTATTTATTTTTAAAAAAGACAACTCCCGCATTAGGAATAAATCCTGTGTCGCGGGGGACTTTACAAACATACATGAAACGGACACAAAGAACAACAATTTGTGGATCACACAAAGTGTCGTCCCATGTGGGGTTTGAACCCACAACACTCGGCGTAGTAGGAAGCGGCGTGGCGACCGCTGAAACCACTACGCCATCCGTGCAATAATATCCAAGTGTATGACTGACCGTATACACCGCACGAGTTCCTCGTGTCCCTCCAGCACGCGGATGCACTGGCCGCACTCGATGTCCCAGAGGCGGATGGTGTTGTCGGAGGAGCCGGACACGACGAGCCGCTCGCGGTACTGCAGGCACGCGATCCCGCGCTTGTGGCCGTTCAACGTCCGCACGAACTCGCACGACGACGTGTTCCATACCTGCACAACGATATACCACCGTGTTTAGCATGTATCGCAGTTATCAGTCAAAGAGAAGGAGAATGGCGTAGTGGTTTGTGTAACGGACTGCTATTCCAAAGGTCGCGGGTTCGATTATCGCTCAAGTCAAATATTTGTGTAATAACTGTTAATGTTTTTATTTATATCAGATGTCTAGTACCCATAGTACAAGCTCTGCTAAGTATGGGACTAGATGGCGTTGTGTCAATGTGGTAGTATATATATATAATGATATGGGTCAGTTCCATTGGAATGATAGGGCCACGACCACAGCCTCACAGAAAACTTCTGCTAAGCAATTCTTTCGTTGTTTTTCACTGAGTGAATGATGTTAATACGACCAATTCTCATACCTATCAAATTTTCAGTTTTTATCTATACTAATATTATAAAGCTGAAGAGTTTGTTTGTTTGTTTGAACGCGCTAATCTCAGGAACTACTGGTCCGATTTGAAAAATTCTTTCAGTGTTAGATAGCCCATTTAACGAGGAAGGCTATAGGCTATATATCATCACGCTAAGACCAATAGGAGCGGAGCACCAATGAAGAATGTTTCAAAAACGGAGAAAATTTATTACTATTGAGAGACGCAGACGAAGTTGCGCCGGTCAGCTAGTTGTTAATAAAAATCGGTCGAGCCGTTTTGGAGGAGTGAGACCACAAACACTATAACAGGAGATATCTTATATATAAAATTCTCGTGTCACAATGTTCGTTCCCGTACTCCTCCTACATACCCCTAAAAGGTAAGGGCGACCCATCCCTATTTTTTTTTGTTTTGCAATACAACGTTTGCCGGGTCAGCTACTTTATATATAAGGAGATTACCTTAATAGTACGATCCCCACTGGCACTGACGATATATTTTTCATCGAAGTCTACCACGTTCACCGCTGCCCTGTGACCAACTAACACTCTCCTTAACATAATTTCTGTCGTCGATGTCATGTCCCACACTGCTATTGAACGATCCTGGAACAAATATAAACGGCTCAATTAGTTAGAAATAATTTACAACACATACATACACTCAAGATGACTGTGTGGTGGCGGATTAAGAATACAGAGTGTCACCACGGATGGCGTAGTGGTTTAAGCGGTCACCTCGCCGCTTCCCACTGCGCTGACTGTTGAGGGTTCGATCCCTACATAGGACAACACAACCACAAATTGTTATTCTCAGTCTGGGTGTTATTTGTGTCCGTTTCATGTATGTTTGTAAAATCTCCCGCGGCACAGGATATATTCCTAACGCGGACGCTGTCATTTTTATAAAAAAAAATAGTTACAGGTGGATTGGTTGTCAGTGTGGTGACGGATTAAGAATACGGCGCGGGTGTCGTAAGAGCCGACTAAGGGAACAAACTACGCAGGACAACAGTACTGCAAAGAGAAGGTAACTTGAAACAAACCAACCCGTCTGGCCAACGTGGTATAATATACCAAAACCTCCTTACTAAGGAGAGGCCTATGTCCAGCAGTGGACTATTAAAGGATGATGATCATGACCTACCTTACTACAGGTGACCATCATGCCATTACAAAATCTAAGATGCAGCACAGCCTCACAGTGGTGTATCAGAGTGTTTAGCATCGCTCCTGTGTTGACGTCCCAAACTCGAACAGTGCTGTCTGATGACCCCGAGATGATGGCTCGCTCGTCATATTGTAAGCAAAGGACTGAGCCTGTGTGACCTTGCAGTTCCTGAAAACATGTACACAATATATTTTAATCTTTTGTTATTTTGATTGTAAAAAAAAATCTAAGCTAAATGTTACACCACTAGACCTTGAGTGTTGAGTGAAATGAAACTGATAAAGAGTGCTTCGAAATACACTTCAGTAAGTCGTGTCACGACACAGAGGAAGACGTGTTTGAATACCTCTGCGCCAATAATCCCAACAGTTATGTAATACCTTTAAACGAGCAATTCTTGTGTAAAAGAAGTCGGTTAATTAAAAAAAAAAACAGACTTTTTTTCGGTTATAAAGTATTACCACACCTCTCCAAAAATACCCATAAAATATAGTTTTGGCATCTGAAATTTATTGAGTAATTTCAATAATACCTGCAAATCAGCAGATAAATTAAGCGATTTAAAAAAATTCAGAGATGTGAATAAGAGGCTTACGGGCAGTCATAGGTGAGAGAAAGATAGCTTATCAACTGATGGGGGCCCAGTCCTCGCGCTGTGATTGGTTGTTGAGAAAACACGTGTTTCCAGTTTAATAAAAACCTCATACAGTCAAAAACTGCAATGTAATTACCCAAACAGCCGTAGCGCGCGGGGACTTCCCCCGGCCGCCAACCTGGATTTTTGTGCCCTGACTTTTTGCACGGAATACAAATGTAGTTCTTACTTTTGTGCGATACCTACTCTGAAAGACCATAACCTTTAATAGCTGATTGCATAAAACGTTTAATTTTCTGGCAGATAATTCCAAAGATTTTCGGCTCAGAATGATGGTCTGAATACACTACTTCAGTGTTCCTCACACTGTCCCTTACACCCTGTATAGACACTCTGTCACCTTGGACACCTGCGGATACAATTCGACATAATCGTAGAATAGTGTTGGATTTGACAATTATTGAACTTTATAGGGCAGCCATTTCAAATAATTAAGTAATTTTTTAAAACTTTTTAAATTCTAAATTTATTATTATGAAAATTGGCATACAAGTAAAAATAGGGTTTGTTTTAAAATGCAATAATAACAATAACTAATAATTTATTATTTTGAAAATTTACAGACAAGTAAAAATAGGGTTTGTTTTAAAATGCAATAAAAATAATAACTAATAATTTTATAATTTTCTAGAATAATAATATTAATATTTAACATTTTTATTTATTTTGTAATATATTAAAAAAATGTAATTAATGTGTATATATAATTTAATAAAGAGAATAATAAATAATATTCCACCACATTGACACAACGCCATTTAGTCTCAAACTAAGCAGAGCTTGTACTATGGGTACTAGACATCTGATATAAATACATATATACTTTTTTTTGTAAATACATACATATTTTATATAGAAACACCCAGACCAAACATTAAATGATCATGAACACAAGTGTTTGACTAGAGCGGGAATCGAACCCGCGATTTTTGAAATAGCAGTCCGTTACACAAACCCCTACGCCATCCGGTCATCATCAAAAATCAAATGCTTCATTTTACTTAGAGCGCCTATGAACCAAACCCTGAATAATTAAAAATCTAAAATACATATATTTTTTTCTTGAATGTAGTAATAATATTTAGACAATGTAGTATCCAAATATGGTAAAAACTGAATTTTGCGTTTTTTTTTAATTCAAAACAGACTATTCTACGACCATGAAGAATTATTCGGCACATCACTATTTCTACCAGAACTTACCCTGACGCACTGCAACGTTTTCCTGTCCCATATTTTGATAGTGTTATCTCTTAAACCGGAAACTATTTTGCTGTCGTCGTACTGCAAACAGTAAACGCCTTTCGAGTTCTCTGATCTACAGTTTATCCTCTGTAAGATAAAAAAATATACAAATAAATAAAACTGAAGTTTCTGTTTTTAATGTCTTAATAATAGGTTTTTTCATGCTCACACTGTTATTTGAAAAATACCTATGCCTAAAAACCAGTTTAAATATTTTAAGTCTGTCTGTTTATTCCGGGTAATCTTCAAAACGGCTGGACCGATTTTAATAATATTTTACTACCAGGTATAGTTAAACCGCCGTAAGCTTGGCCCTCCTGATGGTTTGCGGGACGCGGGGCGGGTGATGCGCTCGATAAAAATCGAATTTATTTCCATGTATTATATTATATTATAATGTCAGTGTATTGTAAGTTTTTATGATTAATTGTAAAATTTAATACTGTGAAATATTTTAATAAAATCACCTTATCTTCATCATGTAAATTATATTCAGATACAATTTAAAAATTAAGTAAAATAATAAATATTCTTTATTAGAAATTTAACAGTAGAACCTCTGTAAGCCGAATTTCAAGTTTTTAAATCTTTTTGTCACGCAGAGTCGGCAGATTATCTATGTTGCAAAATAATACCGTGTGTAGCAGTCTTAAGAAAAATAACACGTACGGCCATGCTTTCACGTCAGTCACTGCCGGCGGACAGCGACGCACTAGCTAATTAGTTGAATGCACCCCCGCCCCGCGTCCCCCTAACCGTCAGGAGGGCCAAGCTTACGGCGGTTTAACTATAGCTATCTATACAAGGAGTAAAAGTTTTTTTCTCTCAGAAAAACCATTTAAACTTTGCCCGGTCTGGGAATCGAACCCGCTAAGGCAGCGCTTTACAAATTCCACGCGAACGAAGTCGCGGACACCAGCTAGTCTAATATAAAGGAACTGCGTTTCGCAGAAACTATTTAACCCAAAAACCATTAAGAAAAAAAAACAAAAACTGGTAGAATCAATAATCCATATTTATATCTTAACATGAAGGTGAGTTTGTATGTAACACTAAACGCCTAAACCACTAAACCAATTTTAAAAATTCTTTCACCGATACAAAGCTACATTATCAGAGAGTAACATTGATTACTTTTTACCGCGATAACCGACCTTTGGGCGGGCGGAACCGTGGACAAAAGCTAGTTACATAACTCATGTGAAGTGATTCCCCCCCTCCCCCCATGGAGATTAATTCTCCCGTTAATCCCCCCCTCCCCCTCCTTCCTCCATTGTATCCTTCAGGGTGGTGGATTTTAAAAATGTGTTGTATTGACAAACCTGCAAATTGTGTTTTCCCATTCTCCAGTTGTCCTCAATAGACTGAATGTCCTTTATAATCTTGGGGTATAACTGTCTGTAGAAAGAGTGTGATGGATGCTGACAGCCAGGCTTCGGTTTGAATAAGTATTGAATCCTGGAAATAAAACAATAATTATGTCTACACATTAATTGATTAAAGAGGTAATTGACTGGCCTGTCATCATCAACAGCCTTTAATAGTCCACTGCTGGACATAGGCCTCTCCTCAGAAAGGAGGTTTTGGCCTATACTATACCACGCTGGCCAGACGGGTTGGTATAGGGTTTGTGTCAAGTTTTCCTCCTCTCTGCAGTGCTGTTGTCCTGCCTAGTTTTAGCCCTTAGTCGCTTCTTACGACACCCACGGGATGAATAGGGGTGGTGACACTCTGTATTCTTAATCCGTCACCACGCGGTCACTGGCCTGATGGTTCAGTGATCTTCACTGCTAAGCCAGGGGTCGTGGCTTCGATTTCCAGCCAGGACAAAATTTGTGTGTAATTTATTTTTAAAACATATTATGTATGCTTTCAAAAATATAGAAGTATGTTTATCAGCAGTATATTTGTCAAAATACAGGCTCTGCTTAGTTTATTAGTTTCTTATCACGAGTTAAACGCGAGACCAAAAAATGTGTAACAAGACTTTTTGCTGACACTATGGTAATCGTCTCCCAAAAAGCGAAAGAAGCTTAGTTCTGACTGGGGACCATAGACCCCTCACGCCGTTTTTATTATCATTATATTTTGAGATTACATACCATCCCCGTCTCTCAGCCAGACCCCGCCAAAGCGAGTCGGTCCTGACTTTCCTCTCGATCAGTTTCTTCCACAGCATGCCCTCCGAGATAACTCGCAGCCACTCCCGACAGACAAGTTCTGCTGCACAAAGTGAACTGGCATCCAGGTAAGATAGGATATTTTCTGCCACATGGTCAAGACCTTTCTCTGAAAAAAAAAAATTAAGGTTATTAATTCATCTAGCGCCAGCTCCTGCCAGCCATCTTGCGGAAATTGTCCCCCTGGCCTGTGGGCGTCCTACACTAAGTACGTTTCCCCAACGGTTATCAGTTCTGAGGTTAATATCTGTCTCTAGTCGTGGAAAATTTGAATACCCACACCGATTGATTACTATAAAAAGTATAATGTAACCGTTCAGTGTCAATTATTTAACGAAAATGTAGTAATATACAAATGTTTGAGTGATGAAGTATAATATATTAGTGTATTAAGTGAAAGAAATGTTCTCATGTAAGTGAAATGTAAATTTCTTTTTGAGAAAAATAAATTCTTTACCCACATATGGCCAGCCCACTGCCACTTCAGTTTGCTAATCCAGTAGGCTATGTCGGTAACTTTGGTTCTCTGCCGGATCACCTCATTCCTGATGCGATCCCTTAGCCGAGCATAGCCCTTTCCAAAGCACGTTGATGCGAGAAGCCCAAAATCGATCTAAGTGACGTGCAATGGGAGAGGCCTATGTCCAGCAGTGAACTGCGATGATATTAATTCATTTTGATTGCAACTAACACACAGTCTTTTGTCATCATGACAAGAATCAACGGACGTATACCACAACTACTCTGTCAAGAGCGCTAACTAGAAAGAAGAATTATCAAACCAAACATTAAAGTAAACGATTTCTAAACAATGCAAATAGCGGTATATGACGTCACAAGTCGTTAACTTCATACAATTATTGGACACTAGTTGACTTTATTTGCCCGTAACAGTTTTTCATTGATGCCTGGCTCCTATTTGTCGTAACGTGATAGCTTATAGCCTATACTCTATAGCCTTGCGTGATGAAAGGGCTATCCAATACTAAAAGATTTTTGTAATTCAAACCAGTAGGTCCTGAGATTAGCGGATTCAACCAAATAAACTCTCCAGCCTTAAAATATTTATCATTAACCGCCTTTAATAGTCCACTGCTGGACATAGGCTACTCTTTGGAAAAAGATTTTGGTCTACTATACCACACTGGCCCGAGATGAAAATGAAAAATACGACCAATAATAGACGACGAAAAATAAAGAAATACTTGAAACAAACCTTATACTGGCCATAGGGTTTGTTTCAAGTTTTTCTTTATTTTTGCAATGATGTTACTCTGCAGTTCGTTCCCTTAGTTAGCTCTTATGACCCCCAAGGGATGAATAGGGGTGGTAACACTCCATGATCCTAATCCGTCACATGTATAGTGTTATAATTTTATTATTGATTTAATACAGAAAATCTACATGACTGTCTAAGAATCAGTCTTGACCACGGCAATGAGAAGAGGTACTTACTAGGCAGCATGCTGATGAAATCCCTCTGTAGCATAGGTTTGAGGTATGCATTGATGTGCCCATGCTGATAGTGACACATCCGCGCCAACAGCTGCTCCACAAACTCCACCTGCGTAAAACGTGATCAGTATAACTTACACATAAAGAAATGTGAACATTTTTTGAAAAATACTAGATTTACTGTTAAATAGCATCTAACCTACCTACCTAGCAACCCTAACCTATTTACGCTAAAATCGAATGATAAATAACAGTTCACTGTGGTTTTGTCCCATATCTAGAAGAAAGGGCTTACTGTAACTTAGCTTACTCAATGAAAAGTAACGATAGAATTGATTAACAGTGGATGTCTATGAGGCTGTGGTGTTGCAGTCAAGCCGGGCCATTTGTGGCTAATCGTCTGCTTATCCATTCTAATGTTGTAAATGCAAAAGCGGGTCTGTCTGTTACCTCTTCCCTCTTGAACAGCTTTAGATTTTGATAAAATTTGGTATGAACATACTTTGATTCTTGAGGAAAGACATAGACAAAGTAAGTTCTCGACAAACGACATTTGTGATGTTTTGAAGAATGTGCTTGGATGGATTTGTGATAAACCCTTTTAAAAAAAAAGTTGAACCGACTTCAAAAAACACCGACAAAGAGCACTAAAAATTAAAAAATAATTACAAATCTAAGTAAAAAACTATAATAAGTACCCTCAATGTAACAGGTAACATTACAATACCAATAGTCCCTTCTAGTCGGTTTGAAGTCGGTGCCAAGCCAAATAGGTGCTTGATAGAATGTAGCGCGGCAGCTGCAACAGTCTTCATGCTGCGCAAAACATGTTGAACGAGCTAAAGTGGACGCACATCTCCAATTATATTATTATTTTGAATGCTTTAATAAGGAGTTGATACGTTTGCGCACGTAATTGATCTGGTTGGTCTTTATTAATTAACAAAATCTTCGATGTTTCATTAGAATTATTTTGAATTCTTAATTTTTCATTGTGCTAATATAAAGCTGACATAGACCAGTATTACTTATTGTGCATCGAGCTTGGCACCGACTTCAAACAGACTAGAAGGGACTATTGGTATTGTAATGTTACCTGTTACATTGAGGGTACTTATTATAGTTTTTTACTTAGATTTGTAATTATTTTTTAATTTTTAGTGCTCTTTGTCGGTGTTTTTTGAAGTCGGTTCAACTTTTTTTTTTAAAGGGTTTATTTTACCATTTTTAGTGTAGGATATGTTTGTAATGAGTAGATAAGTACGATATTTAAAACACTACGTACCGTAATGTATAGTAACAAACTGTAGTTTGTTAGATTATATTAAATATTATATTAAATTACTGCTGGACATAGGCCTCTCCTACATTGGCGTCCAAACTGATCAAGATCAGCTTAAATTCTTTTCTAAGAAACAGTCAAATTCTTGTGAGTTGCAACCGAACAAAATAACTTCCGATTCAATTGACACTGACCTCGAAGGTGAAGATAGGGAAGCTTTAGTGAGACTACTCAACAAATATGCTTAATATTTTATAGAAGGAGTTCCAACTAGAAGGGTTAATGTTAGAAATTAACCTAGTTGACTCACACAAAATTTAAGAGTTTTTTCCAGAACTATTTTAATAAATTAAGTATAAAATTACTTACAAACGAAATGCGATGCCATCCATAGCAACAAAACGTCTATCCGAATTATTTTAACAAGATAAAATACAAAATTTCAACCTTTTCTTCTTATTAATACAACGAAAATTACTGTGGTGACATAAATACTGTAAGTTCTCTGCGCATCACATCGCGCAGTCTCTGACGGTTGCCATGGTTTTAAAGAAATACTCGTAGCTAAAACACGTTATCGGGGCTGTCAAATTCCCAATAATTGTGAGGGTTTCCCTCGATTTCTCTAGGATCCCATCATCATATCCTGAATTGGTGGTAATGGGACCAATTCGGGAGCATACCCTTACGATTACAAAAAGAATTTTGAAAATCGGTCCACAATTGACGGAGAAATCGCGTAACAAACATACATTAAAAAAAAAAAAATACAGACGAATTGAGAACCTCCTCTTTTGTGTTTTAGAAGTCGGTTAAAAAGAAAACATACTGTCGAATCAAAAACCCTCCTTTTTTGATGTTGGTTAAAAATCGACTAGCATGAAGCTCCTAGTCGAGACGAATCAAATAATAGTCCACTGCTGGACATAGGCCTCTCCTTAAAAAGAAGGTTTTGGCCTACTATACCACGCTGGCCAGACGTGTTGGTATAGGGTTTGTGTCAAGTTTTCCTTCTCTTTGGAGTGCTCGTGTCCTGCGTAGTTTGCTCCCTTAGTCGGCTCTTACGACACCCACGGGATGAATTGGGGTAGTGACATTCCGTATTCTTAATCCGTCACTACACGGACAATTTTTTTATACACTACATTTTTTTCTAAATAAAAACTAGCCTAGGCCTTAATCCAGAGTGTCAGCTACCTTCATACTAAATTTTATCAAAGTAGGTGCAACCGTATGTACGCGTACGTACGTGTGTTTGCGTGTTCAAACATACACACACACTCACGAACTTCCGCCTTTATATAATTTAGTGTGATTAGTGTGATCACCTGGTCCGTCTCATTCCATCTTGAGAAGTAGTTGAGGCAGGCATCACGTTCTGCTGTATATGCTGCACTGCTTGGCGTTGGCCGCACACCGCTGTCCACACACGTGATTGACGTAACCTGAAATTATTTAATTATATTTCCTGAACAGAGTTCTCATAAAGATGAATGGTAATCAAAAAAACCAAATTGTATTTTTTATTAAAAAGAAATGAATGGTAATCATGATATTGTTTTTCTTTTGTTTTGTTTCTTTTTTTGTATACAACAACCGCCCTAGGGATATTATCTTGTTTCGCTCGGGACTTAACAAACATACATGAAATTGAAACAACGAACACCCAGACTCAAAATAACAATTCGTGGATCATACAAAGTGTTGTCCCATGTGGGGATCGTCGAACCCACAGCACTGAGCGCAGTAGGAAGCGGCGAGATGATGGCTTAAACCACTACGAGATCCGTGCATTCATTTAATTGTGATGCATGGGGAGAGCCATGCTGAATATTATGCTTATTATTATTACTTTGGATAGGCAAAAGAGTATTTGTTTAGTTTTTCTTAAACTATTTTTTAGTTCCGCTAGCTCCTTAAGCATGATTCTTTTACATTTTTTTTTCATTAAATTATTGTATGAAATGGTCCGACGACATTATGAGAGGTTTACTGAGAAGAAAAATACCCTAAGTTACTCCTTATATAGACAGTTACCAGGTTGTAAAATATTATCAAAATCGGTGAAGCCATTTCAAAGATTATCCGGAACAAACAGACGGACAAAAAATATTGAAATTGGTTTTTAGGCATAGGTACTGTGCAAGTAGCTGTGTGATAAGGAAAAACCTATTGTTTTGACATTAAAGACAGGAAAAGGTATTATAATAATAATTTTCTTTGTAATTTCCTTCTTAATGTTTTATTAGTAAATAATCTGAAGGATTTAACTGCTTCTGTATGAGGAAATTAACCTTTGTCCTAGACCTTAAAACAAAGTAACTATATAAACTAGCTGTACCACCACACTTTGCTGTGGTATATTTGCTTTGCTTTGCTTTTTAGTTTGTAAGGTAGGTGATTGTTAGGTGTTGTTAGTTTACAAATTATTTGAACTGTTATCTATATTGCAGTATTATTCGTAGAAGTATATTCTATCTACTTACGCAAAATTTCGGCATGAGAAAATTGTAAGTTTAGGGTACGATGGGGCTCACATGGTCTTATATGTGACTAAAAGCCTCTAAATAAACAAAGATTAAACAAAAAAAAAACAACATAGGTCACATTGAGAAATTGTATTCAAATTCTGCAATACATTTTCATTCTGTGTAACAATAACAGAATAGTTTAGGTAGCTGTAGTCACTTAGCATCTGACTTCTCTGTCAATGAAACAAACAACAACATAGGTTTGATGTAATGTGTCATAACTAGGCCTGAGAGAGACGCTTTGGTAAATAGGTTAAAAACTATTTTTATAGACGTTGGCATTGTTGTAACATCACTACTTTAGTAAGTAGTAGTATGTCGCATCACTGAGTCACGTAGCAAGATGTACACTCTAGCGCAGCCATTGCTTGATCGTCCGCGACACTGTGTAGACTTAAATCTAGTGCTCTGATTATATGACAATATAATATTCAAAGTCGTTCTTATTTACTAAGTCCTTAAGCAATACATGAGAACACAATTGGCATGTTTCAAGGTATATTGTCAAAGACTCTGTCCAAAGCGGTATTGTTAGTTTACAAATTTTTTGCAATGTAATCTATATTTGCAGTGTTATTGGTAGACATATTCTATCTACTTATGTAAAATTTAGGGATGAGAAAATTATAAGTTTAGGGTAGATGGGGCTGATATGATCGTATGTGGGACTAAAAGCCTCTAAATAAAAAAAGATTAGAAAAAAACAACATAGGTTACATTGAGAAATTGTATTCAAATTCTGCAATACATATTCATTCTGTGTAACAAGTCTAATGTGCCTACATAAATTAAATTTCTATTAATAGTAAATTCTTTTTCAATCTTGTCTTGACAACTTGAGTGTCTAATATTCATCATCATCATCATCATCAACAGCCTTTAATAGTCCACTGCTGGACATAGGCCTCCCCTTAGAAAGGAGGTTTTGGCCTACTATACCACGCTGGCCAGACGGGTTGGTATAGGGTTTGTTTCAAGTTTTCCTTCTCTCTGCAGTGTTGTTGTCCTGCGTAGTTTTCTCCCTTAGTAGCCTCTTACGACACCCACGGGATGAATAGGGGTGGTGACACTCTGTATTCTTAATCCGTCACCACACGGAATTTAATATTCCAAGCCTGTATATTCCTTATATTTATACTAGGTTTTGGCAATGCAAATGAAGTCTGGCTTCAATCAGGTCAGTATTTTTTCTTTAAGTAAAACATCTTTAGAATCGTGATTTAAAACTCAATGAAATGCAAATGTGGCAGGATAAAGAAACAAACACATGAATGTACAGGATTAAGTCGGCGAGAGAATGAGATAGAATACATTACACAGTACTTTTTAATTTAATATTTTGACAGTGTGAATATTGCCTCTGCTATATACCAGACTATATTCTATTATCATAACATCACATCAACAGCCTTTAATTTGGACATAGGCCTCTCCTTAGAAAGGAGGTTTTGGCCTACTATACCATGCTGGCCAGAGGGTTGGTGCAGGGTTTGTGTCAAGTTTTCCTTCTCTCTGCAGTGCTATTGCCCTGCGTTGATTGCTTCCTTAGTCGACGATTTAAGAATACCGAGTGTCCCCACCCTTATTCATCCCATGGGTGTCGTAAGCACCGACTAAGGGAGAAACTCTGCATTATAACAGCACTTGAAAGAGAAGGAAAACTTGATACATACCTACTTTCTAAGGAGAGACCTACATCTAGCAGTGGGTGGTTCAAGGCTAATGATGATGATGATGATGATGATGATGATAAATACCACACAATAGTAAGAAAATTCAAATTGAGAATACAACATCTCTTTTTTTTAATTTGCATTTTATTAAAGACACACATCCTAATCAACAACAATAAACAAAAGACTCCATATCATTGGAATTTAAACTTGTCTCTCAATGAATATTGCACTCAAATAATGACATATTGTTGTCATGTTTAGAGTGGCAGTAAAGGCGTTTTCTGTACGTAAATATATGTGAATTAAAACAGACAGACATGACTACATTCTAAATGTATTCAATATGCCTTAACAAACGCAAGTCGTAAAATTTGTAGCCTAGTGCATGACAAAAACTCGTTTTAAATTTCATAATGACAAGCATATCTGCATAATTAGTAACGAATAAATAATTTAGTCAGGATAATGCATTATACAAACTGACTGTTTTCAACAAACATTACGATTACGAAATAATTTAATAGAAAGTGGCACAAGCATTCCTTTCTTATATCTCCCTTTTTTAAAGGAAAAGGAAAGTAGTTCAGAAGTAATGAACGAAAGATTCTGCAGTGTATGTAAAGATACTTCCTAAAGAAAGTTATCGTTTTATTACACTATTTCCTGTTTATATGTGACCGACATTTAGAATAAATATTTATGCCTAATTGTTAACTAATGAGAATTAGGGTGACAAGGGCTCACAAACGACACTCAGTAAGCATTATTTCCCTAAATATTCATAAGAAGTAAAATGAGGAATGGCTAAAAAGACTTTAAAAACCCGCATTGCAGGACGAGGAAAATATTAACTGACCCACTGTATCATAATATTTCTAACATACACTCCACCTAATGTACAGTTTCGACGAACGATCTCAATAGACAGTGTGTTTCCTAAATAGTTTTAGTCATTAGATTGGCCACAAAAACACAAAATAGTCCAAGCGAATAATGGTAAAAGTAAATATGGCGGACCAACCATCATGACATTACGGGATGTTCCATTTAAAGATTTCTGGCTTACCTGTGGAGGTATAGTATCTTCTATCATCCTTTCGGTCTCCATTTTCTGCTATTTCACAAGTAACATTAATATTAAATCCACTAAAACACCACAAATTAACGAAATCACTATAGTTATATACTCATAGCTCGCATGACGTCAAGCACTGTATGTGTTTTTTTTTAAATTTTGTTCTACAAGTTGTGTACTGGAACTCAAGTCATACGGCCTAATTTTCATTTTCAACCTTATCGTTTAAAAATAAAAAATTTTCTTCACAAGACTTATAAGTAAATATTGATAGTACAAAAATAATGTAATTTGTGAAGTGCTAACTTTGATTTTATCCAATTACTATCATTTTTGAGCTAATTTCATTGGTCATTGTTTTGGACATTCGCACAATACTTGAGTGTAATGGATCGGAATAGTAATCAAAACGTCATCAATTCTTAGTTATTAGCAGTGTTGCCAAGCTAGTGGATTTGCCACTAAAACTTGTGGTTTCGACCCCACTTATAGTAAATTTTGCTTTAATGGCTAGTGGATTTTTTTAGTGGTAATAGTATGATTGTAGAGGACTTAGGCACAGCTGTTGAAAGATGAACTATGAGAACTGTTTGTGTACGCAAACCTCAAGAACGTTTGATAGGAAAGGAAGGATGGAGATTGGATAAAACAGAAGCATTATTAATTTCAGGCAATAGGATGATGTAGGCTTTGTTCCAGAGATAAGAAAAGGTTTTAGAGTCGAGAAAGAAGTCAATAATGTGGGCTATAACTTCGAGGAGGTAATCCAAGATAATAACTATCATCCTATGGCTTGCAAGTCATTGTGCCACATGGCAAAAATTTCATCCTCGTTACCCGAATAGAAGTTGCGTAGTAGGCTTCACTACTGTGCGCTTTTCGAGTCACTTTTTGGCCCGCACAACCAATCTATGGAACGGGTTATCGTCTGCGGTATTTCCGGACCGATATGACCTTCAAACCCTCAAGAAAAGAGCGTACTCCTTCCTAAAAGGCCGGCAACGCGTTTGTGACTCCTGAGTTGCAGATGTTCATGGGCGGCGATAGTCACTTTCCATCAGGTGACCCGCCTGACTGGACATAGGCCTCTCTTTAGAAAGGAGGTTTTGGCCTACTACACTACGCAGGTCAGACGGGTTGGTATAGGGTTTGTGTCAAATTTTCCTGTTGTCCTGCGTAGTTTGCTCCCTTAGTCGCCTCTTACGACACCCACGGGATGAATTCTTAATTCTCTGTATTCTTAATCTGTTACCACACCAAGCGGCTTTTTACTATATGATATATTATTCAAGTAATATGTTAGTTTTCCATTATTTTCAATAATATACCTACTGTATATACTCCTGTACCTATACCTACTTTGTAATTATTAACGCACTGATTCTATTCTTATGAATTTTAAACAGCTCTTAAAAAGTTACTTATCTATACTAATATTATAAAGATGAAGAGTTTGTTTGTTTGTTTGTTTGTTTGTTTGTTTGAACGCGATAATCTCAGGAACTACTGGTCCGATTTGAAAAATTCTTTCAGTGTTAGATAGCCCATTTATCGAGGAAGGCTATAGGCTATATATCATCACGCTTAGACTAATAGAAGCAGAGCACCAATAAAGAATGTTTCAAAAACGGAGAAAATTTATTACTATTGAGAGACGCAGACGAAGTTGCGCGGGTCAGCTAGTCTATACTAATATTATAAAGCTGAAGAGTTTGTTTGTTTGTTTGAACGCGCTAATCTCAGGAACTACTGGTCCGATTTGAAAAATTCTTTCAGTGTTAGATAGCCCATTTATCGAGGAAGGCTATAGGCTATATATCATCACGCTAAGACCAATAGGAGCGGAGCACCAATGAAGAATGTTTCAAAAACGGAGAAAATTTATTACTATTGAGAGACGCAGACGAAGTTGCGCGGGTCAGCTAGTATGAAATAGTTGTCGATGTGACGTGGGAGAACCATACTTCGGCACATATGGGCAGGCTCGACCGGAGTGATACCACGGCCACAGAAAACAACTGTTAGGCAATTCCTTCGTTGTTTTTCACCGAGTGAGTGAGGTTACCGGAACCCAAACATCTTCCCTCGGGGGGAGAGGGGGGGGGGGGAAATAAGGGCAGTCAACACGGTTGTCTCTAGAGTGTCTTGTGTGCGGCGGTAGGCTCTTACCACGTCAGCTCGTTTGCTTAAATATGATAATAAATGTGTGTTATTGGTGCTACCAGAACCTTCTGAAATGTTTTTTTTTATTTATATACCTAGAGAAGAATCTTATTGAAATTTATAAGACAATCATCAGATCTGTCGACCTACATGAATCTAAATGTTGGCCATCTAATAGAACGGATAAGAGACGCCTGCAAGTAGCTGAAATGCGAATATTGTACATCTTGAATATGTTGTATGACTAGCATGGACAAGTTGATTAATGATTACATTAGAGGAATCCCGAAATTTGCGCCAGTGGATAAAACAGACTAACAGAAACAAAAACAGTTAGGCCAAGAAATCGGTTGATTTGAGGCCAAATGATTGATAACATGTGATAATTCACAACAAACCTTTTTTTAACGTGTGGAAACCTTCAGGTGATTCTTCATCCCAGGGACTTCCTTTCTAGGGTATACCTGGTTCCCCGGCTATTAGTACCCGGCGAAGGCGTGCGGTTTTAGTCGGTTCGAGTCCGACATGCCACCGACAGGTGGTATCCGAGGGGATTTCCGCACGGAAAAAAAAAAAGGTGATTCTTCATCGGTGCCATCGATGAGGTTGTATGTCGGAGTTATATCGACAGTAAAACAACTGTCGGTGCTGGACATAGAGCGAAGAATAAATCGGTATCGAGAGATCGACTCCAATTACTGCAAAGAGCAAGACAGTTCTGTCCAGGGGTGGTTATGTCGGGCACGTACTGACCAAAAACCGCACGGAACCAGGAACCAGGTGTACCCTAGAAAGAAAATTCCTGGTACCCAGACCCAATCCTGTGTTACCCTCATGTCCCCTTTGTGCTCCCGAAAGGGCGTGCGTGACAGATGGCCTTACCTGTCACCTCCTGGCCTACACTTATGGAGGACAAAGGTCGTTTTGCGACCTGTTACGGAGCGAGAGAATGCCCACTCTGATAGTGGCCACATGTTCACGCCTCTGCTCCACCCACGCCGGGCATTCTGCCAGTGTGTGGAGCGCCGTGTCCACGGTCCGGCCATCGCGGTGATGACACTCACGACGTTGGCTCCTTTCGGATCAGACACAGGTGATCTCCGAAGCATCCTTGCCCGGTGAGCACCTGCGTCAGCCGGTATGAGAGGGTTCCGTGATGCCTTTCGAGCCAATCCTCCATAACGGATCATAATCGGTCAACAATCGTAACTTTTGCGTGGCTACTTTTAAAAACTAGAGGCTGTATTTACAATTGTTTTAGAACTTTTACTAAAAGCTCACGCATTCAAAAGCTTAAAATTCAAATGTGGGAACGCAGACAATAAATAAACTTATAAATAAAACCTAACACAAAACTATTGACTTGAAAAAAACGTAGAAATATAAAAATAAAACAACTCCCGTATTTACAATTCTTTAATATATTTAAAATATTTTTTTTTGCTAATATAATATGTTTTAATGAGATTACAAGTGTCCTGTATACAAAATATTAACTATAATTGTAAATCGACTAATACCAATCGAAGTGTTTGTCGATTATCTGACTATTACTATACATGCAAACGTGTTGTTATAAATATTTATGTATTATCTTAGAACATATATATATTGGATATCTTTAGCTTCTGTTTTACAGATTTTGGTTTAGTCAAAGGTCTTATTATAATAGCCAATATATAAATTTCATTGTAGACTCTTTAAGATAATTTAACAAATGTCTTAGTGATGTGCTAAATGTTTGTGAGTATCCGCGGTTATCCGAGGGCGAAAAAAGACTTGTATCCGTTACTTTTAGGCGGTACTTTTACATTATAATATTTTATTACGTTTTATAAAACTAAAAATTTATTTCGCTTAATTTAAATAGTTTGAATAAAAAGTATGAATTGCTAATGCTATTAACAATTATTAGGTATTATTTAACTCTTCTTAACCTGATCCAAACCTCAAGTCTTTTGATTAAAACATTACGCCTTGTGCAGGACAAAATGTCGTTATATGGTACAAAATTTCAACTTCTGTTTTATAGTGTAATAATTCGTATTCGTATCCGCGGATAAACATTTTTAACTATCCGGTACATCACTAGTCTTAAATATAAAGTGAATCAAATGTTTTTATGGTTAAATATTTTTTCTTTCTGTCGAATTAAAACTATGATTAATATAAAAAGGAAGCTTAGTCAATAATTAAAATACGTTATAAAAATAATTAGCTATCGAATAGTCATATAATCGACTATGTAATACCTGAAAAAAAATGTATCTATATTGTTTTGATTTTAAAATGATCCTAATTATGCGTGTTTCGACACTTTATAATTTCAACTTCCACATCGACTAATGACAGGCGACATTTGGTATACATTTCTATATTTTTTGCGTTGGCAATACAAACCAAAATATAATTTAGATATAGAGCCAAAAATAACGACATATACACAAAAATGATCTATACATTGTCATGACAACCAGCATTTTTCTAATTTCTTTAATTTCACGGACAATATTCGAAACCTCCCTCCCACCTTTAAGAAACTATGCCATTTGAGCGGAACATTTCACCTAATAGTTTGTACAACACTTTTGCCTATATAGACGCATCTTTCGCTTCAATAATGGCTGCCAACGCTTGCCTGTCCTTCTTGTTTTCACACGCGCAAGTAATCAAGGCCATTAAATGTTTATTAGAATACTCAGTCCTCTCTTGAAGGAATTCCTCCAGCCCTTTTCTAGGCAAATAATAAGCTTTCACGTATTTATCGACATATTCTTGGAAAGGCACAGGCTTGAGACCAGATATCTTTTCTAATTTTAAAAATAACTGCCTATAATCCAATTGCATTAATCCTCTACCTCCATTAGAGCATTTAGTTGCGTTTGAGAACCCTTCAACTAACAAATGTACTATAAATTTAGACACCATACCCCATATAACGCTTAATACCTCCGAATTGAGAGTGACCTTGCTGGATACGTTTTCCAAACGCAATGCGAACACTTGAATTTTCCGGATAATCATATCTACGTAGGCGCTATGCTCAACAGCTACGTCTTTTACATCCCATTTGACTTTGGACATAGCTATTAAAGCTGGTCCGACCTCAACAGCTTTTGACGCTGAACACATGTACACAGGAACTCTCAAATCTTGAATTACCGCCAAAGTATTATCTTTGAAATGTTCTAATATCATCTTCTGATGGGAAGCTACTATAGATTCTAGGTATGGCTGCAGCAACTCGTATTGTTTAGCTAAAAATATTACACTCTCGACAGCCACAATTCTTTCTGACAGCCCGTGTAATGTTTCTTCTGAAGTTAAATTCAAATGGTTAGGAGATTCAGGACACGGGATTTTGCCGTCCATTTCTCCCGAATTTGATGTATCAATATAATTTTTTATTCTCTTAAGTACTGAATTCAATTTTGAGCTATATAATGTGGTTGAGGCTACGTCCATATCGGACGTGAAAAAAAAATGCACGCTGAAGAAGTAATAGTCAAATAATTGATTCATTAACATGACCACTTCTAAAGATATTTGAGGAAGATATCGACATATCTGTAAGTACTGTCCGCAGTGTCTTAATACTGATAGTGTCGTATTTGCCACTATAACACTATCTTTAGTTTTACTAGGACTTCCTTTGGTCGATTCCGGTTGATCACTTTCATCGACAAAATCTCTTTTCAACTCTTCAGGTTCGTCGTCCGAATCATCGCTAACTGCTTCAGGTTCCAGGCCAAAAATATCATCATTGGTAATGTTTTCGTTACGGAAAATTTCAAAAGGAGTGTGATTAGTACTCTGTTTAAAATACTTAGAAATATAAACGCTATCGTCTTGCGAATGCACTGAGGACGCGCTATCGGATTGCGCTTTCACAAACGACGTATCAGATCTCAAATTCAGGTACTTTTTAAACTGTTTAAATTCTTGTAGATTGAGTAAAGTAAATGTTGATTTAACCGGACACTGTTCCCAACCTTCGTTCTCTAAAAACAATTTCAATTCCTCCATCCTGCCTCTATGATAGTTCTTTATATATAAAACACTCTGAGTCTTAATAAAATCTTGCAACAGATCCGATTTATCACCGCAGAAAACTTCAGCTACCTGCGTCAGTTTTCTTAATATACCTAACATTTGTATAAATTTCTCAAAGGGATATTCCTCTAAGCCAGAACTCCTGAGGAAGGTAGACACTTTTGCTTGAACATCATGCCAGATCCTGACCAAACCAGCTTTCAGCTTCTGCCTGATGTATTCTCGACTGACATTCTTTTCGATTTCGAATACGTTATTAGATATTGGGACCGTTTCTTCATCATCGTACTTGGAATGCCAATCGACCAATAAGAAATAACTTTTCATAATCAAAAACAGATTTTCACATAAGTTCAGAAGGCATATGGGAGCTTTATTTGGTTGTACTGACTGGCACATATCTTGGAATTTCATATCTACAGCATTTCCTACGTAGTTTTTAACGGCTTCGATCGAAGATTCGTTGACGGCTGAAGAGTAGTGCATGTGCAGTTGTTCCATAGCTGCTTGTGTTTTGCCTAACAGCGCGTACGCCTTCCTCAACTTCCTGAAGACATTTTCATCAAATTTGTAACATATATTTGAAAGTACTGAATCCAATTTCTCTTCTGTCATGTCTAAAGTGTCTTGGAGTCTCGTAGCCAAATCTGCAATGCACGTGTACTCCTTATGACTGCTGGCAGCTTTCTTGCTTTTCAATATCAGTTGGATTGCCTCGTAATATTCCTTCTTAGTTAGCAATTCGGCGACATCCTTCTCGACGCTTCTTAGGCTTCTGAGCAACTCAAGGGATTTAAGAACAGACCTAATTATTTGCCGTTTCCTAAAGTTGGCCAGGATAACGAAGGTAGATATCGTTAAGTGATTTGACGCTGCTCTGAGCTGTTCCCTGGCTTTCTGACAGGTTTCAAGAGTGGTCGAAAGTTGATCACGAATGGTCTGGATCTCTTTGAATTCACGGTCACAGTTGTCGCGTTGCTGTGATATTAGGTGCAGTGCCTTACCTGATACCACCTGTGTACAAAAAACTAATGATAGAGATTGAACTTTCATCTAAGGAATAATTATTTCAGTTACATACTCATTGAAGAATCTAAGTTAAAAAGAGTAACATTACCGTATACGTTATAAAGAGAAAAAATTAGATAGACTGAAACATAAGATGGGCTTTGGCAGTTTTTGATGTAAATTGTTCGAGCACTTCAATAAAAGCTGCACGATTTTAAAAGCATGTCCTACAGAAGGCCCTTTTTATAGATTCTAATTGAATTCTTCATGTTGTTATTGAAAAATAGGTAAAAAATCGTCTAAGATTAGTTGACAACACAAAAAGTTAAACTACCCACATTCCTATTGCAACATTTTAAGCTTAAAGATTGTTTAAAAAAGCTACTCAAGTTATATTTTTTGAACTGTTATTACCATCGAACTTATTGGACCAGATACTTGCCTGCTGCTGTCTCTTCAGCTTGGTGAACATCCGTTCTATATCATCGCAGGAAGTCGCTGGAGCGTGTTCCAGTACAAACCGCCCCGCATCAAATTCCGATGGTGGTAGAAAGTAAACATTTTCTATTTCACGGAGTACCTGGTTGGAGAAAGTTTTGTTAAAGACAGATTTATCTCTGTGGCTATCAGCTCTATAAGATGCTGCTTTTTAACATTAACATTTGGGACAACTTTAGGTACCACAGAGATGAAACAACTAAATTAAAACTTTCCACTGATTTGGAAAATATATTTGTACGCCACAATGGCTAAACATGACTGTCTTTATATTCTAATTTATTACACATCTTGCATGCCTGCGTATGTATACTCATGTTTTAATAAATAAAAATGTCTTTGATTTTCATATTAGGTCTTTCTTGGAAGACACGGTTTTACCCCTAGTTTGAAGGTGCCTTCTGTCTACTTTGCAAAGAGCCCCGTTTTATCCCGGAGAGAGAATGTTTGGTACATTACAAAAAGATACGAACGTTGTGTCAGAGCCTTAAATCAGATAATAATAATAATATTGTACCACGTTCACATAACGCCATCTAGTCCCAAACTAAGCAGAGCTTCTACTATGGGTACTAGACAACTGATATAAATACATATATACTTTTTTTTTGTATGATCGAAAAAGAACATATTGTTGCGCCATAGGATTAAATGGTTCGATTGTATGGAATGTGGAGGACAGCGCCATCTAGTATCGACCAAATACATCTATTAAGATTGTGGTTAATACGAGTAGTTCTAATCCTGACAGCGCTAGATGGCGCTGCAAGTAACGCGTAACTGATTCTGGAATATTCGTGTTTGTCTGGAACGGATTAGGAACTTTCTAGTAAAATTCAAAAGCGCAATAAAAGCGGAGCGTATTGGCCGTTGAACACAATTTCGTTCTACGACACAACGAATTAACATCGGAGTGAATTTCTAGTGAAACAACAAGATATATAGTGGTTCCCAGTAGTGAGTGTTTGTAAATACAGTGAAATAAAGTAACTAACGGACAACTATTTTTTTTATATACCCCACTCGTGACAATATGAAGTTATCAAGGGCAAAAAAGTTCATTTTGCCACTGAACTTTAGACATTTTATTTACAGAAAAAGTGGTCAATAAGTATTCTTTTTGGAAATAACACCTTAACTTAAATGCGTGTCCAACATAACCTACATATAACATAGCATTACTAAGCTATTTCTATGGGTTAGGGTGGTGAAATAACATTCTTGGTGTTCTAAGAGAGTTTAGTAGACTGCCATTATTTGAAAACTTACTTCTAAATCTGCAGCAGAATGTGCAATACTGAGTGACCGCGAGTTGACTCCTGGAGGAGCATTCCTCTTCTCTACAGTTTCTTCGGAAAGCATTCTTCACGCCTGTGGACAAAATACAACACGAACATAAGCACTCAATAGTATTAGATAATATGTTTTGTAAGGGCACTCGTAAAAGCCAAATAAACTACGGTATTGTAATTTTTTGCAACTTATATGAACTTTAATGTGATTTTCCATAAGCAAGGAAAGTGTTTTTGGCTCCACAGCCAAGGTCACCAGCCTCGCAGGCGAAGCGGCCATGTCTATGGGCATGACGCCCAGCTTATAGAAATCTGAAAGGGTTCATCCACAACCATGATGATGGAGAAGGGTGTATCATTCACATGGTATGTTATACTGCGTCTCCTAATAGGAAGGAATGTCTCTGGAAACGGCTTTTGGTTTTTCGTGTACCCAATAAGTGGATAACCCACCACTAATGACTAAAACAACTACACCACACTGTAAAGCAATTGTAAATGATGTGTTGTCTAGAGATCGTGGCAAATGGCGGTCTATTGTCTCTACCCTAGACTACAAAACAGTGTGGCATAGTGTTCATGATAATCCCGAAGAATACCGCAAAACAATTCAATCACAATTTTTTATGCATTTTAATCATATCAGCAGTTGATAAAGAAATTCCTAATTGATAAATTGTGAGCTAGGTTATCATTGAAATTGAGATATCAGTGAGTTATAGGTGCGCTTAATTCAAAATGTGTTGATTATTTCATATTCAGCACATTTTACATAACTGCATTTTGAAGGACTAAGTCACATTAAACATCGGTAGCACAAAATGAACAGTGGTGCGTCAATTAATTGTATCCAGTCGCACCTTGGTGTGGTGACGGATTGGTCCGTGTAGTGACGGATTGGTACGTGTGGTGACGGATTGGTCCGTGTGGTGACGGATTAAGAATACAGAGTGTCACCACCCCTATTCATCCTGTGGGTGTCGTAAGAGCCGACTAAGGGAAAAACTACGCAGAACTACAGCACTGCAGAGAGAAGGAAAACTTGATACAAACGCTATACCAACCCGTCTGGCCAGCGTGGTATAGTAGGCAAGGAGAGGCTTATGTCCAGCAGTGGACTGTTAAAGGCTGTTGATGTGCATCGCACCTTATTTTACCAGAAGGGAGAAGTGCTTTTTTTTATGGAATAAGGGGCAAACGAGCAGACGGGTCACCTGATAGAACGAGACTATCGCCGCCCATGAACGCAACTCAGGAGTCACAAGCGCGTTGACGGCCTTTGAGGAAGGTGTACGCTCTTTTCTTGAAGGTCGTATCGGTCCGGAAATACCGCAGACGATAACCCGTTCCATAGGTTGGTAGTGCGAGGCAAAGTGTCTCGAAAAGCTCACAGTGGAGTGCATATTATCCAAGTGGTGTTGATGAGAATTTCGCCGTGTGGAACGATGGCGGAAAGTTGCGGGCGGTATTAAGTAGTCCGAACAATTTTTCGGAGCACTCTCCATGATATATATGATAGAGAATGCAGAGCGAAGCTACATCTCTACGCCACGCCAAGGGATCGAACCGGTCTGAGATCTTTTGGCTATCGACGATTCGTGTTGATCTTTTTTGGATACGGTTCAGAGGGAGAAGCTGGTTATACCATTGAGGAGGTGAAGAGTAAACGGGTCACCTGCTGGTAAATGGCTAATGCCGCGGTATGGGACATCTACGACTTTAGACTCAGAATTGCTTTGCCCACCTTTTGAGTACTAGTTATCTAGTCCTAGAATAAAGTTAGGAGGGGGGGCTAGTTTGGGACTCCGAAAACTCCAGCTACTGGACACTACAGTGAAAAGCAACAAATAAATTACTGTGAGGTGAGGTCTTCTACAGTATTAATTAAAAGATATACATCTCGTAAAATGACTGAACATATTAATATTAGTGAACGGTATGGTGACCCACATTAAGTTTAGCTTGTTAAAAAATTGTTGAATGAAGAATAAAGCTATATTTATATCCAAAACAAAATTCCTAACATCCATTTTGTATTTTCTTTCTGTTTAATGCCTTCCTGGAATCTGTGGAAGTGATTTCTTGACAGGTCAGGGTCAACGCAGACCTAGAGGAACTAAGCGGAGGGATTTTTTTAACATCCTCGAAAAGAAACTTTAAAACCATTGTTATAAAGTGAATAGAATAGAATATGCTTTATTGTACACCAGTTACAGTAAGTTAGTTAAATATTACAGATGGATATGTATTACATGTTTAAACAGGACAAAAAGTCGAGGAAATGCCAGCAGTAGTTTGCTGAAATAATGTAGAAGAAAAAAAAATGTGACGTTTAAATTTTAAGAAGTAATCAAGGTAAAATGTAATAGATAATAGGTGTTTTTATGTCGAAGGAAATAAAAATACATGGTCCAAAGTTGCTGAACTGCACCCATTATAAAACAAATGTGAAAATAGATATGTAGTGTAAGACTATAAAGGTAGATGGGAAACCCACCCATATTGATAATGATAGATGATCAAACAGTATGCGGCACGAGTGGAATAGGAACAAATGCTAGCATGAAAGAGTCACAGACTCTAAAATATGCTCCAATTATGATGGAGGTACTAGGGACAGCTATTAACAATGTATGATAGCCGATGTGTTAAAATAAAATATAAAATAAACACATGCGGTAAATAAATATGAAGAGACACTGACTTTCTGTGCATAAAATGTATGTGCAAAACCTATAGTGAAAGCTATCATGATAGCTTTCATGGGACCAGCCCCCCCCCCCCCCCCAGGTGGGGGGGGTCAGTATAGTAGCAGAATAACCTGCCAGTCCTATATGCTTTTCTAAGCTTTGTACCTACATATACATACTACATACCGTACTCAAACTGTGACTCTTAAGTTTCAAAAAGTCTTATTTCAATATTTGGTTTACCAATCTAGACCATTCGGGCCTGTTGGTCTAGTAGTTAGTGACCCGGACTGCTACACCAGAGGTTGTGGGTTTAATTCCTACCCAGGACAAATAATTGTGTGATGAGCACGATCATTTATTCTGTCTGGGTGTACTTTATCTATAATATGCAAATATTTAGTAATATATAAGTATGTTTATCAGCAGTCTGGTTACCATAGTACAGGCTCTGACTAATTTGGGATCAGACAGTTGTGTTTGAGATGTGTGAAAATATTATAATCTGAGCCTCTCTGTGTAATAACATTCTAGAATGTGTGTTTAAAAGTTTAAATACTATGAATGTTCCAATGTATCTTTACATTAGAACATTCATAGCACATAAATGTCTATGAAAATATTTGATAACATTTTAAGTAAGGTTTTTGTAATCTACATTTATCAAATCCATCATCACCAAGCCAAACAAACACCACCCAAATTTAAATAAGAACTGGTGGCTCTGATATATTGTTTAAATATTCTGTGTAATGTTAAAGGTAAACATTCATATTGTCATTCTGTTTGAGGTACCAACAGACTTTTATTTCCATAGAGTGTATACCCTCATAGCAACCAATTCATTGATATAATATTAATAATTTATTGTAATGGTTTCAAGAAACAAATTAAATTTGTACAATATTGTTACCTAGTTAAAATGGTTCTCAAGAAAAAAAAAGTTAAAACTCATTTTTTAATTCATCGGTATAGCTACGATTGCCGATTTAAAAAAAATAAGTTTAACTTTTTTTTTTACACATTTATATGCATAGACAAAATTAAAAATAATACCCATTTAATTGGACATAATACTTTGATTCTTATATAATGATGTAAAACGATTCCACAAATGATAAACAGTAGCACATACTGACCTGCGTGGTAATAAATAATAAATTATTTCTCAAAACACTTGAAATTCAAATTGATTATTGAAAAATGTAAATATACACTGTTTTTCATGTTTAAAGTTATTCAAACTGGCACCTACGTTGTTGCTCTTATAAATAATGTACGAATTGTTATTCTACTGCGCGTCTATCATAAAATTGTATGTAATTTTAAGGATTAAATAAACAGACTTGAGATCGCGTAGTGACTATGGCTATTATAGAACTGTCATTAACGTCATAAATAACAGTGTTGCTACTCCAATTAATCAGAGATATTGAGGTTTGTCAATACAATAATAATAATAATAATAAAAAAAATCAACGATATTAATATTGCGATTCCAACTGTTTTAACACTTTCAGTAGAAGTAATAATTTTTTTTAAGTTACCATTCAATTTGCATCATGTATTGTAAAAACATATGACATCGTGGCCTGGACCAAACTGCGATAGCGCCAACTAAAGGATGCCGCTCATGATCGAGAGGTGTACCGTCTGCTGACCTCCAAACTTCATTTTGAGGATGGCACCCCATGATGATGATGGTAAAAAGATTTGAAAATATGTATGTACCTACATTTATTATGTGACACTTTAACAAAGATGTTATGGCTTTTGTTTTTTTTTTGATTCTTGAAGCTTTAAGCTTATTTCCTACGTACGCTGATTTTTTAAGTATTCGCTTTTAATTTGTCTGTTTATGTTTGAGAAATCCATAGCTTAACCGATTACTAATTAAAATGAAAACAATGAGAATCATTATAGGCAATATTATATTCTAGCCATCACATGTATTATTTTTTATTTGCTATACATTTGTATCATATACATATATTTATATACACATCAGATCAGATGTGTATATGTACATATATTTACTAAAATAATCGTTATCACTGGCAGTGGACACAGGCTGTTGTCATCAAATCTAACGTCAGACAATACAAGGTACAAGACCTATTACGGGATGTCTTTTATTCCCGAATATACGTATATTATTTAACAAACTGAAACCCGAAAGTTTAAATACGATAGTACTCACAAATGTTAATCTGCTGTGATGACCACTGATGAGCACTAGATGAATTCTGGTGAAAAAAATCGATTTAAGGAAAGGCCAGAAAGAAGAGTGGTAAAAAAATAAGTCTATGGATTAGTAGGTATTTTATTTTTAAGCCATAAAGAAGCGTTTAATAAAACAATCCTTGGACATTTAGCTTAGGTAAATAGTCGATTTCTTTTACGAACTGATTATATTCGCAACAGAAACTATGTGTCCCATCGCTAGAACGCCATTTTAGCCACGAGAACTGCCTGTTACCCGCGCAAATATCATCACAAAACTCCAACTCGTCTATCATTGTTTTGTTATAAAATGATGAGTTTATAGAGATGAAAGCAGCAGCAGTTTTCTTCTTAGGATCGTAGACAAGCTGAAATAAAAACAAATTGAATGTTACTTTTTTTAAATAGTTTATATAGCTATGTTTTTCAAAACTTAAGAGTATATTTTTTGTAGTATGTATGCGCCGCACCTAATCAGGTTCAGGCAAGCGGTAGGTATGCGGCCTATCACTAATGTTGCGGCCCAATCGCATTTTCTTGCGGCCGTCACGCTATCCACTGGCGCAAGAATTAATCTGCCACCAGAGGTCACTAGTCTCTGGCTGCGATTAAGAGAAAAGATTACTATGTAGCAAACTATTTAAGAGTAGGTACCTAGACCTAACTTGTGGGTTTATTTTGCAAACTGAAATAGAGAATTTTGATAATTAATATTATTTAACGGGAATTAACGCGATCTCTTATTTAGGGTATTACATACCTTTGGTTTGCCTGACGTTTCGACCAGGTTGCACCGGCCGTGGTCACAGGCTGACACAGTCAGTATGTAATACCCTAAATAAGAGATCGCGTTAATTCCCGTTAAATAATATTAATTATCATGGAACGCGAAAGTTTAAAAGTTAGAGAATTTTGAGATTAAAATTTAAACTTTTTTATATAAGCTATTTTTTTTTGTTGACGGGGTGGAAAATCCCTTCGGATCTCTTGGGGACTCAAGGGCTCGGAGTATTTTGTGATTCCACTAAAAACCACCCCGACGACCGGCCTCAGGTGTCCTACTCTGGGGGGACCCGGACCATTTTATTTCAGGTCCTCCCCGAATTGAGACCATTCCTAATCAGGCCCTATCCTAGGGGAAAACACAAAGAGTACCTAAGCCTAGTGTTACTTTTAAAAGGTATAAAATCAAGTAAACAGTACCTAGATAAGATTTTATAATATTCGATTTTACGTTCTACCGTGTTGATATAGAGAATACATTTTTGTAATTGGCTTTCTGTTATCTATTGTTAAGACTATTGGTGACTTTTAGATGTTGGATTTCTTTCCAATAAAATAAATAAGGTGTCTTAAGAGCCGACTAAGAGAGCAAACTACGCAGGACAACAATACTGCAAAGAGAAGGAAAACTTGACACAAACCCTATACCAACCCGTCTGGCCACCGTGGTATAGTAGGCCTAAACCTCCTTTCTAAGGAGAGGCCTATGTCCAGCAGTGGACTGTTAAAGGCTGTTGATGATGATGAAAATAAATAAATAAGGAAAAACACTGTTATCAAGGCTTCACAAACATACCCTTCAACTTTTTTTTGCATTATCTATGCAAATAAAATTGTAGGAATATTAAATTTATGTAAAAGAAATATACCTTGTAAAAATACATCGGCACAGGCAGTTGTTCATTGTTATTTTCATCAGTATGGAGATAAATTTCTTTCAAACGACCCTGCTTGTCAGGAAGAGTCATCACCCCGTGGGCGCCGGTGAACACGAGGACTTTAGAACCGTAAGATTGGACGCGGCGTCTCAAGGCCTGAATACAGAAACGTAGTAGGATAAGAATATATTAGGATGATATTGGGGAAAAGCCATGTACTTCAGCCAGGCCTGGCTCGACCCGAACACCACGGCCTCACTGAAAACCGCTGTTCAGAATTTCTTTCATTGCTTTACACCGAATGAGTGGAGATAACCCGAGCCCAACCCTTCCCCTTCTGATTCTGGGAGGGATTGAAAGGTCGGTAACGCACTGGTGACTTTTCAGTTGCAGGTGTTCATGGACGGCGGTAGGTTATTTTTAAAATATTTCGGACATCGGACACACAACGCCATCTAGTTTCAAACTAAGCAGAGCTTGTACTAAGAAAGCTAGATTGATTAATAGAATAATATATAATATTATACATAGAAAACACCCAAATTCCGAAACAAATATTTGCAGATCGTACAAACATTTGGTCCGACCCGGGAATCAAACCTGAGACCTTGGGAATTTGGAATTGGACCTTGAATTTGGGATCAGACTGCCGTGTGTGAGATGTGTGAAAATATTATTTATTATTATACAGACATCTTCTAATGCGGCCCAGTCACCAGCGTTGCCCCTCCTCCATTGTGGGGCGGTGTTCACATAATGGAAAGTCGCTCTGGTTTCTGCGCTAGTGGTGTAATCTGCACGGGCCGCTAAGTGACCGCGGGTTAGTGCCTGAAACAATTGTTTAGCTTTATTTACCGTGGGGTAGCCATGATTCGATTCAGCCAATTATCGTAATGGTCAAGGATTAAGAATACGGAGTGTCATCACCCCTTTTAATTCCGTAGGTGTCGTAAGAGCCGACTAAGGAAGCAAACTCTGCAGGATAAAAGCACTGCAAAGAGAAGAAAACTTGACACAAACCCTATATCAACCCATCTGGCCAGCGTCGTATAGTGGGCCACAACCTCCTTTTTAAAGAGAGGCCTATGTCCAGCAGTGGACTATTAAAGGAAATTTTATTTACCGTGGGATAGCCGTGATTCGGTACAAATGGCACCGAAAACAAAACTGACGTGCTGACAGAAGTGAGAACTTGAACTTTTTTTTTTTATCGTAACAGGTTTTTTATTGTTTTTTTCGATTCCAAAAGTTCCGACATGAATATATATCTATGCTGTACTTATCTATACTAATATTATAAAGCTGAAGAGTTTGTTTGTTTGAACGCGCTAATCTCAGGAACTACTGGTCCGATTTGAAAAATTCTTTCAGTGTTAGATAGCCCATTTATCGAGGAAGGCTATAGGCTATATATCATCACGCTAAGACCAATAGGAGCGCAGCACCAATTAAGAATGTTTCAAAAACTGAGAAATTTTATTACTATTGAGAGACGCAGACGGAGTTGCGCGGGTCAGCTAGTATACAATACAATTAATCAACGTATTTCAACCCGAACTCAACTCTCGTGTAAACAGGGCCAATATTGCATATACTCGTATTGGCCCCGTTTACACGAGAGTAGTACACAAGACGAGATACTTATATATTCAGTATAGTCCAGATGTAGATATATTTTTCGACTCCCAAAGCATAATTTTAAAACATCTTTATACATATCTAAATTTTAAAGAGTAATTTTATAGTTCCTAAGTTGATGTAAGGTTGTTTTTGTTTACAAATTTTATGTTGTTTCTTTTTGATGGTCTGAGTTTTACAATTGTAATAGTATTTAGTTTATTTTTGTTAAAATTAGCATAGATATAAGCGATTTGGTGTATACTGTGATGCTTATATTTTATTAATAAAGAATTGAATTGAATATTGAGGTGTCGGTAGCGGTAAGTATCGCGAGTTCACTCCCAAAAATACATTCTTTTGTTTGTTGTTCAAAAATTCCCAAGGCGCCTAAAGAAGCTTCCACTTTAAAAAAAAAACTCATATTTAACGCTTATAATAACCATTTACTTGCAACCAAGCGGTTATTATAAGCTTGAATCTTGAAAATTTTGAAAAGCGCTGGGTTAATGAATTAAGGATTAGAGAAAAATTGGTTAAGTTACTCCTTATCCAGGCAGTAATACAAAATCGGTCCAGCCGTTTGGAAGATAAGCCGGCACAAATAGACAGACATAAAATATTTAAACTGGTTTTTAGGGTTACATATCGTGTAAATAACCGTGTGAGTTTGAAAAAAAACTATTATTTTGACATTACAAACAGGACACCTCGATTTTTAACCGACTTCAAAAAGGATGAGGTTCTCAATTCGATTGGTATTTTTTTTTATATATGTACACCAATTACTCTGAGATTTATGATCTGATTTACGTGATTCTTCTTTAGTTTGATGCGGAATAGTTGCCATTTGGTCCCATAAAAATTTAACATAGTTAGGCCCAGTAGTTTTCATTTTATGAACATTTTTAATTAATATTATTGTTTACTTGGATGATATAATTTTAGTTTGTGTACGGCCTTTTTAGGAGTTTACATTTAAGTTGATTACATATTATATTTATTTGTATAGATGTATAGATAATGTTGATCTTTAGCATGCCTTTGCGCACGCTTTTGGGGGCATAGTCATAAGTGTTTAGACGTAGATATGTGTCGAGACATAATTTAGTAGCGTACCTGATTTTGGCTCAAATATTTGTCTCCCATGTTGTTCCCAAGTATAGCATCTAGTCTTGTTTTCTGGTTTTTCAGCTTGTAAATTGCGGAAAGCCTTATCTTACCGAAAAGAACGCCTTCTGCAAATAAATATAAAAGAAATGTTTGAAATTTGCCCTCTATTCTACTCTAAGATTACATACCAGGGTATGTAATCTTAGAGTGTTTCTTATATCAAAGATTGGAACTAAATATTAGAAATGCGTGTGGTGATGAATTGAGAATACAGAGTGTCATCACCCCTATTTATCCCATGGCTGTCGTAAGAGCGGATGTCGTAGTTCATTCGCATTTGTTATTTACTGTTCCCACATACATACAAAGTTTTGTTTTGAAATAGGTTAAAAATAACATATACATGTAGCTAATTAAAGAGCGTGAAAACCAATCATAAATATCATCCATAAATATCATCCAGACGCAAAACAAAATATGCTCGAATTGAACCGTATGGACGGATTAAGAATACGGAGTGTCACCACCCCTGTTTATCCCGTGGGTGTCGTAAGAGTCGACTAAGGGAGCAAACTACGCAGGACATTAAAACTGCAAAGAGAAGAAAAACTTGAAACAAACTTTATACCAACCCGTCTGGCCAGCGTGGTATAGTAGGCCAAAACCTCCTTTGAAATTAGAGGCCTATATCCAGCAGTGAACTCCCAAAGGCTACTGATGACTATTGCACCCTGACCAATCAGGTTCTAAGCTTCGTACTTTATCGAACCGAACCGATAATTTCTTGGCACCTGATTGGTCAAGGAGCAGGACTTGATCGATGCGTCACTATTTTCTTATTCTTGAGGAACGATATAGGCTATTTAATATCACGCTACCATAATTGGTTATTTCTCCAGGCGGAGGAGGAGGTTCGGCAGTGGACGGCGATAGGCAGATGACCATACCACATTAAAGAACGAAACAGTGGTGGTAGATAGTAGAATAATTCTTATAATCTTACCCACAAAGTCAGGCCTCTTTAATCCTGTCTGCATGTAAATGCTTTTGGGAGACAACTGCTGACCTACGTAACGCGTGTGCAGTAGGTTTTTGTCGAAGCATGCTGAGTATAACGGATAAAATACATTTTTTATCTTGTAACCCACTCTGTAACAATAATTTTCTTAAAAATAAACAAATAAAATCATACAGTTTTGTCGGTGGTTACAATGGAACACATAATCTATATAATCGATTAAAAAATCGGATTAAAAAAAAAAATAGAAAGATAAATAAATTTATATATAATTATATAAAAAGATAAATAATGTTTTGTCAGAACTGTGTCATTTGTGAAGTGATTTGGAAAGTTCTTCTTTTGTTTGGAATGGGATACTTCCCGCTTAAACTCGTTCAGATTTGAAGCAAAAAAAACAAACCACGAAGGTGGAATATTAACGAATGACGAAAACGTTTTGACCTTCGGTATTGATGGTATTCGACACCTGGAAACTTCTAGAACATCGTGGAATATACTTGACGTTTTCTGTAATATAATTGATTAGTTTCACAGCTCGATGACAGATGACGCCACGCGTCTCAATTTGTGTGACTGTAAAAGTACTTGTTTTTTATCCAAACATTCTTGAAGACACTCCTTGACGAAAGTCAGGACACGACGCACAGGAAATAAACAGGATTGTACTATAACTGCACTCGTAGTAGTATCGATTTTACTAACGGAGACAGAGTATCCATGGGTTGATAAAAAAAATGTAAAAGGGCTTATCAGTGAACACCTCACCGCTTTCGGTAAAACGCCAAACCAAAAACATCCTTAAATACGATACATCTAATAATCAAACGTGATTATATAATATAACTCACCCATAAAGTTTGTTTTCCCTTGCACATGTTTTATTCGTCTCCTCGGTCGTAAAGAAGGGTTGTGAATTACATCGAATGTTTTTGAACTCCAAGATCTTTCTGTCTACCCGGAATGTGGAGTTTATGATGCAGTGAGCCTCCTAGAATTTAAGGATAAAACCTTTATTAATATTTTTAATTTTTAAAGCTAACTAGCTGTACCCTGCTATGCTGTGCGCTTCTCGGTGGCATATTGGTGTGAAATGAAGAACACAACTGTATATCGTGTCAAAATTGGAGATCATTCGGTGTAGAACTTTTTGAGTTTTATATAAACCAATAATATATAGATATATGGATGGCGTAGTGGTTTAATCTGTCAGGCGCCGTTTCCTGAGTGTTGTAGGTTCGAACCCTACATGTCAGAACTAATTGTGTAATCCACAAATTGTTGTTCTGAGTCTGGGTCTGTTCTGTTTGTAAAATGTACGACACACGTAGTATGCGGGAGTTGTGTTAAAAAAAGACAGCCCAGTCCAAATTATGTCATTTGTTATACGTCTGGGTGCATTTTATCTATTATATTTACTCGTATGTACTTAGAAACAAATAAGTATTTTTACTATCTAATTTGGGACCATAACCACTAGACCTATAGGCTGGGTAAGCAGGGTGGTCTGTCCAAAAAAGAGGGAGGATCCTTTGACTAGGCGGAATTCTTTACTTCCTTTACTTTTATATAGTAAATACTTACTATGACGTCATATCCGCTAGTCTCGTTGTTTAAAATCACCCTTCGTCTGTCGCCCGGGCAGGCCACTAGTACAGTTTCAGACCTTCCAAATGTGAAGTTCCCTCCAACATCAGGCTCCAAAAAGTGTCCATTCCTGATGAACACTGGGCCCGGCCTCCCGAAATCGTGATTTAACGACAAAACACAATCTGAAACAGAGAGTAATCTACATTACTCTTCTTCTTTCGCCGATCCTTTCGCAGAAACTAGGTCGGGATCGGATTTTAGGTCTACTACGATACAGCTGAACTTCGATTTTTACGGTGAGCGACTGCCATCAGATCTCCACAATCCAACTACTAGGCGATATCGAAGTTCTGTAGATATACTGTTGTTGGCCTTTTCAGGGCTTCTTCTACCCGTAACGATTACCACAGACGCTCTTATGAGAACCGGGAACGAAGGCTTAATGTAATTTCCTAGGCACGAATATCGTGAGTAATCTCTACACCTGAAGAAAATTCTTTGTACCTCTTTTTTTAACAAATATGGCGCCTATTTGCGATAAACTGTATTTACAAACACTCACTATTACAAACAAGAAATCACTATATAACTCGTTAATCGCACTGGATATTGAAATGTATGCGCACAGGGACTAGTGAAACGAATGATAGCTGGATACGCACAGAGTTTATTTGTCAAGCGACACGACATTTATATATGTTAGGGGTGGATGCAACATACACAGTCAGTGTAAAACAATACTGTCCCGTACGGCCAACACGCTTCGCTTTTATAGCGCTATCGAAATTACTAGACTAGTCCCGAGGATCCGATGGAATATTCCAGACAGAACCACGTACAATAAGGAATCTACGGATTTCTATAATCCTCCGATATTCCACTTGACCTCTTGATACTAGATGTCACTGTCCTCCAGACACAACACAAGACACCGTCAATCCTATGGCGCAACAGTATATTTGATGTTATTTATGGCAGAGGCCACCTGACTACCGCCGCCCATGGACACCGACGAGTCAAGGGTCACAAATGTATTGCCATTATTCAGCCCATCCCCAGAAGTAAAGGGTTTTGGGTTCCGGTAAACTCACACACGTGAAAAGTACCTAAATCTTTGTTTAACGCCTGTTAATCTGATTGATAGGTGAGGAGATCTTCATAAAGAAATATATATGGCTATATTCATGAATCTGGAAAAATTTGTACCTGGTCTACATTTATTTGAAAACCCTATTAGACCACCTATCCGTGTGTCACCGAATGTCACTACTTCTACTCATCCCATTGGCAGGGTAAGAGCTGACTAAGGGAGCAAACTAAGCAGGACAACAGCACTGCAAAGAGAAGGAAAGCTTGACTTAAGCCCTATACCAACCCGTCAGGCCAGCGTGGTGTAGTAAACCTTTCTAAGGAGAGACCTATGTACAGCAGTGGACTATTAATGGCTGTTGATGATGATGATGAATAGATCATGTGGGACTAAAGTTATAAAACAATTGGGAAATTTGTTGGTTCTATATATTTCTGCTTATCGCTCCTGGATCTGGAGTTTAGGCGTGACTATTAGTGATGTGCCGGATATCCGTATCCGTATCCGTATCCGCGGATATCCAAGGGAGAAGAGAGATCCGTAACCGTATCCGTATCCGTGACTTTTTTTGCGGATCTTTCAATACATATTACATAGATGAAATTCTATATAGGTGATTTTGTATTCACTGTAAAACTCTTAGGTATGTGTTTGTAACACTATAAACAGCAACTTTTTTTCTGGCCAACGTCAAAATAAAAAAATTGGCCCTCCATTCAAATGACCAATCAAATGTTGTTGGTTTGTATGGAGAAACAATTTTTTTTCTTTCGTTTTCGGTGTTAGTCCAGAAGAAAAGTTGTTGTTTATAATGTTACTAATATGCACTTCAGAGGTTTTCAGTAAATTTAAATTTAACCCTGAATAATGGTTATTAGGTAGCTATGAAAAACTATTGAATTCTGTTCAGATTACTTTTTATTTCTTAAAACAAATATTTGGCATCTTTGTATTGCAATCATTTATCGTACTACACTAAATCAACTAGGCAGGTCGTAGGTACTGAAAGAGCTATCTTTATAATGAGATCAATCAAACATCTTTGTATTAGCTTATTAAAATAATGAAATATTTAAATATCAACGGCAAAGCGTCAGGTGGCGACAACTATCAAGGTCACGGGCTCCGATTGAGTAAGAAACTTAAGATCCGTATCCGTATCCGTATCCGCGGATCTTGACACCAAATATCCGTATTCGGATCCGTATCCGCGGATATACTTTGTTAACGATCCGGCACATCACTAGTGACTATATACATTATACATTTTTCTATAGTATAGGTGGAAAACTAGTAGATAAGTCACAACCTGCAAAACAAGAGTCACAAATGCTTTGCCACCCTTTAACTAATCTCCCCTTTTGGTTTTTTTTTCTGTGTGATATCCCCTCGGATACCACTCACCGGTGGCTATATCGGACTCGAAATGACTAAAAACTTCACGCCGCCTCGGGTACCAGTAGTCGGGGAACCAGGTGTACCCTAGAAAGGAAATCCCTGATACCCCGACAACTGTTCTCCCCCTAGAATAATGTTTTAGAACTGGAGTCTGTATTTGCAACAAATATACCAGACAATTATATTACTACTACTAAACTGTCGAACGAAGGCACAAAGAGTTGAGCAGTCCACAAACGAAGGCCTCTCCCAAAGAGCGCCAACCATCCCGGTGCCAACCATTTTCCTCAAGTCGTCGGTAAAAAAAAACAGCCGCAGAAAATATAATTAATTAAATACATTATTATTGTATTACATTTATAATTAATTAATGTTTTGAGTTGTTAATATCTTCTGAATTTTTGACGTCATAAGGGAAATACAACCTGTGTGGTTTTCCTTAGCCCGATTGTACTTAGTAAACAAACACATAATACAACTAATTATGAGCTATGACAAATAAAAAAACCTATACACGCATTTTCGTGGAGTACTTAAGTATGTTCAAAGAAAAATGCTTTAAATACCTGCATAAATACCATATTAGAATATCCCTAAATCTAATCTGGTGGACAGCTTGATTTTCATTATGTAAACCTAAATTACACTTTATTGCTTGGCACCGAGAGTCGATATATTTTCGGCAACATAACGTTTTCGGATAAACCACTAAATATTTTTGCATAGTATAATATGAATAATATTTTTTAATTAGGACCCAAGCCCAGAATACATAATAGTATTAGAACAGAAGTTTCACTAAATAAAAGCCATACAAATAGTGGCTCTTTTTTTCAAAACAATAAAGTCCAATTCAGGCTGCAAACTGCTAATCACGAACAACTATTTTCACCTAAATTTGCCTCTCTATAGCATAACATCTACCGTTGACCTACCTCGGTACCTCGTTGACGTAACGTTGACACCTAACACATGACGACGTAAAAGTTGGGTTTCCTTGCTTTCTACAATATTTAGAGTTTGAAAAACTTGAGTTTGCTTTCTTGTTATGATTTAAGCAGCCGTATATTATGTGATATTATTACAGTTGACTATGAACGATCTACTAATAACAACCACTCGATACAGCCGTAAGTGAGAATCGATAACGTGGATAAGGGCTACTGATTAAATCTGACCCATCGACGGCGCTATGTACTTGTAGGTTTATGAACCTGCTAGGTCCGCCCAAAGTTTTAAGCTTAAATAGTATAGTTTTAAGCTTAAACATGGGTACATACTTAGATACAGTAATCCCGGTAAAATAACACATTTCTCTTATAACGCATTTTCATTTTACGCTATTTCTATCCCTCGTATACAGCAATTTCAAAGTACGCGGGGATTTCCCACGTTATATTTCTGTACTTTGAAATTTATAAAGATTTGTAGAGTTCATAATTCGATTTAAAAACCCTTTAACGAGAAAAGTGAAACGTTAATCATTTGTACAAGCGCGTTATACGAGAATGCTCCTACAACCCGTTTTGCTATAACGCGTAACAAATCTACCGTGTTGTAGGGGGGATTACTGTATTATATTTTTTGTTAATCAATTCATATTTTAATTAGAAATACGCAAACAATTGACGAATACTTTTTACATTAAATCGAACTCGTGACTAGTAATATTGCAAAAGGACTAACGCCGCGCCACCGTTAATTTTTTTATACTTTCCTGATTGTTAAAGATTCCTGATTCCTGATGGTTGGCCTGTTGGTCTAGTGGTTAGTGACCCTGACTGCTAAACCGCAGGGCGTGGGTTCGATTCCCACCCAGGACAAATATTTGTGTGATGAGAACGATCGTTTGTTCTGTGTCTGCGTGTAATTTATCTATAAAATGTTGTATGTATTTAGAAATATATAAGTATTTTTATAAGCAGTCTGGTTACCGTAGCACAGGCTCTGCCTAGTTTGGGATCAGACAGCCGTGTGTGAGATGTGTGAGTTATTATAGTAAAGTTGAAATCTATAAATGATTCACTCTAAGCATTCGTTATTAAGGTTAACTAAGTAATTACAAAACAATCATTGAAGACAATTTATCGGCGAAGGTAATTACCAGACCCATCACCTTTTTAGGCCATTGCTTGTAATCGACTGCCCTGGGTCTAGTGTTTCGTGTTGACTGCACGGATGGCGTAGTGGTTTACGCCGCTTCCTTACACGATGAGTGTTGTGGGTTCGACCCCACATGGGACGACACCACCAATTATTTTTCTGAGTCTGGGTGTTCTTTGTGTCCATTTCATGTATGTTTGTAAAGTCCCCCGCAACACAGGATATATTCCTAGTGAGGGAGTTGTCTTTTAAAAAAAGAGAAAAGAAAGAGAAACAGATCTTGACTGCTAAGCCGGAGGACGCGGCCAATTCCCATTCAGGACAACCAATTATGTGATGAGCACGATCATTTGTTCTGCGTCTGGATGTTATTTAAAGATGGCCGACACATTGACGGTCACGGCGGATTGGTTTTAACCCGCTTTTATTAGCTACACGTGTAGCTACACATAAACAAATATTGGAAGTTATTTTTAAAATATTTCAATATGAAACTTTGTATGTATGTGGGAACAATAAATAACAAACGCGAATTAACTATTTTTGTCTATTTTCTCAATAACAGTTATTACAATTTTAATTATATTGTTTGCATTGTAAACTCTTAAGTCGACAAGTAAGTTCTTTTGACAACTAAATTCTTGTTTTTCTTATAACGACAGCCGGATGGCTTAGGGGTTTCTGTAACCCTTCCTAGGGTACACCTGGTTCCCCGGCTACTGGTACATGAGACGGTGTGCGGTTTTAGTCGGTTCGATCCGACATTGCCACCGGGATTCCCGCATAGAAAAAAAAGGGGGTTAGTGTAACGGAATGCTATGCTAAAAGGCCGCGGGTTTATTTTCCGCTCAAGTCAAAGATTTGTGTGCATGATCATTTAGTGTTTGGCCTGGGTGTTTCTAATTATAATATGTATGTATATACAAATAAAAAGTATAATTATAAGTTAATATACGGAAATTTATTACTGTAGTATTTAGGCGCCTGATGGTATAAGCACCACAATACAGCTATGGATCAAATGTTGCATGTTATCTGTGTCAGCAATAAATAGTCGGTAGGTTTAAGTTTAGTTTTATATTGTTCACTATCACTACGACTTTGGAGTAAAAGCGCTCAGTCCACATTTTTGCTGTTTTATTGCCGGAATCCTTGCTTATTCTGTACAATAAAGTATAGTCCGTCTAAAGGTTGCCTGGAAGAGATTTCAGGCTGCGAGAAGGCCGATTGTATGTCACGGTTTTTTTTAGCTGTATAAAATTATGATTATAAATCATATAACCACACCTGTGGCTAATTTACAAAACCACTGCGTCTTATTATTATATTATTATTACGCTGGGCTAGCCTCGCGAAAGGTGTAAATTTAAACAACAAAAGGGTTGTAATCATTGATAAAAAGAAATTTGATTGATTTAAATGGCACTTATTTTTGTCTATCATCAAATCACAATCACAGGTTAAAACACTGTGACTAAACCGATAATTTCATCATATGAATATGATTTAAAAGATGCAATCATTTCCATGTCTACTATCCATGTATTTATATTTTACTAAGCCCTTTCCAATCGGGCTTCAGACCTGGGCACAGCATAACTTGCACTCTTCTGAAATGACAGGTGACATTCGGCACAGAAAACCGGTGCTCAACATTTCTTCCTTTGCTAGTTAGTGAGGTTACCGGTCCGTGTGGTGACAGATTAAGAATACAGAGTGTCACCCCCCCTATTCATCCTGTGGGTGTCGTAAGAGGCGACTAAGGGAGCAAACTACGCAGGACAACAGCACTGCAGAGAGAAGGAAAACTTGAAACAAACCCTATACCAACCCGTCTGGCCAGCGTGGTGTAGTAGGCCAAAACCTCCTTTCTAAGGAGAGGCCTATGTCCAGCAGTTGACTAGTAAAGGCTGTTGATGATGAGGTTATCGGAGGACGAATGTAGAGGGGGAGGGCGTACGTCTTATAGTCAAGGATCAAGACACTAGAGTGGTTTCACGCAAGTCGACGCCGCCGGTCTGACCGCTCAAGGCGGCGTCAAGACTGAAGCAACACCCAAACAAATAAAGGACATAACAACAAAACAGTTATCAACACCCTCTACAACCTATCCCTGTCTAGCGGTAACAGAAAATATCACTGACGGGGGCTATCGCTCCGAAACAGCATCCGCTCGCCTCCTACAGGGCGTCGTGAAGACTTCCATAGTCACTAACCATCAAGTGATCCTGCTGCTTTTTCAAGGCAAGCATATAATAATCTCTAATCTTTGATAAACTATATACCTAATCTAAATATAAACATAAACTCTATGGTATCGTATAATAGTCTACAGAAAGATGATTATTGATCCTAATTAATTATATTTTCGTCAATTACAATAGAAATAATTATTTATGTCGCTCTTCGACCTGGATTGTTAATAAATTATTTTTCCAAACACAACTTGAATTACGATAACGCAATCAGAATAATTAACTAAAAACAAAACCACGATTATATAAAAGACTAGCGGACCCGACAGACGTTGTCCTGTCAAATTTGACACTGCGATGGTAGCGCCGTCTGTCGGATCCAATGTAAAACATTCCAAAATCAACAACTACTAATAAATTAAAAAAACATTGTCCAGCGGACAAAATTGTGAATACCATTCCCAGATCCCCTTGAACACACACAAAAAATTTCATCAAAATCGGTCCAGTCGTTTGAGAGAAGTTCAGTGACATACACACTCACAGAAGAATTATATATATAAAGATAACAAAGAAAATAAATATATAAATAATAGATAAATAGAAATAAGATACACAAAAGAGTCTGAATCACAAATAATTCATAACTAACAAGGTAATAAAAAAAATACTCACCAGATTTTACATCACTGATTAAACCAATTAACATTAAAACAAATAAATGTTTGAAAACGTCAGACATTGTGTGCATTCAACGACCTTCTAAGGTGGAGTGCCCGTGATTCAGTAAATATAACGGCAATATTCACGGTGTCAGTTACTCTGATGTATAAACTCGAATATGCGAGGTGAAGTGAGCTCGAGTGGTGATAAAAATAAAAAGATGTGTTGAAAAAATAGTATTACACCGTTTTGGGTAATTTTTTAAACTCGGGGCGTACTGAAAGTCTCTGGATGTGGCCACTTACAATACAAGAATGAAAAAACAATTATGGGATTCGAAAATGGAACGCTTTTTGGACACGTTACTTTTTTAATTTGCGGGACTGTCATTTGTTTTTTCATTGTGACGTCCTTTCCAAAATTGTGTGTCGCTATCAAAATCGTAAACCTCCCTTGCAGAATTTAGACGTAGACGTGATCATCTCCATGATGAGGTACGTGAAAGTCGACCGACGCCTGCGGTTACATACTCTTATATTGACACCGTACGATAACTTATGGAAACTGACAAAAAAAAAATACTTTGCCAGCAAATTCATGCTTTGCAAACTGCAAAACATTTTACATGTGCATTTGAAGGTTCGACAGCTTTGCACTCAATGGATACCGCATGACTTAACGGAGGACCAGAAACGACTTCGTGTCCACTATTGCTACGGCAAAAGTTTAACGGAGGAACGTTATTGGCTGTCTTTAATATCGTGACAAGTGACGAAACCTGGGTGTACGCTTTGAACCCGAAAGAAAAAGCCAGTCGGCAGAGTGGTTCTTTCCTTTTAAAGATTTGCCAATGAAAGTTAAGAAAAGTCGAACCATTGGTAAAAAAATGGTTGCTTCCTTTTTTCTGCAAATCAGGACATTACACTACAGTATCGCTTGAAGATTAAAGGACAGTGACTGCAGATTGGTACGTCAACACTTGCTTGCCCAGAGTCTTAGAAACTTAGCGGAAATTGAGCGAAAAGCGTCCTCGAAGCAATATCCTCCTTCACCACGTTAACGCATCCTCACATTCCGCACCTCGCACCCTGCGACTTCTTTTGTTGCCAAAAATCAAAGACAAACTTAGGCACACGTTGTACGAGCTCTGAATCGGCGGTGAATGCCTTCCATGAAGCCATAAAAGAGGTCCCTAGAAGACTTTTCCAACAGTTTTGTACAGTGGTTTCAGCGAATGTAACATACATTAATTGCGAGGGAATATACTTAAATCAATAAATGTATCGTAAGTCTTATATCTAGTCTTATTTATCAGAATCCAGAAACTTTCAGTATGCCCTGAGTATTATAGGGAACAAATGATGGTTAGTTACTACCGCTACACAATTGCGTTTAAATAACCCCGTTGGGTATCTGGTAACCTCACGCACTCAGTGAAAAGCAACGAACTAACATCCTTGTCCGGACTTCGGCCATTATGCGGTCCACCGTAGCCGCGTATTTTGGCGAAGAACCAAGGGTCCTGCAGCCCTATGTCCGTCCTGAGATTGGATTGGTCTGGACTAGATAGATTTAAAAAAAACGACGGGTAGCACTCCGGGAGTGCCGGCAGAAGTGACAACTTGAATATTAAATTATCGCTGTGCATTTTTGGTATTTTGGAATGGTTAGGGAATAATTTTGCAGGAATTGCTTTAATTATCAGTGTAAAAGTACTATCATTTATGTGGTAGAATACAATATATGTATATTTATTGTGCTATCGTACACAAACATGACAATTTATATTACATTAAAAAGCTTATCTCTCAGAAAAATCAGCTTCCATCCATAACAAAGCCGCTAAAGAAGTTTTCGTCTTACGAATTTTCGATCAGGTCACGTGTCCTGACGCGAGTTTAACATTTTTTACCCATTATAAAAAAGTGTACAACGCCGCTAAAGAAGTTTTCACTTCAAAAATTAAATATTTTCTGAGTGAGTTTAAAACCAATAGTACTTTTTTGCCATCATACAATTTGCCATCAGATAAAAATAACATGTAAAGTGTTTACCTTATCAGCTTTTATTAATATCACACATGATAAGGATGAATTCAGGTGCTAATTTCAACATCATCATCAAAATCAACAGCATTTAGTAGTCCACTGTTGGACATAGGCCTCTCCTTAGAAAGGAGGTTTTGGCCTGCTGGAACACGCTGGCCAGACGGGTTGATATAGGGTTTGTTTCAAGTTTTCCTTCTCCTTGCGGAGCTGTTGTCCTGCGTAGTTTGCTCCCTAGTCGATTCTTACGACACCCACGGGATGAATAGGGGTGGTGACACTCTGTATTCTAAATCCGTAACCACACACGGTGCTAATTTTTGTTTTTTTTTAATTTGTTACCTTAGGAATAGATTTGGAGATTTTTATTTGAAAGGGAAAAAAATCCGTTTGGTCCAATTGGAATTTGAAGAATAAATGAAGCGAAAATTAAAGAAAGAAGATTACAGTTTTTTAGAATTCTTTTTTTTAGAAGACAACTCCCGCACTAAGAACATACCCTGTGTCGCGGGGGTCTTTACAAACATGCATGAAACAGTACTTCAGGTACTGCTATTGTATATACACACATCAATTTGACATCAATTTAATATAAATTTATTTGATTTAAATTATATATTATCAATGTAACTGTATATAATATTATATTGTTGACTATTTAATTATTAACCATATTATCAGTAGTTAACTTTTGCAATGTTATTATTGTTTGTATTGACTTAACTAATTTAACAGTAATTTAATTTAATCAATTTTCATTAATTTATTTACTTCTAATTTGTGTAATAGTAATTTCTGATTCAAAATGTTATGTTTGACTCTTAATGCAGGCTGTGATCTTCTGTAATTAAGAATACACCAGATCAATAATTTATTATTCTCTGTGAATGCTATGTGATATTCTTGTTGAAGATCCTTAAATAAATAAATATATTTATTCTACAGAAAGTATCGTATACAGGGTGTAAGGGACATCGTAACGAATACTGAAATAGTGTGTTCAGACCATGATTCTGAGTCAAAAATGATTGGAATTTTCTGCCGAAAAATTCTTTTTTTTTTTCGGTAATGATATCACAATGAATAAACAGAACATTTCACCGAAAACAAATTTATAAATACCGCATACGGTCAAAAACTGCAATGTAATTAATCAAACATCCGAAGAGGGCTTCCCCTCCGGCCGCCAACTTGTATTATTTAATTTTTTATTTATTTAACTTAATGCACAAGTTCTACACAGGCGGACTTAATGCCCAGGGCATTCTCTGCCAGTCGACCTTCGGGTGATGTAGAAAAATGATGCTGTAGGTGCAAGAGAAAACAGAGAGTTTGACTTTTTTATACTAAATTTATTAATTTAAGATAAATCTAACTTGCATATACTATAAATAAAATACTATATTCATTACTACATATATACATAGAGGTCTCAAGCATACACATACAATACATAAACATACACATTTATAAATACATAAATATCAAAATACATAGTCGGGTACTGGCGTTGTAACCTCTCTGCCAACTTATTTTGAAGAAGATCTTGTACTTTCTTCTTGAACGTAAACCGGTTAGTGGACATCCTGATTCCACGGAATACACATGTAGTTATTACTTTTCTGCGATACCTACGGGGAATGACCTTTACCTTTGACAGCTGATTGCATAAAAAGTTTAATTTTCCGGCAGAAAATTCCAATGATTTTAGACTCAGAATGATGGTCTGAATACACTATTACAGCATTCGTTGCGATGTCCCTTACACGGTGTATATTTGATTCTGTATGTATATTACATAAATATGTATTTATGTATTCGTCTATGTAGGTACTTTTAAATAGCACTATTAAGTGTTATTTTTATATTTGTAAATGCTTAGTTCATAGTTTCATTGTACATATGCACCTGCCATGTCCCTTACTGAACTATCTAAAGGTTGACTGGTAGATAATGCCATGTGGTATTAAGTCCGCCTCGTGCAAGTTGTAATGCAGGAAGTGTAAAATAAATAAACGGGCACAAAGAACACCCAGCTGTTCTGAGAACAGCTGGGTGTTCTGAGAACAGCACTTAGACTTAATGGTTTGTGTAACGGAGAGCTACGCAGGTACGATTCGCGCTAAATTCAAACAGAAATTTTATGAGCATAATTTCTGTTCTGTGCATACAACCAATCTATTTATTTATTATCTGTGGAATCTACTGTCACTTGCTGTATTTCTTCAAACCCACAGATTACGTAGCAAGCTATAAAATAACCAACCACCTCAAAGGCCATAACTTTGACGCCGAAGATGGCGTGGTGGTTTAAGTTTTCACCTCGCCGCTTCCTACCGCGCTGAGTGTTGTGGGTTCGATCCTCGCATCCGACAACACTTAGTGTGATTGACAAATTGACCGAGTCTGGGTGTTCTTTGTGTCCGTTTCATGTATGTTTGTAAAGACCCCCGCCACACAGGATATATTGTTAGTCCAGGAGTTGTCTTTTTAAAATGAATCGACTTTTTATATTGAAATAGGATACAAACAAGCAGACCCTTCACCTGATGGTAAGTAACAACCTCCGTCAATGGACAAATGCCGCCGCCTCTTCAGAATTAGAGATAGAGGACAGGTGTTGGGCGCTAATAACCTCACTAACCAGGTGAAAATAACCGAAATAATTGCTTAACTTTTGAGTTGCAACAGGTGTCATTGAGCATGAGTAGTCAGAGGGCCTAGTAACCTAGAAAGTTTATTTCACATGAACTCCTGCGCTCGGCGTTGAGATTGGTGAAGATTTCTAACATACACTCGACTCACGGTAAGCGCGTCCGGCGCTACGATTGGCCCGCACTGAAATCTGCACCAATGGCAATGCTAAACACGTTTGCTGTCGCGAGTGACTTGATGTGAAATAAGCTCACACTTGGGCCTCAGGTGTCGTTAGAATCGTCTTAATTGTGAGAATGACACTAGGATATGAAAATTACAAAATCAACAGTACTAAACAGCAATTGGATGTGATACATTCGGGATGACAGTAAAACACTGAATTAGTGAGCGATGCCAGAGTTTGACGGTCTCACTACCCGCCTGGGCCCGCCAGCATTACGCTCGTTCTTTCAAACTTCAACATGCGAAATTGGGTATTGTGTAAAGTTTTGGGCCGTCATCCCATGATGAGCGGTTATTAGTGGAAACACCACATACAAAGACCCCAAGAGATTTTCCACCCGGTCAACAAAAAGAAAGCGCGGATTGATAAACCAAATTCACAAACCATGTTGTTTTAATTTAATCCGTTTATTCGTAGTACTTACTACCTGATAGTTTACACGTAGAAGAGGAAAATACACCACAAAACGAGGTCGAAAATAGGAAATATCCCAGTTAATATTAATTAATACCAATGTCATTTTGTTTCTTATTTAATTTTACGTCTTAAATACTTATCCGTTAGTTAGTCATAAAAATTTAGATGCACGTTCTTAGAGGTAGGTATGGAACCCGGGACAGGTTTAGAACTCTCGAGTAAATAAGGTCGAGAAAGAGTGAGACACACAGTGGATTTGAAAAATACGAGTTACTCAGAACGCTGTGTAGTCCAAAAAAACCGGCGGATATCACGTACGATGAGGCCGTTAAATTTTGAAGATAGAAGAAAGTATAGCCCAATATTAAACCGAAATAAAGAAACTCTCGAAACCGTGTGAATTTGGTGGGAATTCGGAAGAAAATCTGCGGGAGCAGTTCGTATGTGTACTGAAGAGTGACGTCATCAGGCAAAGACTGTTTGCAGAAGAAAGTTTGAGGTACTCCGGAGCAGTCAAATTGGATTGTGGATTGGAAGCGACAGAGCGTGATGCGGCAGTCGTAGCACAAAAGGCGCGGTCAGATCGCGAACCGTGAGCGAGCGAGTCACGGGCGAGCGGCGCTGGATGCCGATACTGCATGGGCAAAGCACGGCATGCGGCTGGCGCGGACATAGCAAGGAGGAATGCCGCTATAAGCATTTTGTTTGCAGCAAATGCAAACCAAAGCGGTCATTTGAGGCACGTTTGTCCAGGGGCGGAGGCGAACAGAGGCAGAGGCAGTAAGCGCGGGGTAAACCACTGGCTATCACGAGGGAGCAGAGATTCCAACTCGGACGAGCTAGAAGAAGGGCTACACCAACTATGTTTGAGCAGCTACCCTGGTGAGCTTATCATTACTCATTGATGATATTAATTAAAAAAATGGAATTAGATACAAGCTCAGCAATTTCATGTATTAGTAAAAAAACATATGATAATATTAAACCAATAACTACTAATTTTAAACCAATATATATATATATATATATATATATGTATATAACATAAGACCCCTTATAAGACCGAAGGTCCAGTACAAGAATAAGGCAAAATATTTAGAGCTGTTTATGATAGACGGAGGTACAACTTCTTTGTTTGGCAGGTAATGGTTAACAGAATTAGAAATTAAAGTTGGGGGGTACTTTCAATCAGCAACCATAGCCATGTTATACATAAAATGCCTGATACTGTAAATTGTTTGTTAAACAGGTATAAAAAGAGAGGTATGAGGTATAAGAATTTTTATCGGCGGATTGGGACAGTACACAGGCGCAACTCTCCGTTTTATGGGGCGCGACCGCTGCCCTACGCTCTGAGGGGGTCCGGTGGACGCCATATTGCCCGCGAGCATCATCGAACCCGTCGAGTGCTCGGAGTGGGCGACGCCATTGGTACCGGTACGCGGACTCCGTATCTGTGCTGATTACAAAGTAAGCTTGTAAAAGCTTTAAAAGCTTCACTTGTTTGTATGTTTGTAACCGACTCCTTCGGCGTGATTTTGACTGACTTTAAACTGTCAGAATTCGTTCAAACTTTGTAGATATATCGAGGACCGATGACAATACACTAATTAAAAAAAATATATATATAGTTTTAAAAAACTATTTTTTTTTTAAATACTGTCTTACTGGTCGGTAGATACTCGCTACCGAAGACCAATGATCTATTAAATTAAACGGTGCTGCTCATTACTTAAAAATTGACTTCAGATTGAGCTGGACGATTCTTAAGAATTGACTGTAAGAAATACACATCAAGGTTTGTTTAAATACAATAGACTCGTGTTTGGATTGTCGTCTAGCCCGGGCATTTTCCAGCGTATTATGTCAAATCTACTTAGATATATTCGGGGGTAGAAGAATTCTCGGCGACATTATTCTTGGGACGTCGGGAACACCAGATTAACAGTTAGGAACATTAGAAAGGGTGTTCCATAGGTGACAAAATCACGGTATGAAGTTAAAAGAGTAAATGTTTATACATGGTTAATGAAGTCAAATACTTAGGGTATGTTATGTCCGTGTGGTGACGGATTAAGAATACAGTGTCACCACCCCTATTCATCCCGTGGGTGTCGTAAGAGCCGACTAAGGGTGCAAACTACGCAGGACAACATCACTGCAAAGAGAAGGAAAACTTGACACAATCCTTATACCAACCCGTCTGGCCAGCGTGGTATAGTAGGCCAATCCTCCTTTCTAAGGAGAGGCCTATGTCCAGCAGTGGACTATTGATTGAAGGCTGTTGTTGATGTGATGTTATATCAAAAAAGGGTATTAAGGTAGATGCAGATAAAGTAAAGGAAATAATACAAATTCCCAGGCGACAAGATGTTACTGAGTTACGTTCTTTTTAAGATTCAGTTAATTTTTTGAGAATTTGATTAGTATATTGTCTTCACTTTATGCCCTTTTAAAGAAAAATGCAAGTCGGAAATGGAGTGTTCAGTGCAAAAAAGCGTTTGCAAAAGTTAAAAAAATAATTGATAGATGCAGAAGTGTTGAAGGTGGAGTGACGATTTGCGCAAGATGGCTGGCAGGAGCTGGATGCGAGAAGCCCAAAATCGATCTAAGTGGCGTGCGATGGGAGAGGCCTATGTCCAGCAGTGGACTGCGATAGGCTGATGATGATGATGAAGCCGTTGGTGTTGACATGCGACGCGAGCGCACGGGGCATAGGCTGCGTGCTCACACACTCAGGCGCCGACGGCCGTGACCATAGAAATCGTAATAATGATTTTTGTGGCGGCAACAGGCCAGTTGTGTATGTGTGCGTTAAATAACGCCGAAAAACATTATTCTCAAATAGATCGGGAAGCGTTAGCTTTCGTATTCTGTTTACAAAGATTACGTCAGTATGTCTATGGAAGACGCTTTGTTTTACGAACTGACCATAAACCGTTAGTGAGCATATTTGGACCAAAACACGGGGTAGCGGCGCTGGGCAATAATTTTATCTGCATATATACGTATGATATAGAATACGTCAAAACTAAACAAAACAGAGCGGACTGACTATCGAGATTACCGGTTCCGTGTTGTAGCGATGAGTCACTGCATGTCCCTGAGCAAACGTATTTACATTTTGCACAGAACGCATTGTTATTAGATTATAATATAATTAAACAACAAACTATACTAGACCCAATGTTATGTAGGGTTTTAAGTTATATTCGTGACAGCCGTATTTTAACCGACGTAGGTAACTGTACATAGAGCTAGGCTGCGTTATGTGGTGGCACAGGGTAGTTTTTCCGGCAAGCTGTAAAGCTAAGGTATTACAGGAGTTACATTAAGGGCATAGTTAAGACGAAGATATCAGCTAGGAGTTATGTTTGGTGGCCGAGCATTGACGAGGCGATTGAGGCGACGTGCCGGGAGTGCACGGTGTTCACAGGGGTGGCGGATGCACCGCAGCGGTCACGCCGTAGCCCTGGTCTTCTAAACCGTGGGCAAGGGTACATCTTGATTTCTAGGCCCTATTTTTGTTAAAATATATTTTTGATTGTGGCTATAGGTATAGATGTAAAACAACCGAATTAAAACGTTTTACATAAAATGTTGTCATTTTAAACCCAAGATAAATCGTTTTAAACGGATAAAAACTCGCCTATAAAAATAAAACAACTATGTTTTACACTTCATTGAGGGCAAATTTTGGTCACCTGATGTCATGTTTCGTTTTAATTGGTTTGTAGAAAATCAATAGGAAGCTCCTACCTACATAAGTATGTAGGTATACTTATTTATTATATTGTATCATATTAAATAAATATTACACACACTAGATTAGAAGACATCATTAACACAATGCCGAAGACAACGTTATGTCTTCAAGTTTGGTTTCAAACAACCAACACAGAGTTTAACTTATCAATAGAGTTTTTATGGCTTAGGTAGGTAATTCCTTTCTATTTTTCGCACGATACCCACCGTTGGGAAAACGCAGGGCGTGTGATGGACTCCCGGAGAAGCGGAGTACCCGCTAAATCCCGCGGCGGGCTACCTCGGCAGTCGGGAGGAGCTCCAGGAACGCATCGGCGGCTTCTGGAGTCCTCCTTGCCGTACCCCGTGTCTGAGGCACATCCCGGGGTGAAGGTAGTCACCCTGGGGCGGGAGGTTGCCGCGCGTCTCACTGCTCTATACGTTTTGGACGACACATCCGGCCACACCGGAGTGTCATATGTCTCGGGTCGTTTGCAGCGGCCACATGGCCCCAAGATGTGGCCGCAGCGACCTTTAGGCGGTGATTGGGAAGCTAGCGACCACTGCCACGTCCCCTTCGTCGCCTCCTTCGAGCGGGATTGGCCCTCTCCTGATCCCGCTTTGCGACCTCCTTCTGGAGCATAACGTCCCCGCAGAAAGAGACCGCGGCTCGCCACTCGCTTACAGATTTCGTCCGATCTGTCCGACCAAGACTCGACGTTCGGACGTGTGCTGGGCGGAGTCCCGGTCGGACACGCAATGGTGTCATTATGCCGTGACCTCCCGTCCAATTCTGACCGACAGAGCGAACTTGGTCATAGACCATCGCGTCCATGTCGGCCAGAATGTCGAAGTCTGGATATCGCGCTAGGACCGTCACCGCCTCAAACGAGATCATACGATTCGTATGGCCATCAACTGCTGCAGGCCTCAGAATAGAGCTCCGTAGCGGGAGGCACGCGCCAAGTGTTTAGCCCAGACGGGTGCCCCATAGAGGACCATGGATCGCACGACGCCCATGTAGAGGCGGCGAGGAGTTTTAGTACAATTTAGAAAAGTAATTATGTATTATTTAAGGTAGAGGATTGTAATGTATTTATGTTTACCCACATAAGTTTAGAATGTAAGTGACCCAATATAAGCGGACACAATCTTGTAAACCGATTTCATTCGTAATATCCCTACGCTCACTATCGATCAACACTCTTTTATTTCACCAAGACTCTTCAGGAATCGAATCGTCTCCGGCATAGTAGTCAAGGTCATTAACCACTAGACCAACAGGCCTGTCCTACCAGATGGTAGGACCAAAGCTCCTAGACAGGAGGTCTGACAACCAGACAGTAGCTGGGATAGACTGATTGAAGGCGGATATCCAGGTGATCTCTGAATAAACAATTAAGGTCTCTCATCCCTCAATAAATTAATTAAAGAGGTATTATAATTTATTAGACAGTGCTAGTAATTTTGTTGTTCGAAAACTCTCGAAACTAAACTAAAAATTTGTTTAGTCCTGTCAAACATCGTAGTAGTACTTGACAGGACTAAACTAAATTTTAGTTATTTTTAGTTTAGTTTAGAGAGTTTTCGAACAACAGATTAGCACCGCTGTCAGTTATTTAAGTACCTTGGCTCCACCCGCGTGTATGTAAGTTATGGTGGTAAAAAGTAGCCTATGGTGATATATATGGCTGATAATGTAGCTTTCCATGATAATCTAGGTTTAGTGGTTTAGGCGTGAAAGCGTATCAAACAAACAAACAAATTCACATTTTTAATAATAGGTCTTTACCTATGAAATTGCCGTTTTGTATGCAATAAGTGAAAGTACTTTTTTCTTCAAACTTTTTTATTTCTGTTATTCGAAGTAATCACCCATGCAATCGACGCATCTTTGCCAACGCATTGGCAGTTTATTGATGCCCTTCTTGTAAAAATCAGCTGGACGGGACGCAACAAACTCTTCAAAGGCATTTTGTACTGCCTCTCGGGAATTGAATTTTTTACCCACTAAAAAGTTGTCTAAATTTTGGAAAAAGTAATAGTCGGTAGGTGCAAGTACTTTCACTTATTGCATACAAAACGGCAATTTCATAGGTAAAGACCTAAAATAAGTATGGATGACTAAAATTTAATACTAATAAAACATTTAATACAGCAGTTTATTATTATTTTTAATTTCATAGTTTCTTAATTGTAAGTATAATTTAATCAATTCAGGGACGGACACAGATAGACTGCACAGATGGCGTAGTGGTTTAACCGGTCGCCACGCTGCTTCCTACTGCGCTGAATGTTGTGGGTTTGATCCCCACATGGGACACCACTTTGTGTGATCCTCAAATTGTTGTTCTGAGTCTGGGTGTTCTTTGTGTCCGTCTCATGTATGTTTTTAAAGTCCCCCGTGACACAGGAAAATATATTCCTAATGCCCGAGTTGTCTTCTTAAAAAAAAAAAGGAAATTGTGCGACAATGAACAGTGGTAGTCATTTACCATAACTATCTGTTTATTTGTAATGTGTCTCAGTAAAAAAAGCTGTATAATAATTAACAACATTTTTATAAAATGTTGTTTATTATTAAATGTAAATATGTAATAAAACAACCTTTATATATATGATTTTATTTTACAGGTAACAGATCTCCCCAATTACTTGACCTGGCACATCTATACGTTGTCTGATCATACTTACCTTTTGAGAATATAACCTCTTTTAATTCACCTTGTGACGTACACAGCCTGCATATCGTATGTCCTGACCGTACTACAGGAGCACGGACTAATCTCGGCCATTGCGGGTCATCAGAAGGACGCACACCCTTTTTAAGAACCACATAAGAAAATACATCTGCGTTAACTTCACTTTTACCTACAACCGGTAACGTTTCATATTTCATAAGAAAGTTACAAGGAGTCTCTTGTTCTAAGTACCGTGGACAAACATTATCGTTTGGACATGGAGAAAATACATAACCGTTGTTTCCAGTTGATTTTTTAGGCAAGTTAAGAACAAATTCTCTAGCTTCATTAACTACTTTAAATCCAGCAAAAGACCCGTGTTCAATTATTATTAAATAGTCTTCAGTTTTATTCCATAGTTTTTGAATAGTTTCTAATCTAGCCTGCATGGATGGCATTTCAAATAAAGAATATGCAGATAACACAATACTGTATTTAAGATCGGTAGATGCGGGTAAAAACTGCCTTTGAAAGTAACCTTTAAATGGCATTTCAACATTATCTTTGCCACGGCACAGTATAAGACGGGCTAAATCGTGCATACTAGATGACGTATCTACACAAAAATATTCGAAAATTTCCTTAGACCAAAAGTGGTTAATTGCCCATGTGCCTGTACCTACACCCGACCCGAAGTCGAAAAAACTTCGCGGTTTATAGTCTGGATATTTTTTTTTAATTTCGTCTAACACTCTGACTAAGATCGCATACTCTTGTGCGGCCCGACTCATTAAATACTGCAAACACGTTCCTTTATCATACGATATATTGCCCCATCTATAAACATTCTTTTTTAATACATTAAAAACTTTATTTTTTACTTTCTGTTCATATAGTAACGCTTTCTCTTCTGTTAACTCTTCATTTATTTGTGAATACACTTGTTTCGAAATTCTTTCGTGAAATTTCTTTGCCTTTTCCTCGATTTCTCCTTCTTCTGGTGGTAAATGACGCGATCGGATATAGTTGTTTAATTTTATACTGTCTAGGTGCATCGATTTCGCGCCAGTGTCTTCTAGAATCACTTTTATAGCTTTTTGAATGTCTGGTGGAATCGCTGCCACTTTGATACGCGTAGTGCCTGGATGTTTCCTAGGTTTGTACACTTTAGCATCAAAACTCTCCTTCAAGTTAGGATCCACAGCAACTTTGGTAGTATAAGCAGCACGATTTAGCGTGTAGTAACAACATCTTATATTTCTAAACATATTTATAACCTAACTTAGCTTTCTCGATAGGTATGTTTATTTAAATGTCAGTGTGTATTGTGTTGACATTCAAATTCAATTTAGGGTTGCCAGAAAATCAGTAAAAAAAGCGGTAGAAAATGAAAATGCTTTAAAAAATATTTTTGATTATAACTTGACTGAAGAATTTTACAGTGTATGTTTGTTTACCTCTATATTAATTGAAAAATATTGTTTAACATTTTTAGCTAAACTAAACCAATGTAAACCTAAGTACATATAGAAATCAATGATCATTATAAACGCAATCTCCTACTAATTCAACCTAGGAGGCCTTTGTTCAGCAGTGGACGGCATCTACTGCTGAGCAAAGGCCTCCCCCAAGGAGCGCCAACCATTCCGGTCTTGGGCAGTCCACATCCATCCGCTGCTAGCCACTTTCCTCAAGTCGTCGGTCCATCGTGCAGCACAGCGGTCTTGATAATTTAATTAATTGCAACCATCGCATTGTTTACCTGCTATACAATATTAACAGACGTACCTTGCCTTTACTTGCACTGAATGTTAAAACGTGTATGGGGAACGAGTTAATACTAGGATTAATTACTAGGATAAATAATTAAAACTAATCCTTAAGAAGTTATGTACAAAAGATGGTCACAATCCGCTTACCCGTTTCAGAGATCCAGCAAACCCACAAACGTTACTCCAGCAGGATTTCGAATAACTTCGCAGCCGAAGAAAATACAAATACCAAATAAGTTGTAACATTTACCTAGTCCAGATAACTAATTATTTAGCTAAAATTTATTTCAATATTACAATTAAAAAAGAAAATGTCTGGCTGCGGTAACGTTTTAAACGTTACCCCAGCAGGAAATGTTTTTTTGAAATAACTAATAAATTTTAAGTGAAACAAATTTAAAAATGTGCCTAACAATTACAGCAGGGGAGCAACTAATTATCTATAAAGTTTAAATGACCATTTTCGACATTATTTTGCTGGGGTAACGCACACGTTGCAGATCACTACAAGAAATTAGTAATTTGCCTATTTTTCGTAATATTTGATATATATTATTAATTATTACAAAAAATAGGTAAATAATTGAAAATATGCAAATGCACCTGTTCGTTTAGTGACATAGGGACAGAAAAAATTAAGTTCTTGCTCAAATGTGTAGTTACATATAAAAACTAATAACTAGAAATTGACTTAAGGACTTGCCTGTTGGTCTAGTGATTCGTGACCCTGACTGCTAAACCCGAGGTCATGGGTTCGACCCAGGATAAATTATTATTAGGTATCATCATCATCTCGTGTGCGTTACCCCAGCAAAATAACATAACATTATTTTGCTGGGGTAACGCACACCATCATCTCAGCCTTAAGACGTCCACTGCTAGACAGATACCACTCCCAGGGCTCTTCACAACAACCGGACCTGTGCTGCCAGCATCCAACAACTTATAAATTATTAGGTATAGACGAAAACAATCTAGAAAAATAATTGCACGCTACCAATAATGTACAGTATCATTAAAAAACTTTTAAGGATATTTTGGCATGGACAAATAAAACTATACAAAAATAAATTATCATTTTATTTCGTTTTCTTTTTGTTTGTGCTTTGAGATGCAATTTCTAAAGTCGTTGACTACGTCTTGGCACTTTCTCCAATCTTTGGTTTCTGCTATGCACTCCTAAAAATAAAAGCTTTAATTCACAAACATAGATGGCGTCTAAACAAATAAAAAAACAAGCACCCTTGTTAGCATAAGTATACCAATATTCCAATTTCCCTTTGTGGCATGTAAAAAGCATCTCACCAAAGGTGACATACTGTTTTTTTTACAATAAACAAATTTAAAGAATTCAATATTAGATTACAGAGTTGTATTATTCAGGCTTCATAATAAAAGTTCTTAAACTGCTAGTAACATTTGATAACTATTGACTGACAGCATAAAATGTAAATATTAAAAAATCCCTGTCCCAAAAACAACTATTTGGTATTGGAAGAGTTGGCAAGAATAAATACTAATGATATTTGCTGGTAGATAGCTTTTAATAATACAGTATACTAAAAACAAGGTTTTTTTTAAATACTAAAATAGAGGAAGCAAAGGAATATTTCTGTTATGTTTATTTCTAAACCTTTATGAGCTGTTTCAAGTGTTTACATAACAAATATAATATTTTGTACCTGCACTTTGTAATGTAACTCCAAGCAGCCAGTTTTTTTTAGCATGCTTTCCACAGGATCCTCGTCGTCATTTACAGGCTTTTCTCGTGGTTTTATAGTCATATTAAATTATACTTTCCACAATTACTTAAGAAAGAGGGTGTTTAGTACGTTTTACATTATATCAATAAATAAACTGATATCTAACCTTAAAACATAATCAGCTGTCACAAGTGTTACCATTTGAAGATTTAAAGAACTACTAATTTTAAGTAACTTTATTCGGAAAGTAACCTATACAAGGCACACTGCTGTGTAGTATTTTTACCTAATATTTCTATGGTTAAAATTTTACACTGCAAAGAAAGTCTTTAGCAACCGAGCCTTGGGTACGCTGCAGTGTAGTATTGATTACCTAACAAAATACTACACTGCAGTCTGCCTTGCATAGATAATAATATTTTTTTTTAAATATCTACCAAAACCTACGAATAATACAGAAATTATTATTCGTAGTCTAAACGGACAGTAATTAGGATTTGCAAAAAGAGTAGACAAAATATGCTTTATTATTTATTAGAATGTAAAAAATGCATTAAGTCTTAATGTAATGCATATGTTTGACCAAACAAAGTAGTCTAGTACTAGTAAACAGCTTAGTGAAATAAAAAAAAACATATAATATTGCTGATGAGCTGTTATTGGTTTTTAATTCTTACAGTATTTTAGGCATAATTTGATTCAGGGTAGGGCAAAACCAAGATTCTAAATAAAATATTGACAAAAACGTTGACTATAATTATGATTCCCGCACGCTCCAAGTAGCTTTACGCGAGGATCCTCATTTCGGTTACCGGTGACACTGAGGCACCCTGCCGTGTTCAAGCGGCACCTTGCCTTGGATCAGTGATTTTTTTTAATTCATCTCTTTTGCAGTCAGTAGCTGGTTATTCAAATATTCGTTTCGTGATGATGTCATAAGTATTACGAGTAAAAATGAAATGACTGACTTCTAAGAACTTTTGTAATACTTTTCTTTGCTTGTATGTGTGTATTTTTTAATTTTAATCTGAACATATTATAAATTGAGTAGCTCGATATCTTTTTTTTAATATGAAACCTTTTTCTTCTCGCTTTCCTGCAATTTGCGAGGGTGATTTTGTGAAATGGGACGGTAGTATGTAACAGGAATCCTGGCAAGCACGTGATATTTGATTTGAACAAAAAGCGCCTGGTGCTAAAGTGGGCCGTCAGATAGTAGGTGAGATATTAATTGTTACACATTATATACCACATTTGCCTGCCTCCTGCACTTAGGTCACGGGCCATTCCTGGGTCGGACCAAATGTTTGAATGATCGGCAAATATTTGTTTCGGTTGTTTCGGATTTTCGGTGTTTAATATGTATAATATGTATGTATTTACAAAAAAAAGTATATAAGTATTCTATCACTCAATCTAGCTTTCAGAGTACAAGTGTTAGATGTCAGGAAAAATATTATTATTATAAAATATAATTTGCGACTAATGTAACGCTCGCTTTATTTACTTCATATATAAATCATAAGACTGGAATGAGTTCTGACATTGGTCGAGACACAAATCCTGGAAAATATTTTTTTAAATGAGGTTTCATGACACTTATCAAGTCATTGTCAATTTCCCGCCGTCTGCTAAGGTAATCTTCTATATTATTTTGTATAAATGAGGGATCTTCAAAGTCTTCTAACGAAGAATTCAGTAATCCGACATACGCGCATTGTAGTAAAGTGTCGCGGAGCGCGCCTGCTTTATTTGCATACTTTTTCTTTATTAATGGTACATGTTTAACATATTTATCAATGAACGCCTGATTTCTTTGTATATTTTCTACCACGTCATTGAATTCGTCATCCATTTTAATTTTTTCTTGCATCCATTTATTTAATATAGTTGAATCGGGATCATTGGAAATTATCGATCGAAACACAATCCATATCAGCTTTTTGTCACGGAAATTGTGGTTACGGCTTTTCAACACGTCACATACGAACTCGAATGCGAAATATTCAGCAAATGTCTTATGAATAAACATCGGGGTGGAGTCGAAGGTAACGTACGAAATTAGACCAGTCTTCTCTTTGGCTATTCTGAGGCGGGAAATTATATCACTGTATTCTGCACTTTGACCCGCTGCATTAAAACAAAATGGCGTCACATCATTAAATTCTTCGAAACAAAAGTTGAACTTGCTAAATAGTGGGCTTCCAAAAATAACGTGAGCTCCAATTCTTTTATACATAGTCATGCACTCTTTTAGTTCTGCTGTGAATTTGTCCTTAAAATATGGCACATCAATATTCATGCCGTATTTATCATGAATATTTCTTTTTAGGTTATTTTCAACAAACTTTTCGTACATAGTGAGGGTGTTAAAGTTGCCTTTACACTCCAGTTTCTGAGCATTTAAGACTTCATTTACGATGTATTCTCCAGCCAGACACAAAAGTAGCGGCGTTCCCATAAATTGGTCAAGTTCCAGTTTTAGATGGCCATTAGCTGGATTCTCTATAACTTTATAAACATTTTCCATCTGTTCGACTTTCAGTTTTAATTCTGGTACATTTTGGATCATTTCGTCTACAAGGCATGGAAATTTAGAAATTATTAATGAGTAAAAGTGATAGCAAAGTACCCGTAAATTGTAATCTATTTCAGATATGTTGCTTAACATGAATTCTAGAAATGATTTTACATTAATTTCAGTGAGTATTTTTAACATGAATTTTCTTTCCCAGAACTTTGATAAAAAATCGGTCTGCTCCGATTTACTGAAACTTTGCATTTTATACGCTCTACCGATATTTCGCTGCAAAGATGGCATCGGGTTGTATGACCTACTAGTAATCCATATTTTATTTTTTCTAGGCAAATGTTTAACGACTTTTAGAAATTGTATAACTTCATCACTGTAATCAGGGCAAATTTCATCAAAGCCGTCAAATAAAAATATCAGTTTTTTCTCGTTATAATAATGGAGAAACATGTTCAAATAGAATCTAGACAAATTGTTATCTGAACACTCTTCTAAATACATCTTGTCGCTGACTTCTTTTAATTCAAATGTAACGCTTCTATCTTTTAGTACAACTTGACACAATAATTTCAATGTTGCCATAGTATTTATTACGATATTAATATCTTTCTGCCATCTGTTGAATTCTGTCGAATAATCTCGCAAGTTTACTCGTACTATCCAAACTGTTTTATCAGTTTCCTTTGTCTTAAGTGCTAAATGAGTGAGTAGAGTTGACTTGCCCATCCCAGGCGGAGCGGTCACATGAACAACGTCATCATTTATATCACTAAAGGTTTTCAATTCACAATTCCTATTATAATGAAAACGGAAAAGGAAATCAACATATCCTACACTGCTTGTTAATCCTGGCTTGTAAACAAGTGGGGTACCTTTAACGAGAAATTTCGAGCCATTGCTTGAAGTAAACTCATATTCTGAAACAACCGGAGATTTTGTTTTTTCATACATAACATAAGATCCGATTATGACGTCAGTAAAGACTCCGGGTTTAAGCATTTTTAAAGAAACTGTCGTATAGATGACATTTTCCTCTTCTTGTTTACTTGGAGTGAAAGAATCAGAGTCTGTTTTGACTGACTCTTGATCAACGGCTTTTGGACTCATTTGAGCATCGTCATCATCGATGTTTTCAAGGTTATGAGGAATGTGCGATTCTTCCTGTATATCTTCAGTTTTTACATTATTTTCGGTATTTGGGCTGACATCAATTGTTTGTTGGTCGACAGTGGTCACCTCATTACTGTAAGCTTTTTGACTGTTATTATTGCTGCAACTCATCTGTTGGGCGAAAATAGTAGTGGGATGTTCCCGAAACCAAAAATATTCTTTTTCCGGATCTTGTTTTTCTTTGAATACAGTATTCATTGTTTCGACATTTAAATTATCAGAGACCTCATGTGGTGCCCCTGAAGATTTGTTTTGTATTAGAAAGTTCAGAATATATCTTTGGCACATCGATTTTAGTGTTAAAAGTGTATCCGCAATCATGGTTTTATTTGTCTTCCATTTAGAGAAATCTTTTAAAAACCCTAAAAACTTTATTTTTACAATCCACAGCTTTCCTTGCACTTCTTCCTTTTTGAATGAGAAGCAGGAGCAAATCGTCGGCTTACCGTTTATATCTCTAATATCATACAATCGTAAATTTTCTGGACTTTTAATGTCTCTCAGATCCAAGCAGCATTCAAATTGAAAAATTATGTGATGTTTACAACCGTCTTCATCTAAAATTACATAACAATTTTGAACCTTAATAATTGACGAAATATCACCATAGCATATATTACAATAATCCTCAAATATGTAATTGTTTACACTTTCCTCTACTTTGTATTTACAGTCATCATTTTCAGTTTCTTCTACTGTGACATTCGATGCCATATTATGCTTAGGTGCATTTTGTTCTACCGTCTGAGCTGCATCATTTCTTAAATATTCATTTATATAGGCTGTAAAATTATTATTATCGTTCCTTTCTGTTTTGTTTAAAAAATAACTACATAGATTTAGTAGAATATTGTTCGTAGAGTAAGTATTTTTAAAGTCTTCCTGCTCCACCGTTGAAATAGAAATTCTACCTAAATATAATTGACTTTTAACATATTCCACTCTTCTATCTTGGTATAAATCTTTAATTTTTGCGTAGTTATCATCATTGAGTGATTCGCCTATTTCGATAGGTTCGTTTTGTATAATTTTATTTAACACATTACCTTCTATAAACGCAACAGATACATCATCAATAAATAAATCTAAATTAATAAGTTGTCCTTCAAACAATATTTTACAATTTTCTGTTATAATCTTTTGTGATTCTTTATTCAAATCAATTAACTTATTTTTCTCATAAATTATTTTAGTATCAGGTTTCTCTATGTTCTCTTCTAATTTTATATCAGAAATAAATAATTTCTTCATCACATCGACATACTCTTGATTTACGACAATAATTTTTTGTTTTTGTTCTACTAGTTTTGAAACGTCTTCAACATATTTGTCAGAGAAAGTATTATCTTTTAGTAAGACATTGCATAAAATAATAAGTATTTTTTTAGTATTTTTCAATTCTGTTTTCATTTCATAAAAATCATCAATAGACAGTTTAACAATGGATTCTAGATCCAAAACCACATAGTTATTGAGTTCTACTTTTCTCAAATATTGAATAACTTTTATAGCTGTCAGAGTTGTCACATCTGTAACAACAACAGATGTTAAATCCAATTTGTTTTTTCCATTCTCATCTGTGTTTTCCAGAAGGGGATTTAACGATTGTAATGAATCTATCGTATACTCGATATTTTTCATTTTAGTCATATAAAAGGTGATTTGCAAGGAAGTAATCCGCGGCTCAATGACTATATTTTTTATTGCTCGTTGGTATATATCACTGTCTTTCGTTAAATAAGGGCCTTTTTCTGACAACAACCACCACTTCAGTATTTCGTTACGGTAACTCTGAAACATCAAGTCAGGATCAACTTGAATATCATCCGGATTGGTGGTACTGTGATACTCTTGAATTTTGTTCCTCAATAATTCTTGTACTCCTTTATGATTACTTTGTTGAGCATAGATAACTACTCTGCATAAAATCTCCTTTGCTGTGTCTCGGCTGTCAAACGAAAGTTTCGGGAATGGTACGTTTGCTTTTATCTCAAATCTGTATTCATGCCAGTTATTGAGATTAGTTTTTAATTTGTCTAGTACAAGCTTAGCTCCAGTCTGTTGTGATGTTAAATTATCTGTCAGTTTAAGTAGATTTGTAGTTTGATCGTAAACTAACAAATTGCCTACTGCTCCGGCTAAGCCACCATTCAAACGTAGCAGTCCGTCTTCTATAGTGTCATCAAGCGTTACAATATTGTAACAGTTATTGGCTTTAGATTTCTGGCATAAATTAATGATGTTTTTAGTTAAATGATCCACCCTTCTTTCACTTATCACTAAATCTCTGTTGCCAAATGTGCTTGGAACTTTTAGTTTGAGGGACAATAACATTTTTCTTGCAGCAATGGTTTCCGCTTCCTCTATGATGGATTGAGGTAGATAAATTTGTTTCAATTTTTCAATATCATTCGGCAGTCTCTGATTTTTACGATAAATAAATTCTAATTTACCGTTTTTATATTCAATACAAGTCCCCAGCACAGAGCTTAATGTATTTGAACAAGGATTGAAGAAGAAAGCTTTTAATGGCTCATCTACTGATTCATCTTCAGTTTTGGACTTAACTTTTGTATTTATTTGATTCTTCAATACTACTCTGCAAAGAGATTTCTTCAATAACACGAGGTATTTATCGCTTGTGTCGAAAAATTCCGGCCGAAATGTCAAAATACGAAATTTTGAATCTGTTTTTAGAGTTTCACATTGAATTTCTGAAACGTCTATAACTTTACTTGCTAATAGAACATGATACCTTAAAATATAATCATCAAGCATTATATTCATTGATTGGTTGCTGTTTTCATTGAAGAACTTTGCAAACCGTATGGCCAGGGTATTAATCTCTTCTTTTGAAATAGTTTCTGCGGATTCCTCTATAATTTTGTCATTTCTTATCAACTGAGAACCATTTTTACCAGTAGCAATCAAATCATTCAATACTCCAGCATAGTCGCTTGTCCATTCAATACCTGAATCATTTTTATATTTTGCGTTGGTGTACAGAATAAAAATACACTCGTGATCATCAAATTTGCCAGTAAATAACTTATCTTTGCTTTTTGATTTTGCACTGGTATAAAATTTTTGAATAACTTGTGAATAACTGTCCGGGAAGTATTTACTTACGTCAAAGTCTAATTTATCATCGCCTTCCTTGTGTTTAGATTGGATGAAAACTAAGAGCGCTTTGTCGAGTGCTTTTATTTTTACTTTGAAACAGACGTCATCAAATGCCCCGATCTCGTCTAAATTCGATGCAAGATGAAATTCTTCAATATTCATGTTGTGAAGCAATCCGAATAATGTATAACTTATTAAATTCATTTCGTACAGCTGTCCGCTTATCCCTGAAGTACCTGAGCGTTTTTTATACATTTTTACTTGATTTTTATCAACTTTGATTGGTTGAGCATGTACTGCTTGAGACGGTCTGTAACAGAATGATAAAATTTTAATAACAAATTATATTAATAAAGTATGAACATGTAGCTAGTAATAGTAGTTTGTTCGACTGCACATTTATACTTGGAAATTTTATTATTTCTTTCTATTTCTAGAGAGTTTCTTTCTACTTCTAGAGAGTTACAAGGTTAGTGGAAGAACGGCAAGACAGTGCAAGAAAGTATGTTTCTAGATTTATATTTTTAAAGAACAAATTTATTTATAAGCGGCTCGTGGCAAAAAGTGGCAACCGATTAGGTTAGTAAATTGCAAAGATGATCAATCACAGCCAGGTCAGTCTATAGATGGGTGACCATTCTTAACACTTTGAGACCCATCCGTGCATCGCAGAGCACGTTAAGCCGTCGGTCCCGATTGCCGTACGAATATCAGTGGCAATCATTACGGGTATTTGGAGCCCTAAAAAAGCCGTCCTGTCTTTCTACAGAACTTCGATTTTGCTTATGAAGGTCTGATGGCAGTCGCTCCGCGTAAAAAATCGAAGTTCAGTATTCTTTTTCTTTTTTTAAGGAAAGACAACTCCCGCATTAGGAATAATTATATCCTGTGTCGCGGGAGACTTTACAAACATACATGAAACGGACAGAAAGAACACCCAGACTCTGAACAACAATTTGTGGATCGCACAAAATGTCGTCCTATGTGGGGATCGGACCCACAACACTTAGCGTAGTAGTAAGCGGCGTGGCGACCGCTTAAACCACTACGCCACCCATGCAGTCAAAATATTAAACTGAAAGGCTACCCGAAAATAGTTTGGGAAAAGGCTCGGATCAAGATATTTTATTAATAATAATAATAACCTAATTTTTTGTTCTCTCACAAGTGCGTCTCATGCGTAGACTGATACATAGATAGTAATTAAACTAATAGATCTAGTAATTAGTACAATTATAGATTATCTATGTGAGAGACTGCTGTCTGTAGTAGGAGACCTTTTTGACATATTACAAGTCTCTCCACACTCTGGACAATTGGGTTCAAGTAAGTAATATTTTATTACTATACGTATGGTCGTCACCATACGTATAGTAATAAAAGTTCCGGGTGACAACCTGGAACTACCAAGCAGGCCAGTAGGGGGCGGGGGACGTGGTTAACGAGGTCGAGCCCGAACGAGTGAGTCCCGCGGGCGACCAGCTTGCTAGCCACGCCCAGGCCTAGTCTAGTGTCACCCCCTATGCGACTGCTGTGCTGAGGTCTCGGGTTCGATTCCCGGGTCGGACCAAATGTTTCTATAATCTGCACATATTTGTTTTGGAGTTTGGGTGTTTTCTATGTATGTATTTACAAAGAAAAGTACATAAGTATTCTATCAGTCAATCTAATCTAATCGAGCTATCAGTAAGCTCAGTTTAGTTTGAAACTAGACGGCGTTGTGTCATTTGTCCGAAAAAAAAGAAATATTCTAAAAGACGGTCCAAATTTGTTAAAAAAATGTAGTTCACAAAACAGGATGTGAACATACATGTCAAGAAATAATAGTACTGTAAGCATCATCATCAACAGTCTTTAATGGTCTACTGCTGGACATAGGTCTTTCCTTAGAAAGGAGCTTTTGGCCTACTATACTACGCTGGCCAGATGGGTGGGTATAGGGTTTGTATCAAGTTTATGTTACTCTTTGCAGTGCTGTTGTCCTGCATAGTTTGCTCCATTAGTCAGCTCTTACGACACACACGGTATGTATACAGATAGTACTGTAATATTTAAAATAGGCCTAAGCGTATATATCTCTCTTCATCAGACAAACTAACTTAGCGTTAGCTACTAATATTTAACGCTAAGTTAGTTTGTATGGGAGAGACCTATGTCCAGCAGTGGACTGCGATAGGCTATGATGATACGCTTAGTCCATTAAATTGTATGTTACAATATCCAGTAACCGTACATTTACAGTGTAAGTATATTTATTATAGATCACTCACACTCACAGTCGCTGGTAGCCTATCACACTTTGAACAATTGTGTTGTTGCGATATGGAACAAGCTTCCAGAAAATGTTGTGACCGTAAAGTCAGTGAACAGTTTTAAGTGCCAACTAGATATATGGTTAGAAAAGCACAACCCATTGGACTAAACAACCGTTTAATCATGTACACAGAAACTCTCACATCACAAACTTACTCCAGTGCAGTGAAGTGGACACATCAGCAAGTTTGCTGCTCATCCACAATACCCTAATAATAATATATGTATTTGTGTATTTATATGTATGTGTTTAATTTTATATGGTAGTTTTCGTATTTCCAGTAAAAAAAATCCTTTATGACTACTGATTACAACTAAACTAAAGTAAACTCAGTGCTACTTAACTAGATTTCTACACCTCCCAAAGGTTGGCTGGCTGGCAGCTGTTGATGTTGGAAAGTTGTATTTATGCTAATTGATGTAAAAAAAATCTCTGTATTTTGATATATCTATTTTTCTTTTTTTAAGACAACTCCTGAACTAAGAATACATATGTGGAGGAACGGGTGTCATGTCCCTCCAACACAAAGGGAGGATCCTCCGACCAGGCGAGGTGATCATGCATGGAGGGCCGCGGCCCAACGGTTAATGTTGGGAAGTTGTATATATGCTAATCGGCGAGAGAATTCTTTATATCACGATACAGGATTAGCAATTCTTATTTTCAGTAGTTACTCAGTAGTTCGGTGTCTTCATTAGATGGCGCTGCAGTATGTTTATGTTTCTTTGTATGTGGGAGTCGCCACACATATATTCTGTGATGTGGGGTACTTTAGTTACATTAATGAAACGAACACAAAGAACACCCACTCAGATCAACAATTTGTAGATAACACAAAGTGTTGTCCCATGTGGGGATCAAACCACCAACACCCAGAACAGTAGGAAGCAGGGAGGTGACCTCTTAAACTGGTGGTTTAAGCGGTCAACTCCAGGTGGTTTATCCAGTCATTTTTGTGAGCTATTACTCAAGTATGTACTCTGACTAACATGTGTGAAGCTATTATTATTATTAAGATGTATTGGATATAATTTATATAGGAGAAATATTATATTTGAGAATTAGTAAAGATCAGGTACTTGCATATATCTATACTCTAGTAGTCTACTAGTAGTCAGGGTAACTCAACACTGGACCAACAGGCAGGGCAAAGAATGTATAAAGTATTGGGTCAGCCTATGTTTCTCTTTATTAATGTATCTACTGATGTGAGGGACTTCATACAAACAATGTACACATGGAATACCCAACTTGGGAAAACTATTCGTTGATCAAACTAATTTGGTGGCTCTTTAACATTTTGTTTGATGCAGAGACTTATTTTAAAAGTAAATGTTCAAACACACAGATTACTGTAGGTTTTAGGCCATAAAAAAACATAAGAAAACATCACTCAAAAAAGTTTCTATACCATAATTATTTATTAATCAAAGTGACATCTGTAATTTTTAATTTGCTGTGTTTCTGTACCTATTAAATGACATAAAAAACAATTCTTGAATACTTGTTCCAATACAAATTACAGGCATTTAGCTTAACTTTAGGATTAACGAACGTATGAACAATATGGTATTGTTTAATATTTAAAAAAAAAAACAAAAAGGCATGGTTCAACAAAAATAAAGTATTATTGATAGAAAGAAACGATATGGATAACTTACAGTAATCCTGTCAGTAAAACAAACGTTACTATTCACTTAATACAAGAAAATATCAAATTAAATCCATTTTAAATTGTCCTAGGTATGTTTAGCACTTCATATTGATGAATCCTAAAATCCGAAACTGGGCAAATAATCTAGGTGCTGTAAAAAAACTGGTTAAGTGACGTCACAAGACAATTATGCATTTTATAAAAACCGCAGCGTTAATGTTGAAAAACTCCATCTTAAAGATGATTCACTGTGATTCACCAGATTCACATTCTCGATCATTTCATAAGTTTCGTTGAAAGTGTCGTAAACATTAGAGGCCCGTCCGCATAACGATATTTTACCGCCGTTGGCGCGCGTTTTTTTTTGCAAAATTCTATGACTCATGGGATCTGTATAGGACTATCGCAATTGAACGCATTTGATACGGTTATTTCCGTGAAAATAAAAACTTCGCTTGAAATATCACTGTGCGGATGCGGACGGGCCCTACTAACAGCAAAATTGCTGGCTGCTGGATATAGCACTAAGGGCCCGTCCGCACGTCAATATTTCACCTCCAGTACGGATAGTCCTATACAGATCCCATGAGTCACAGAATTTTGCGAAAAAAACGCGTTTTGAAATAGCACTTTGCGGACGGGCCCTAACACAAGTAGCAGTGTTGCCATAGGTAGGTAGGTACTTCTAGTACTTTTGTCGTTTGGCAAAAAAAAATCATAAATTTCTTTCCAAAATATCAATATAATATTATATGTACAACCGATACTTTAATTGTGTAGTAAATGTAAATTTTTATTTCACAAATTTTCGTTAACCTATTTCCAATGTAATTTTTATTTTGAAAATAATTCAGAGTGAATAACTTTTTAATAATTTATTTATTTAAGTATTGCTGTGATATGTTTGCCGTGTTATTAATACTTTGTAGTCTATACAATCTAAGAAGTGCATTTTGACAGGTGAAACTGACGTTCTGTAACGAGGGAACGCAACTACGTACGACTCTATTTTAATTTAAACAAGTTTTATGTAAGTAAAAATGGAAACTATTGAGTTAAATTAATGTAATGGGTCATATCTCCGTTTATAGGTCTACAAATAATTTAAACAGATTTAAACGATCACGTGATTCTTTATTTTTGCCAGATTTCATAAATAGTTACATTCTATGATTTTAATTTTAGTGTTGTTACATTTTAATTGTTGACAAGGTAAAGATTAATCAATTTATTTTACAAATCGTATATTATCCAAGGACTTGCTAACCAGACTTCGTCTTCATTACAAATAAATGTTTTTTCATTATCTATGTGTTCTTTCTTTTCGCTCTAAATCAAATAAATTCATATTTATTTTTAAGAATTATTTAAGTGAAGAATTAAAGTTTATAATTCTAAACTAAAACATCTATGAGTAAGTACAGCAAATAAAATAAATTCGTCCGTTTTAATTCAAAATTTACTTTTACTTGCCTTTATGTCAATAATACACACACATAAAAAAGAATACGTTTGTAGTACGTATGACAGTTCGTTGCTTAAATGCCTACTTCTTCTTCTCTCTCTCTACTTCTTTACTGAAAACTAGGTAGTAGGTATGGCTACCCGGAGAGGGATGAAAACGTTCTTCCTCTCCACCAATTTTTGGAAGCTCTGACTGATACAGTAGTGGTTTTTGTAGAGGATCGGTTGTCATGTCCCTCCAACACTAAGGGAAGATCCTCCGACCAGGCGAGGTGATCATGCTTGGCGGGCCGCAGTGCAACGGTTCATGTTGGGGAGTTGTACATGTGCTAATCGGCGAGAGAATTCTTCATATCGCGATACTGGATTAGTAGTTAATCCGTAGTTCGGTGTGTCTTCGATAGAGGGCGATGGAGTATGTTTCTATTTCTTTGTATATGGGAGTAGCCACAGTTTTCACAGTTTTAAAACGTACACAGGTGCATTTTAACGGTTCGTTACTGATGTTGGACGATACTGTCGGAAGTAAGACCACAAAAATATTTTGTGCTCGTATTTCTCGGGCTCTTTTTCGAGTTGTCACCTTTAATCTAGTTATATTGTTGATCGAAGATTACACATTTGAAAAAAAATATTTCTCTTATGCTACTACTTGTGTATTCTAGTCTAATGGAGAACTGTAAAGACTAAGTGAATTTAAGCTATGCATCTTTTCATTAAACCTTTTTGCATTAGGGTTTTCGTATTGTCTTCTTTTCATAACTGTAATGTAGATTTAATAATACTAATACTTTTTAATCGATTATTTACCAGATCGGTTGATCGATGTTGACGTGCCTACAGATTTGACAGATTGATAAAATAAAAATAAAGCTGTCATAGTGGATAATTTGTTAGGTTTGTTTTGACAATATGAACAAACAAAACGAAAACTTATTTCGCGAGAAATTTCGATTACTTAATTCACAAGAGCATTCTGAGGATATCAAGTGGTCTTCAACATCATCCAGTGAACCTGAAAGTACCATTTTAAATAACAATGTTAATGAAGACAGAAGACGAAACCGCAAGCGTAAACGCAAGAAAAATGTGCTGAAGAATATATCCAATTTGGACATTACTTTTATAGATTCTTGTAAAAACGAGGATAGCTGTGTAGGTACCGAAAAATCGCCTATTTTAAAGTCTAGACGCGTGACAAGTGTTATGTCTCCTGTTTTGACAATAAGTAGTTTCCCGCCTAATCGAGATCCGGAAGCAAAATCACCTGTATTGTCAACAAAAAGGATATGTTCGAAGAGTCCTGTATTAAATCTTAAAACTACATCGCTTAACATTTCAGGCAGAGTAAAAAAAAAAGTTGTGTTATGACAAGGAAAGTTACCATAAAGATGACGAGTTAAAAAAATTAAAGCTAAATAATGAAATTAATACCAAATTAGACAGCGAAATTAAAGAGGATCAGACTGAATTAAAAAAAATAAAGAATGAATCAGAATCAGAAACAAAATCTACAACAACTTTGAATGATAATAATTCATTATTAAAATCAAAATTAATGGTAAAGGTTAAAAATTTTTTTGACAGCCATTTCAGTCAAGAACACACTTCTCAGAATATAAGTACCACAGATACTACTCCTAGTGATTGTTCCAAGAACGAAGATATTGATATTTTAAGCTGTAAAACTCAAACAGTAACCAACTTACAGTCTGTAAAATTTGAAAGTGTAACTAACTCCGATACATCCAATTTTGATGGCAATATTAAAAAAGTAAAGTACAAAAAAGGTGGATTAGGATTTCGTTTGAATGCACTAGTCAAAAAACAAAATGCACATATTTCTCTATGGCAACATGAGAGATTCTTAGCAAGCAATTCAAATTTTATTATACCAAAAGAAGAACATAAAGTGTTCCATATTCAAACATTTGAGTTCCAATATGGCTGTTATTTGTTAAGTGTTATTGACATGGAAAATAAAAAGTTTGTAATTTTAATTAATAAGAAAAATGTGAACACTACGATTGTTGAAAATTCAGTATTAAAATTATATGAACCATTTAAAATTTTATCAATGTACTCAGATCTAAAAATAATTGTAAATGTATGTAAATTTGAATGTGTTTTAATTAAATCATAGTATTTTACAGTTGTTTTAATTCCACAAATTTTTTAACAGTATGGAACCTACAAATCACAACAATTTGTAAGTTTGATGCTGTGTTTTGCCACAGTTAATACTGTAATATAATATACTGACACATTCACACAACGCCATCTAGTCTCAACTAAGCAGAGCTCGTACTATGGGTACTAGACAACTGATACATATTGCATCTGACTGCACTACATGGCGTAGTGGTTTAAGCCGTCGCCACGCCACTTACTACTACGCTGAGTGTTGTGGGTCTGATCCCCGCATGGGACGACACTGTGTGATCATTCACCTGTTGATCCTGATATGTTACAACAGTTTTATGTCACAAATATATATCTATGTCATACACACAAATGTTTGACTAGAGTGAGTATCAAACCCGTGACGATTGGCGTAGCAGCCCGTTACACAAACCACTACGCCCTCTGGCCGTCAATTTATCAAATCTCAACGACACTGTTGTGGCTACTATTGATTTATAGAACGTAATAATCTGTGGTTAATGCCTTTTGTTGCACATACAGTAAAATACCTTATGCTGCCTGTTTTAAGTAAATAAAATCTTTTTTGTTTTACAATTAATTTAGTTTATTTTTAGTGGACCGTGGGAGAGCCCTGCTTCAACAAAAATAAGCCAGCTCGATTGGAGTGATTCCACGGCCTGACAGAAAATCGCTGCTAGGCAAATTTTTAGTTACTTTTCACCTCCCTCTAGAGTCACCCTTACTCTAAAGGGAGGGACTGACCAAAGGGTAAAGCACTAGTGACTCTTGAATTGAAGATGTCCGTGGGTGGCAATAGTCACTTACCATCAGGTGACCCGTTGCCTGTTTGCCCACTTATAACATAAAAAACTTATCACTACATTTTTTTACAAGTTTTTCCCACAGTTTATTTCATATTTTTTTTACTACAACTTTTAGGGTAATCATAATTTACGTATTGGCAACACAGTATCAAATTCAGTCACAGAATTCAGTCGATAAAGTTGTAGTGCTGAGCGGATACACATTTCGTGTTAAATTTAAAATATTTATATCAGATACAATAATTAAACTTATTATATTTGTATTTGTGGTTGGTCTATGAAGAAAGAGTACTGAATTTAAAAGCTATGTCTCGTATTTGAGGATATGTAGATGTTTGCACGCTTAGTTATAATGTTTAGTGATTATTGATCAAATATAGTTACTTCATACAATAAGAAGTGATTTATGTAAGTATAGATTTAATTTATTAATATATCTATTAGTAATTATGCAAAAATAACAGATGATTGTACGACCTACGTATTCTGTTTACGAATAATTTGGGTCATATTATGGTTTTATGTAGACCACTGGCCCAATCTTAGGAAAAATATGCATAATTAGGTACACAATAAAGGGAATCAAAAAGTATTTGTAAGTGTAATCGTGGGAGAGCCATGCGTCGGCACGAATGGGCCGGCTCAACCGGAGTGATACCACGGGCTCACAGAAAACCGAGTTAAGCAATTCTTTGTGTGAGCGAGGTTACCGGAGCCCAAATCCCCCTCCCGCTGACTCGAGCGGGAGGGACTGGGACTGGGGCAAGGGCAGCAACGCACTTGTGACTTTTGAGTTGCAGGTGCCCATGGCTGCGGTAGTTACTTACCATCAGGTGACCCTTACTTACGCTTACGCTTACCATCTGCTCGTTTGCCCCCTTATAAAATAAAAAAAGTATTTTATAATTCTTTAGGAAGCTAAAGTAGTAATGCAATTAATTATGTGTTAAGTACCTTTTTACATTATTTTCCTTAGCTTTAGGTTAATGGTTGAAATTAGAGCTGGTTGAAATGGTTGAATATTGTTGATCGCCTATTTCCATTCGTTTTTTTCTCGCTCTTATACACTCGTGCAATTTAAGCCCTGAGGTAAACTATGTTTCAAAAACTTTTGATGTGTAAAATTATTTTTTTATTCAAACGTTAACACTCGTAAATATCTACATAAAAAACGAAATGATGTAAAAAAAACTGTGACTAAAAGCGTACTGCACTGTATTATCGTTGCCTATCTGTATAAATAAATAAAATTGAAGTGTCTGTTTGTAATGTCAACATACTAAGCGATTTTCATGCTCACACGGTTATTTGCACGATAACTATGCCTAAAAAACAGTTTAAATATTTTTTATCTGTCTGTCTGTTTGTATCGAATAATCTTTAAAACGACGATTTTAATAATATTTTAATACCAGGTCCCTGTCTAAATAAGGAGTAACTTAGGCTTTTAGGAAAAACCTTTGCCCGGTCCGGGAATCGAACCCACTAAGGGAGCGCTTTTCAAATTCCACGCAAACGAAATCGCGGGTACCGGGTATTTTTTACTAACTAAAACACGTCAATTGCAATAAAAAAAAAGCTGTATATAGACAAAACAATCGTTATCAATGTTTTGTCTTTGCTTATTTGTAGGTACATTAAAAAAATATCTGATCGATTTTTTTGCTTGCTTTTTTTGTTTAATCTTGGTAATAGCTATGAAAAAAAAAAACAGTTGCTATAGTCTGTTCTTATATATATATATATTACTCCTTATATAGACAGCTACTGGTAGTAAAATATTATCGAATTCGGTGTAGCCGTTTTAAAGATTATCCGGTACAAACAGACAGACAGACGAAAAATATTTAAACAGGTTTTTAGGCATAGGTATCATGCTAATAAATAAAATTTGTAATGTCAAAATACTAGGTTTTTTTCATTCTCATACGATTATTTGTACGATACCTATGCCTAAAAACCAGTTCAAATCTCTTTTCTCTCAGAAAAACACTATAAAAATTTTGCCCGGTCCAGGAATCGAACCCACTGAGGTAGCGTTTTTCAAATTTCACGCGAACGAAGTCGCGGGCACAAGCTAGTACCTAATCTAAACCTTTAAACATTAAATAATAAAATGATCAATGATATAAAAATTTAATTTTCGACCCTCGTCCGATTTCTAATTAATAATAATAATAATATAATAATAATATTCTACCACATACACACAACGCCATCTAGTCCCAAACTAAGCAGAGCTTGTACTATGGGTACTAGACAACTGATATAAATACATAATATATACTTTTTTTTTTTGTAAATACATACATATTATACATAGAGACACCCAGACCAAATCAAACATCAAATGTTCATGCACACAAATGTTTGACTTGAGCGGGAATCGAACCCGCGACCTTTGGAATAGCAGTCCGTTACACAAACCGCTACGCCATCCAGTCGTCAATTAGGTTTGAATTAGTTAAGTTCAGAGTCAATAAATGTGATAAAGAGTTCCTTTACACGCTACACGAATTGTATCAGTATTGAAAACAGTCCTACATATTAGACCGGTCAATTTTATAATAATAAATAATAATAAAGCCTTGTTTATTCCTTAATAAAACTTACATAATTTGGTATTACAATTCGAGAAATTAAAATAGAAAAATTAAGATTAAAATAAATAAGAATTTAAAAATAACAATAATAAAATAGCAACTCGAATTAAAATTAATAAAATACAAAAAAAATCATTACATGAACAAAACTACAAATATTATTACATGCAAAACAAATAATTATTATTAAGGACCTCTCTACAGAGTAAAGGCCTCCTCCAATTTTCTCCACTTATCTCTACCTATTGCTACTTCCATCCAGTTATTTCCCACTGTTTTCAATATTTCGTCGTGGCTCGACGAAATTAATTATTATATTATATTAATTATTATAATAACGTAAGCTATAAAAATGGATAGCTCAAGGAAGGATTCGATCTCCAGGACCTTTAATGACATTTGCGAGATCAAGAGTTGATCAGAACTGGAGACCGAACTTTTATTAAGAGAACTGGCCTTCAGACTGCTAATAAACATACTTATATATTCCTAAATACATACATATCTATACTAATATTATAAAGCTGAAGAGTTTGTTTGTTTGTTTGTTTGAACGCGCTAATCTCAGGAACTACTGGTCCGATTTAAAAAATTCTTTCAGTGTTAGATAGCCCATTTATCGAGGAAGGCTATAGGCTATATATCATCACGCTAAGACCAATAGGAGCGGAGCACCAATGAAGAATGTTTCAAAAACGGAGAAAATTTATTACTATTGAGAGACGCAGACGAAGTTCAGGTCAGCTAGTTATGGATAAATTACACCCAGTCACAGAACAAACGATCGGGCTCATCACACAATCAATAATACTGGGTGGGAATCGAACCCACTACCAGCTTAGCAGTCAGGGCCACTAACCAATAAAATTGATAGAATGTTTGTTATACGGGTGGATTGGGGAGTTGTAAAAAAATAGCTGAGGTCGAGGTCGCGTATTTGTAACTCGATCTATTGACGACGCATAGTCCAAAGCCTCTATATACCATAGATAGTAATTAATGTTATTAGCAATAACGTTAATAGATATACCATGGACTAGATATTGCCTGCTCACGTGATAGCTTTCTAACTTTTCGGTAGTGCCTTGACGCGTAGGTCTCGCTGATGGTCGCTGAATGATGATGGTTCTGAATAAAGTTTATTTGAATTTCGAATTGAGCGCCAATCCACATATAATTTAATCAGAATCTGAAGAATATTTCAATTCGAACCAATAGTTCTTCATATTTGCGCAAATAAACAATATCAATCAAATAAACAAACAAACTCTTTCGCTTAATATTAACTAATAACCTAATGTAACGATAGTTAAGATTCAATAAACCTCCTTCCTAAGGAGAGGCCTATGTCCAGCAGTGGACTAGTAAAGGCTGTTGATGATGAACCCTAATGCCGTTATCCAAATATATTATATGCTAGCTTTACCCGCGGCTCCGCCCGTGTGTATGTCGGTTATTCTGGTAACCTAAGTCCTTCCCAAAAACTTAAACTATATCCATACCAAATTTCATCTAAATCTGTTCAGCCGTTATTGATTCCTCATACAAACTTCCATCCCCCTTTTCATCCCCTCAAAGGTTGATTTCTGGGATAAAAACTATCCTATGTCCTTTCCCGGGACTCAAACTATATCTATACCAAATTTCATCTAAATCGGTAAGCGATTGAAGCGTGAACATGTAGCAGACAGATATACAGACAGACACATTTTCGCTTTTATAATATTACCAGCTGACCCGCGCAACTTCGTCTGCGTCTCTCAATAGTAATAAATTTTCTACGTTTTTGAAACATTCTTCATTGGTGCTCCGCTCCTATTGGTCTTAGCGTGATGATATATAGCCTATAGCCTTCCTCGATAAATGGGCTATCTAACACTGAAAGAATTTTTCAAATCGGACCAGTAGTTCCTGAGATGAACAAACAAACAAACTCTTCAGCTTTATAATATTAGTATAGATATTAGTATGGATGTATACCTACATCATAAAAGAAATAAAACATATTGTACGCGTACACCAGTACTCTTACAGCAATAAAACAGTCTGTTGTGAGCTATATTTAGACTCCTGAACGTTTCTGTTTATGATTTCATTGAAAAACGCTGGCTATAGTAAGCTAACATTCACGTGGCATGAAAACGGAGCCAACATGAGCGCAATTGCCTCTGGGAATAGTTAAATTATACTTTTACGAATTTATCTAGATATTAATACATGAAGTAATTAGTTTGTATTCGTTTTTAAACAAATATAGTGCAAATACAAAATAACATATGGAATACTGCTCTCATCTCTATGCAGGGGCACCACAGTACCAGTTTCTCCCTCTGGATCGAATCCAAAAAAAATGTAAAAAATAACATTTTTTACAATTTTTGTCTGTCTGTCTGTTTGTTCTGGAACGGCTGGACCGATTTCGACGGGACTTTCACTGGCAGATAGCTGATGACATAAGGAGTAACCTAGGCTACTATTTTTTAGACTAGTTTCGCCCCGCGGCGTTGCCCGCGGTTATAACAAACAAACGCGGGTAACACCGCGGTTCTCAGCTAGTTGTATATATTATGGAGAGTGCTCCGAGGAACTGTTCGGACTAATACCGTTTGGCGTTGGGATTGGTGAAGATTTTAGCGCGGGTCAATAACAACGCCGAACCGCCAAACGTCGTTTCCGTGACGAGCGAGTAGGTGTAAAAAAAACTCACATTAAGCCCTAAGGCAACTAAATTAATAAACGGGAATGGCGACTACTGCGTGAGCGTATAACTATGTGTATTTACGTTGAAAAAAAATGAACTAGTCATTTTTGTCTGACAAATTAAACCCTATATAGGATCTTTTAAATTTGCCTTTTGTCTATGCCCGGTTTGTTATTACGTCAGTGGGACCAAATTATAGTTGGCAAAGTGTGGGGTGTGTGTATTCAACGCCCCTGCCCCTGCCTTTCTAGTTATTAGATGTGAGTGTAAACATATATATATGTAGAAAGAAAAACAATTTATTCGTGGACGTAAGAACACACTAACAATATAAGGGCAACTTAATACTAGACTTAAGCGAAAATACAGTTTTACGTGCAGGTACCTTACGTGCCAGTCGAATAGGACCTGGTTCAGCGCCTGCTTGACAAATGTCAAGCGCTGGTTTTCAACCAGCCTTTTAATGAGTGACGGATGTAAATCGGCCTATGCAATAACAAAAAAATAATAGTCATAAGCTAATATGAACTATACTTTAAAGAAGCAATGGATATTATTATTAAATTAGCATAAATAATATAGTCAACCATTCACACAAATATATGTGTCCATAATAGGGGAGAGTAACCAGTAATAGGGGAGAGGCACTATTTGGTATAGGATATTGGCACAAAAAATGGCGGAGTATTAGTGGCGCTGCGGGCGTTCCATTTTGTGTTGCTAGTGTAAAAAATAGTGCCATTTTGGTAGAAATACAGAGTTGGTCCAATTTAAGCGCCGATTGAATATTGGTTACTCTCCCCTAATATTAGAAATGCGAAAGTGTGTCTGTTTGTCTGTTACCTCTTTACGCTTTAACCGCTGAACCGATTTATATCAAATTTGGTATAGAAATCGTTTGATTCTTAACATATACGCGGGCGGAGTCGCTGGCAAAAGGTAGTGTCAAGATATTTCCTTGTTAAGCCTTAATCAAAAATAATGTTACGTTTTTTTTTTCAGAATCGAGGAATGGAGATGATTGCCAACTGTGGCAGAAACAGTTTAATTTTCACTGCTGTTTTTACATTGTTTTGGATAAAAACAGGTCAGTACTCATTTTACAATCTGTACCTAGTTATTTTGCATATTCGACAGTTTCTTTTGAACTGAGTCTTTTTCTGTGAGTAGTGCAGCCGTCTCGCCAACGTGGTGTAGTAGGCTAAAACCTCCTTTCTAAGGAGAGGCCTATGTCCAGCAGTGGACTATTGAAGGCTGTTGATGAGTGCAGAGAGTGCAATCATTCCATCAGCATTTGATGGTCCTGTTGGCATAGTTATCTTAACTGCCAAGTCAGAGGACGTGGGTTCGATTCCCACCCAAGAAAATAATTGTGTGATATATGTAAGTCTGTGTGTAATTTAACTATGATTTGTACGTATTTAGAAATACACAAGTATTTTTATCAGCAGTCTGGCTACCATAGTACAGGCTCTGCCTAGTTTGGGACCAGACGGCCGTGTGTGAGATGTGTGAAGTTATTAGAAACATTTTTTTTTTGTCGGCCATGTGAACCGACAGACGTTGTCCTGTGACGCAACAACTTATAATTAAAAAATTAACAAAAAAATCATTTTGTAGTAGACCGAATCGTAAATCCAAGCCATTCTCGAATTATCGAAACAAATACAAAAAATTCGATCGAAGATTTAGCGTCGATCCGGGGGGACCTGAAATAACATGGTCCGGGGTCCTCCTCGGAGTAGTCCGGCCGGAGTCCGGCCGTCGGGGTGGTTTTTAGTGGAAACACCACATACTCCTGGCTTCTACATCCCCAAGGAGCTGGAGATCCAAAGGGACTTTCCAACCAAATTCATCAAAAAAAAGGAAGCTAAGAGCGTTGAAGAGAAAAATGAGTACCGCCGATTGACACATGGACATCTGTAACTCAAAAGACCCAAGTTGCCGTCCTTTTCGCGCCCAGATCATGGGAGGGGGAGGAAGTGTTAAGTTGAGCCTCGGCTATCTTTTCTTTTCTCTGTTTTAAAAGGACAACTCGTGCACTAGAAAGAACACCCAGACTAAGAACAAAACGGCGTGAGGGGTCTATGGACCCTCCGCAAGAAGTGTCGGCAAAAAGGCTTGATACAAATTTTTCGGTCTCGCTCCCAGCCGCTTAGAGCGTGTAAGGCGCTATATGGAACTTCGTTCTATCAACAATTTGTGGGTCATGGGTCATACTATATGACTCATACAGTGCTGTGTTGTCGGCGAGGTAACTGCTTAAACTACTATGCTATCTGTGCAGTCATCTATCTTTTATATTACTGTACATAACTGGTCCGTGTGGTGACGGATTAAGAATACAAATTGTCACCACCCCAATTCATCCCGTGGGTGTCGTAAGAGCCGACTAAGGGAGCAAACTAAGCAGGACAACAGCACTGTAAAGAGAAGGAAAACTTGAAACAAACCCTATACCAACCCGTCTGGCCAGCGTGGTATAGTAGGCCAAAACCTCCTTTCTAAGGAGAGGCCTATGTCCAGCAGTGGACTAGTATAGGCTGTTGATGTGATGTGATGATGTACATAACAGGCTTTGTAAGGTAAAAAAGAAATACATTTTTGGAACATAGTTCCTTATCGCGCGTTATACACTGCGCGGACTGAAGCGAGACCGAAAAATGTGTTTTAATAGTGGAAATGTGATGTGGGCTACTATGTATTTTATTTAATTTTCCATTTTTCTATATTTTACTTTACTTTCTTTTTTATTCCATCTTTTTTCTATATCTTGTTTTTTCTACATTTCCTTTTTACCTTTTAGTCCTTAGAACTTACATACTGGCACACATCAAAACAATCTTGTATATATTTAATGATGCTATTGTTATCTGTTAATTGAAAAGAGTGGCCGTGAGTTTGTTTGCCCTTTCTTCTCATGAGGCTCAACCCATTGGAAATCGGCGGTTGTAGATCGGCACAGGCATAAAACAGATTTTCGATACGAATAGGTATATTTATTTTGCTAAATATTTGATAAAACAGATATTGTTGCTATTGTACCTACGTGTTGATCTATGACTTTAGAGTCTACACCAGAGACGATTTCAATAAAAAAAAATATGAAATAAAGATATTTGAGATTGAATACTTTTTCCGACACTAAACGTCCACCAAAAAGCGATAGGAACTTTGTTCCTTTTTTTGTCCATAGAACCCTCACGCCGTTGTTTATTAGAACTTGCTGAGTCCTCAGCACAGAGGATCTAAGTGGAATAGTGAGTGTTGTACAATCCACTGAGGGATTAAGTCAGGGGATTCAAGTCGAAAGAGTGAACATATTTTTATTAACACCCTTTAATGGTAGCCTCTCCTAAGAAAGGAGGTTTTGGCCTACTATACCACGTTGACCAGACGGGTTGGCATAGGGTTTGTGTCAAGTTTTTCTTTGGGGTCCTGCGTAGTTTGATCCAATAGCCGGCTCTCACGACACCCACGGGATGAACAGGGGTGGTGACACTCCGTATTCTTAATCCCCCATTAAAATATTAATGTATCTTCATGAGATATTTTAATAATAAAAAAACAATATTCCTCTTTTCAGTTCACAGTATTGACTGCTTCAAATGTGTGTCAATGAATGGACGGTTCCCGGCGTGTGATGACCCCTTCCATAACAACCATTCATTACAAATGCTGGAGTCTCCATGTATGGGGGGGAGGAAGGGACGTGATGGACTGTTCCCTGCTACATCGTGCATTAAGATTGCTGGAGTTTTTCGTAAGTAATCATTAAATAACGATATTAACACCAGATGTTCTTTTATTTTTATAAAATTACTTACATATCAACGTAAATTTGTTACCCTGATTGATTGATTCCATGGATGGCGTAGTGGTTTAAGCCATCCGTGCAGTCCCTTTTTAAAGCGTATGTGGGTTAACGAGGACTTTACGGGGTAGCGCGAGGATTGCAGTGCTAGCTAAATAAAAGTAATGTTTTAAATTGTTACACCCTAATCGTATATTGCTCCAGTTCACAATATGTTCTTAGATGCTAGAAATTTTAGTTGAATGTTACGTTTAATTAAAATGTTATGTTGCTACAAACGCACCCGAATCGCGGTCACCCAAAGTGCACTGCGCAAGTAAACGTGTGTTCTAAATAGGTACTTAATAGCGTCACTCGCTTAGTGCTTACTAAGGTGTTCGGTTATACATATGTATTACATCGAACATATTGCGGGGCACCAAAAGAATGAGAAGATGAGGGTTGAAAGTTTGCAGAGTTTTAAATGAGATTACGATAAAATGATAATGGGAATGATGTTTACAAAATGATGAATAACAATGTCAGACATACATATCTATACTAATATTATAAAGCTGAAGAGTTTGTTTGTTTGTTTGTTTGAACGCGCTAATCTCAGCAACTACTGGTCCGATTACAAAAATTCTTTCAGTCTTAGATAGCCCATTTATCGAGGAAGGCTATAGGCTATATATCATCACGCTAAGAGCAATAGGAGCGGAGCACCAATGAAGAATGTTTCAAAAACGGAGAAAATTTATTACTATTGAGAGACGCAGACGAAGTTGCGCGGGTCAGCTAGTTATGTATATGTATTACACCGAACAAGGACCATTAACTACGTACTGAAAACAGTAATAAATACTTATTGTATTGGCATTGTTTAGATCAAATTGAACTTTATTTATTAAACACTAGCTGGTCTGCACTATTTCGTCTATATCTCTCAAAAGGAATATTGTTTTCCCATTATTGCAATATTTTCCATTGATGCTAGACTTCTAACATAACATAACATAGCCTGTAGGCTTCCTTGATAAATGGACTATCCAACACTAAAAAATTATGAATAGTGAGATTAACCCGTTCATACAAACAAACGAACGAACACACAAACAAATTCTTCAGCTTACATAGATAGATTGTTGCTACTTATTTTTTGCTAAAATATGCCAACTATGTAATATTATCTACTATCCGTGTGGTGACGGATTAAGGGTGTCACCACCCTTATTCATCCCGAGTGTGTCGTAAGAGCCGACTAAGGGAGTAAACTACGCAGAACAACAACACTGCAAAGAGAAGAAAAACTTGAAACAAACCCTATACCAACCCGTCTGGCCAGCGTGGTATAATAAGCCAAAACCTCCTTTCTGAGGAGAGGCCTATGTCCAGCAGTGGACTAGTAAAGGCTGTTGATGATGATGATGATGTTGTAATATAACTTAATGTTTTCGATGAAAACAATCTTAGAACGATGGTTTTATGTTTCCAGATGATACTGGGGAGACGATTACCGTCCGTGGGTGTGGTCTGGACTCTGGGACAGCCACAACGGATACGGAAATTATAAGGATGTCACATTGCGGCCGCTTTTACTATGATGAAAGGTAAGTGTCTAGGTCTAATTCTTTCTTTTTATTTAAAAAAAGACTGGAGGAGGTCGTGGCTGTGGTAACCGTAATGTTATGGATGAGTGACCATATTTAACACATTGAGACCCCTGCGAGCCTCGGAGAGCACGTTAAGCCGTCGATCTCAGCCACGTCCAGTCAGTTCTCTTCTGGAATGCCCTTCCTGCCGAAATCAGGATGTCAACAAATCGCCTTGAATTCAAGAGAAAAGTGCGCGATCTTCTTTGGGGTGAATTGGCGGAACAGTTACAGCGCTAGTACCTGACTGAGTATTTATATATTTTATTAAATTTATGTAGGTTTATGTATGCAGGTGTGTTTTTATATTGTGTATGTTTCTGGACCTAAATTATGTATGTTAATATCATATTTTATTTTGCACGTACCGCATCATATTTCTGCATCACCTGAAGGTTGACTGGGAGAGAATGCCTAATGGCATTAAGTCCGCCTTTGTACAATGTGTGCATTAAGTTTAAAATAAATAAACAACTATGGCAATTTTTAAGGGTACTTGGAGCACAGTCTTTCTGCAGAACTTCGATATCCCTAGTACTTGGGTTGTGGCTGGTTCAGTTCAGCCGCATCGTAGTAGATTTAAAGTTGACCCAACCTAGTTTCAGATAAAGGCTCAGAGGAAGATTTAAAAAAAGACAACTCCTCCACTAGGAATATATCCTGAGTCGTGGGAGTATTTACAATATTACAGAAACGGACACAAAGAACACCTAGACTCGGAACAACAATTTGTAGATCACAAAAAGTGTGGTCCCATGTGGGGTTTGAACCCACAACACTCAGTATGAAGCGGCGAGGTGACCGCTTGAACCACTAATCCGTGCAGTCGATTAAGTTTTCTTTTGACCTCTCTGGTCTTGGCAATAGGACCTTTTCGAAAGAATACTGTCTGAATGAAGATTGAAGGTTCTTTGTGGAATCGTTTTGTGTATAACTATTTATATCTAGCTTTTTTATGATAAAGGGAAAACGAGCAGAACGGTCACCTGATGGTAAGTGACTACCGCAGAATTCTGAAAAAAGAGGGGGAAGAGGTGTTGTGCTCCTGCAACCCTCCTGCTCCCTATGTGTAACCTTACACACTCGGTGAAAGGTCGGTCGAGCCAGCACATATGTGCGAGGCATAGTTCTCCCACGGCTCCCACGGTTCCCACGATCCTCCCCCTTAAACCTGGGGATGGTAGGTAGAGAGAGAGGGTACCTCCGGGTAGCCGAGGCGGGTTGCTAGTACAATATAAAGTAGAATCTATTGAAACCAGTGTTGCCATTTTAGAAATACTTTTTTTTCAGATATGTCCACGGCTGCCTACAAAGTTGCAACGACGCCGACGCATGCAACAGTTCCAATAATATTAAATCTTATATACCTTCTATAGTAACACTCTACGCATTGTTATCACTGCTCAGAAGCTAACAAAAAACCATATGCACCCACCAAAGCCCTCTAGTCATACATTCATACACATATTTTTGAAGCATTTGTGTCAACATATCGTTTTGAACAATAAAAATTCTACCTGTTCCATTAGAATCCCGTATTTCAGGGGATTCCCAGGGGATCGAAACAATGCTGTAAAGGATTTTTTAAGAAAAAACGATTGCATGAGAGTCCCCTGGGGGAACAGCAAGTGTTTTTCAATCCCCTGGGGGATTGAAATAGGGGATCCTAGTGATACACTATATGATATCGAATTATTGTGTAATAATAATATATTTATGTTAATTATAACTTTACACCACACACGGCCGTCTGATCCCAAACTAGGCAGAGTCTGAACAACGGTTACCAGACTGCTTATAAACGTACTTATATATTTCTAAATACATACGTATTATAGATAAATTCATTTATCCCGTGGGTGTCGTAAGAAGCGACTAAGGGAGCAAACTACGCAGGACAACAGCACTGCAAAGAGAAGGAAAACTTGAAAAAATCCCTATGCCAACCCGTCTGGCCAGCGTAGTATAGTAGGCTCAGAACCTCCTTTCCAAGGTGAGGCCTATGTCCAGCAGTGGACTATTAAAGGCTGTTGATGATGATGATAGATAAATTATACCCATTCAAAGATTGAATAGCCGTTTTCATCACACAATTATTTATCCTGGATGGGAATCGAACCTAGGACTTCGGATATAGCAGTCAGGATCACGAACCAGTCATAATATGTAAATATACTTATTTTTAAACGACCAAAGTTCAAAGTCCAGACCAAAGTTGAAAGTTGATAGTTAAAAATGGACTATAAAGTAACATCCCCACGGTCTATTATTACATTATAGAAAATACATACATTCAAACATAACGCCTGTGTCTCTGAAGGGATTATTGTACTAATGATATTTATTTGACTGGTTTATAGGGGAAGTAAGGGTGCTTCTACACGATACAAGTATGCTTCGCAAAAAGGACTAAGTGGGTCCAGAGACTCGAGCAAATACAAGCGAGCCACCTGCGTAGGTAACACGCACGATTAGCATCACGCGCTAAATTTATTAACTCTAGTAAAATAATATTTTTATTATTTATTCTTACGTACACAATATAAACATTTATAATAAATACTTTCAATGAATAGTTGGCACAGAGGCGAGCTTAACTCATAATTGAGTTTTCTTTCAGCAAAACTTTAAAGAGTGAAGAGAGGATAGCACAACAAGAAAGAGTCGTGTGAACAGAGAAAGAAAAAAATACAGAAATAAAACCGAGTGTGCTTTAGACCACACGACTGACGTAAAACTTATGAGAGAAAGAAAATGTGTGCTCGCACCTCTCTCTCTTGCCCCTACAGTAATATACGAAAACGTAACTCTCTCTCTTTCTATCTTCACTAACTTATATCTCCCTCTCAACTTCCGTAACGCTCTCGTCACGCATTCACCAGCTTACTCCCCAAGTCGTGCGTTCGTAAAGAAGTTTTACTTCAAAAATATAAACAAAATAACCAATTAACATGTTAATAGACTACAATATGAATTTATACATCACACTAACAACCATATGTAAGATTTATATACCTAATACCTACATACATATATTAGTCTGTTACTGCTGAGAAAGAAAAAACTCCCTGATTCATCCTTTAAAAACACTTAAGGATGGGCTATCGCGTATTTAGTGGGGATTGACAAATGATTAAATAAGAATTCTCGTTCGTCGAGGCATTTTAGTGCGATTTCTTGTTTCAACTACTACACCGTATACAAGCACCCTGGTACTGAACTGTTTTAAACCTGAAGTAGCCATTCATGTAACCTGTACAAGTTACAAGCAAGTTATTTGTGTAAACTAATAACGCAAATAACACGTTTATTACTGTCCTATAAAATAAAACGAAAAGCAAATAGGTATGCAGATGCAGGCACGCACACATACGCACACTTGAACTATAATGTATATACACATCAACCAACCACTGTGGTGGATGGCTCTGTAAAAAAAAAAACTATTGTAATAGTCTGAAACAGTCAAATTTACTAGAGCAGTATGTCTATTGTGCTTTACTGCTAAGCTAAGTAATGCATACCGACATCGGTTGCATGATCTTTTTTTTTTAATCGGCTCGAAGGACCATTGTTGTCGTTGAAGTCCCGGTGACGGTGGTGGAGAAATAATATACCATAAAAATAAATGAATGCACAGAGTATAGTAAGTTTAGATGTAATTATTTTAAGAAAAATTGTTTTATTATATTTTACTTTTTTTTTGTGTTAGAGGGGGCAGACGAGCAGACGGGTCACCAGATGGAAAGTGACTATCGCCGCCCATGAACGTCTGCAACTCAGGAGTCACTACTTTATTTAGCTTTGATCTATTTTAATTATAAATAAACAGATAATAATATATTCTCATGGATTCATAACTGCGTTAATTTTGTATCACAGATAAAACTTCAAAATTTATTGTTTGTGCAACTGAGATTGTGTACCGCGAAAAAGTCGGCTAATAACCCGAACATTAAGCGGTTACTGTGACTCTTAAAACCTCCAATACCAGTGTTTTTTCTGTACATTGTCAATTCCAGCGCCACTCTCAGCTCTGATGACAATTAATATCAATGAACGACTATACTTTTTTTCTCAAGCTTTTAGCCGCCCTTTCGCTAGGGTAAAGTAAGGATATGTAACCACTTTTTTTTTCTGTGCGGAAATCCCCTCGGATACCACTTACCGGTGGCAATGTCGGACTCGAATCGACTAAAACCGCACGCCGTCTCAGGTACCAGTAGTCGGGGAATCAGGTGTACCTCGGGCCATCTATGGCGGGTAGACTGACAACGCGCTCGCCGCCACCCAGGCCTGCTTCTGCTAGGGTGACAGATGGCCTTACCTGTCACCCCCAGGCCTGCGCTTATGGAGGACGGAGGTCGTTCTGCGACCTCCGGCGCCTGAGTCGTCTAGGATGTGTAACCACTGTCTTTTGGACGAGTGAGATGGCTTCGATTCGGACAGATATATACCCTACTCGAACCTCGAGAATATACTTTGGCGTTTTATTAAGTTTATCACAAATAAAGGGGTTGCTGGGTTATCGCCTACAATTTTGTATACAACTCACGTGACGAACCGAATCGAATCTTTTTTTTTTTTTTTTTTTTAAAAAGACACCTGCCGCACTAGGAATAAATCCTGTGTCGCGGGGGACTTTACAAACATACATGAAACGGACACAAAGTACACCCAGACTCAGAACAACAATTTGGGGATCACACAAAGTGTTGGTCCATGTGGGGTTTGAATCCACAACACTCGGCGTAATAGGAAGCGGCGTGGCGACCGCTTTAACCACTACGCCATCCGTGCAGTCAAAATCTTTACATATGAAGAATAAGGTTGAGATTCCTTTGCATAGTTAATATAAATGTTTTGTTTATAATCCTAAGTTCCTTCTGCATAGGCGTAACAATGTTTTTGTTTGTTAAATGTAAGAGAATAATAAAACTATTGAGTATCATTACGAATAAAAGATTTTTATATTAACGCTGTAAGCACAAATTAATGCATGTATAATAAAATATTGCAATGCTAAATGTTGTTTTAATTTACTACCTTTATTATGAATTTTGTGAAAGCTTACCTGAAAACGTGAAAAAACCATTGAACTCGCGACTCGGGCCTGTTGATCTAGTGGTTAGTGACTCTGACTGCTAAATCAGAGGTCGTGGGTTCGATTCCCACCCAGGACAAATATTGTGTGATGAGCACGGGTATTTGTTCTGTGACTAGGTGTAATTTATCTATCTTTAATATGTATCTATTTAAAAATATATAAGTAGGTTTAACAGCAGCCTGGTAATCATAGTACAGGCTCCGCCAGTTTTGATCAGACATCCGTGTGTGATATATATATATATCTATATGTGAGATATATACTGTTACCGTTACCGACACCTCTGTGTATGATGGTCCATACATACTACATATATTGGTCCCGTTCACGCGAGAGAGAAATAAATGAATTTGAATTTAAATTTGACTTCAGTTTGGATTGAAAAACATTGATAATATAACTAAATATAATATAAACATATATTGTGTATATACGTACAACATAGATATATACCCATGTCGGAACTTTTCAAATCGAAAAAAACAAAAATGTTCCTGTCAATCAATATTTTTTTTAATTTTCAAGTTTCCACTTCTGTCGGCACTCCCGGAGAGTCACAGTTGGGTCATTGGATGGGAAGTGATTACCGCCGCCAGTAGACAACTGCAACCCACCCCCGAGTCGTCCTCTACCCCTCGAGTCAGGGGTAGAAGGGACTTAAGCTCCGGTAACCTTTCTCACTGGACAAAAGTATTGAAAGAATTGGTTAACACACCAAGCCTGATACGTAAAGCCTGAAAAGCCTGAAAAGAAAACTGGCATTGCTCTTCAAATTTCCGTAGGAGATTGACTCTCCTACGGAAATTTGAAGAGCAATGCCAGTTGTCTTTTAAATAACATAAAAAAAGAAAAAAAAACCTAAAAAAAGTAGTGTCTCAGCAGTTGCTTCAAACTGTAACAGTATTGCGACGACTTCCTCATAAATTAAAAACACATATTAGCTTCATCTCACGAAAATCAGTCGAACTACGTACTAACTTCTGATTCTGCATCACGAAATTAAGGTTTGCCCTATAATAAGTATTTATTTTATAAAAGAAACACGTAAAAATGAAACAAAATATTCTTATAATTCATATTTATTTTCAAAGTAAATAACTAAATATATTTTGCCGTAACATGATTGCACATACAATTTTTTCTAACAAAATCTATACCAACTAAACATACCACAAATAAGTTTGTATATTTTTATATTTATTATTATTATTATTTTTTATTTTTTTAATTTTTTGATATTTTTATTGTAATACTCGTAATAATTTTAAAATACAACTAAAATTCATTTTTTATAACTAGTGTAATAGTCGATCGCTTAGAGAGAGTATCGGCGTCTCTTTCTAACGTACCTCTCGTTTACCTGAGCTAAAATAAAGAGCATAACAACACTAAATCTATGTTAAAATAGTAAATAGACTGTCAAATTCAAAATCGTTTCTACTGAACGTCAAAACGATACGTTCTGTAGTGTAAAATAACAACTTGTGACGTCATTCGTTGCTATTGCCAAATTTTATTTTCTATAGATTAACATTGGATAGGAATTGTAATCTAAAAATCAGAAAATATCACATTCCGGTGATTATCTTTCTCTGTCTATTTCTTCTTCGTCTCCTTCTTAAAATAGACTAGACATTGCTACTCGGTATAGTCCGATCTATGGTCATCTGTGTCATCTATATTAAAACCTTCGTTAAATGACGTGTCCGAAGTATCCATGTCTTCTGCCAACTCTTCTTCTTCAAAACCTACAAAAAATAATATAGAATAGAATAGAATATGCTTTATTGTACACCAATTACAGTACATTGGTTAAATATTACAGATGGATATGTACAATGGTCGGCCTTATTGCTAATAGCAATCTGTTACAAGCAACCTTTGGATGGACAAATCGACAGTAGATAAGAAGAAACAGTGGGTAGTCTAGGTGTATTGAAGCTAACGTAGTGTAAAAATAAATAAATATACATTATATAATTATACATACACATACATACAAATACATACATATATATATATATATAATATATATATATATATAATATATATATATGTATTAGGTCTTTACCTATGAAATTGCCGTTTTGTTTGCAATAAGTGAAAGTACTTATTTTTTCAAACTTTTTTATTTCTGATATTCGAAGTAATCACCCATGCAATCGACGCATTTTTGCCAACGCATTGGCAGTTTATTGATACCCTTCTTGTAAAAATCAGCTGGACGGGAGGTAACAAACTCTTCAAAGGCATTTTGTACTGCTGTACTCGGGAATTGAATTTTTTACCCACTAAAAAGTTGTCTAAATTTTGGAAAAAGTAATACTCGGTAGGTGCAAGGTCTGGTCAGTATGGCGGATGAGGGAGAGCTTCCAACCCCAGCTCTTGCAGCTTGGAGACTGTCTGTTGCGCAGTATGGGGTCGCGCGTTGTCGTGAAGGAGCAGTGGGGACGACCGATTGACCAAAGCTGGTTGCAGATGTGACCACCAGACCTTGCACCTACCGACTATTACTTTTTCCAAAATTTAGACAACTTTTTAGTGGGTAAAAAATTCAATTCCCGAGAGGCAGTACAAAATGCCTTTGAAGAGTTTGTTGCCTCCCGTCCAGCTATATATATATTATCTATACTAATATTATAAAGCTGAAGAGTTTGTTTGTTTGTTTGAACGTTCTAATCTCAGGAACTACTGGTCCGATTTGAAAAATTCTTTCAGTGTTAGATAGCCCATTTATGGAGGAAGGCTATAGGCTATATATCATCACGCTAAGACCAATAGGAGAGGAGCACCAATAAAGAATGTTTCAAAAACGGAGAAAATTTATTTAACTATTGAGAGACGCAAACGAAGTTGCGCGGGTCAGCTAGTCTAAAATATAAGTATAAACAATTTATATTGATAACCATGAAAACATTATTCATGTACAGTTATTGGAATATATATATATATATATATATATACCTAAAACATTCAGAACGGCACCTAGTTAAAAAAAAAGTCCCTTATGAAAGTACAAAAAGCCAACGCCGGCAAAATGGCCTTTGTTTACAAATTGTGCGCCTAAATCTCTTCGAGCTAATTAGAACTCAATTGCATGAACCAGAGAGTCTTTATTCCTTTATCGTTAATTGGTAAGACTTCTGTACATAAGTCATGTTTTAATTGCGGAGTCATACCTGGTTCCTCAGGGTGTACTACAGGATCACATTTGCACTTGAGTAAATCTTCCCATTGTCTCAGTTCAGAAGGCAGAAGTTCTTCTTGATTTGGTTTTGGTGCATCTGTAAATATGATATTGGGTAGTCGTAAAACTTAAACACTGACTAGAAAGATTGCAAAAAAGGTGATCATGCCTGGCGGGCCCGAAACAACAGTTCATCTTTCACCGAGACTTTTGCGAGGACGATGCATCGGCGGTACATCGCTCCCCGTGTCCGTCATATCGTTTTCTGGTTAAGAACGCAGTCCGTGGACCGTGGACCCGTGGACCACCCACCACATACCCGTCGATAACGAGTGGACACAGTAGTTACAACCGTGTATGTCAAGTCAATAGCAAACGTCTCCCAAAAGCGAAATGAACTTCGTTCCGACCGGAGCTCCATAGATCCCTCACGCCGTTTTCTATAATATGTATGGATTTAGAAATATATAAGTACGTTTATCAGCAGTATGGTTACCATAGTTACCCTAGTTTGGGATCAGACTGTCGTGTTTAACACATCTAAAGCTATTATTTATAAATGGTACTGACCAAACTTAACTTTAGATGTTTTATCCTCACAGTGGCAGTATGGGTCTAAGCGTGCTATCTCCTCATCAGCCTGACGCCTTATCTCTGACGGTAGCTCCTTGGGACCTGGAAAATATAGATTATATTAGTATGATACTTTTAGTCTAAATTTGCGACTGTCTGGTTGATGGTGCAATTATGAACGTACTAGGGGATCGAACCCTGGAAGAAAAAAAATGTAAACAGCGAATTAAATTTCTTTCTGAGACCGAGAGGTAGAGGACGCCATCTCACACTGAGAGGGATAGGACGCCTTCTCACACAGAGAGGGAGAGGACGCCTTCTCACACCGAGAGGGAGAGGACGCCATCTCACACTGAGAGGGATAGGACGCCTTCTCACACAGAGAGGGAGAGGACGCTTTTTTATCACAGAGAGGGAGAGGACGCCTTCTCACACCGAGAGGGAGAGGACGCCATCTCACACTGAGAGAGCGGACGCCTTCTCGCACCGAGAGGGATAGGACGCCTTCTCGCACCGAGAGGGATAGGACGCCTTCTCGCACCGAGAGGGATAGGACGCCTTCTCACACAGAGAGGGAGAGGACGCCGTCTCACACCGAGAGGGAGCGGACGCCATCTCACACCGAGAGGGAGCGGACGCCATCTCACACCGAGAGGGAGAGGACGCCTTCTCGCACCGATGTTCTTCGGTGCTGGTGCGCCGACAGACATAATAATGTGGACTCGACGGGGCTCTCTTGTCAGTTGCGAAAATAGACAGACATACCAGAAATATCAGTAAGTATGTAATATCATGTATCTATAATCAATTTAAATACCGAATCACTTACACTGTGGTATGGGATAAGGCTCTGTTCGCTCCAAGGCGTCGGTGACCACCCGCGTCATCAAGTGCCGGTAGTCGCTTTCCTTCACTGGTAGAGTCACAAGGCCAGTAGCTACATCGACGGCTGTAAATGTAATAAATAAGCATTGTTAACATTTTTATCATCAACCACCTACTCCTAAATTTTCTAAACATTTAGATAGAAGAATACAGAGTGTCACCACCCCTATTCATCCCGTGGGTGTCGTAAGAGCCGACTAAGGATACAAAACAACGCAGGACACCAGCACCTCAAAAAGAAGGAAAACTTGACACAAACCCTTTTTTTTTTTTTTTTTTTTACGTGTTGAAATCCCCTCGGACCGTCACCCCACCGGGGTTTGCGGCGGGGTGGTGTGTCGGACTCGAACCGACTAAAACCACACGGTGTGCCCTCTTTGCGCTTCCAGTTTAGGAGGGGTCCACAAACCCTATACCAACCCGTCTGGCCAGCGTGGTATAGTAGGTCAAAACTTCTTTCTAAGAAGAGGCCTATGTCCAGCAGTGGACTATTAAAGGCTGTTGACGAAAGGAAGTTAGGTCGCCCTGAATCATGTACGTGAAATGATACGATAAATATTTTTTACATATAATAATATGTGTAAATCACTATTTCAAACATATTTTTTTATATGATAAAGGGGTGCGAACGGGCATAGGGGTCACCTCATGGTAAGTGGCTACCACCGCTCATGAACAGCTGCAACTCAAGAGTACTCCAAGAAACGAGCGTACTCCTTCCTCAAAGGCCGGCAACGCGTTCGTGACTCCAGACTTGCAGACGTTCATGGGCGGCGGTATTTGCTTTTCATCAAGTGACCCGTCTGTTCGTCTGCCCCCTCTAACATAAAAAAAGAGTTACAAGTACCGCCCCTTACGTCTTTCCCATATTAAGGTGGGGGGAGGGGGTTGGGCTTTGGTGACTCAGTGAAATTGCTCAATTCAAAAAGAATCTCATTTGCTCAACACCGCGAGGTCCTGGTATCACTCCGATCGAGCTGGCCCTTACATGGCAAAGGAAGGCTCTCCCTCAATTAGTACTTAGTATGAGTAGAGCCGACTAGGGGAGCAAACTACGCAGGACAACAGTACTGGGAAGTGAAGGAATACTCGAAACAAACCCTATATCAACACGTCTGAACAGCGAGGTATAGTAGGCCATAACCTAATAATACCAGCCGCAACTTTCCGCCATTGTTCCATACGGCAAAATTTTCATCCTAAACACCTGGATACTTGACACACCACAATAGTGCGCTTTTCGAGGCACTTTTTGCCTCGCACAATCAATCATTGGAACAAGTTATCGTCTGCGGTATTTCCGGACCGATACGACCTTCAAACCTTCAAGAAAAGAGCGTACTCCTTCCTTAAAGGCCGGCAACGCGTTTGTGACTCCTGAGTTGCAGACGTTCATGGGCGGCGGTAGTCACTTTCCATCAAGTGACCGGTCTGTTCGTCTGCTCCCTATTCCATAAAAAAACCTTCTTTCTAAGGTGATCCCATGTCCAGCAGTGGACTATTAAAGGCTATTGATGATGATGAGTTTCATTTAACCGTGTTTTAATAGTAATAGTATGAAGCCAACCTCTATTAACTAAAGCTCTCGCTTCTATGGTCATGTCGACGCGCTCTTCAACCATAGTCTTGATGTCACGTAGAACTGCACATTTCTGAGCACGTTCTTGCCGAGACATGAGCACCGCTGCGGAGAGAAAAATTTATTTGGTATTTTTTTTAATATGGCAACACTTTTTTTTTACTAGTAGGCCAAAACCTCCTTTCTAAGGAGAGGCCTATGTATAGCAGTGGACTATTAAAGGCTGTTGATTGAGTTAGGTATGTCTAATTTGGACGGATGGCGTAGTGGTTTAAGCAGTTGCCACGCCGCTTACTACTACGCTAAGTTATGTAGGTTCGATCCCCACATAGGACGACACTTTGTGTGGTCCACAAAATTGTTGTTCTGAGTCTGGGTGTCCTTGTGTCCGTTTCATGTACATATGTTTGTAAAGTCCCCCGAAACACAGGATTTATTCCTAGTGCGGGCGTTGTCTTTTTAAAAAAAAGAAATAAAAAAAATAAGAAATGTAAGTTTATCTCTTATTTATAAAACTCTGAACCAAAAAAAAAAATATCTTTGCTCCTACCGCATTACATTTCTACATCACCGTCGACTGGGAGAGAATGACTCAGGGCATTAAGTCCGCTTTGTACAACATGTGCATAAATAGCAATCGTAAATAATTAAATATTTAATTTTTGGTAAAAGTCTAGTAGTAGTCTACTAGTCTTTAATGCACCTATACACTATTCGCGTTAAGAAAATAGTGACGCATCGATCAAGCTTCGAATCCTGACTAATCAGTTTCTAAGCTTCGTACGAAACGAGAATTTCCAGGTGTTGGAGGAAAGATTCCTGTCTAAGGGTGAACTCAAACTCGAAACATCTTTATAATATCTAAATAAATAAATAAAATAAATAAATAAATCAACACACACAATAGCAACATTCTGTTGTGTCAAATATTTAGCAGAATTAAGTTAATCCATACTTACCGTCCTCAAGCACGGCACTAAGGAGGTGTCTCGCTTCATGTGACATCGGATACTTCTCTTCGGTCGACTTCGGTGGTTTTTCTTCACGAGCTGAACACAGAAATGACATTATTACATTATTAAGCCCGAGGTTGTGGGTTCGATTCCCACCTAGGACAAATAATTGTGTGATGGGCACGATCATTTGTTGTGTCTGGGTGAAATTTATATTATACATTATTACGAGCGGGGTAAACAATAAATAAAAGTTGTCGGTTAATTACTTTTATTGCACTGTATTTACAAACACTCACTATTACAAACAAGAAATTACTATAAGCCTAGTTAATCGCATTAAAAATTCGCTTTGATGTTAATTCACTGTGTCGTAAAACAATACTGTCCCGTACGGCCAATACGCTCCGCTTTTATACTGCTATCGAAATTACTAGACTAATCCCGAACATCCGATGGAATATTCCAGTATCAGAATAATTAATCACAATCTCAATAGTTGTACTTCACTTGATACTAGATGGCGCTGTTAACCGCATTCTATACAACTCTCGAACAATCAATTCTATGGTGCAACAATATAACTAGCTGTCACTGCAACATTGATGAGAAATGGAGAACAAAACTGACGCGAAAAATAGATAAAAACAATCTTTAAAGCGGGTTGTATATCATGTCAAAATTTGGGCTCAATCGGTGCAGAACTTTTTGAGTTTTTGAAGCATACACAAATCAATTTAATATTTATATATATTTTTTTCGCCAATGTAAAGCTATATTATCAGCGAACTAAAATGTTATAAACCTATGGCCTAATCTAAAAAAAATACGCATTATTGGCGGAGTCAAAATACCTATAATCTATTGACCAGCTCTTGGCGATATCATCAGATCATGTTAAAAATTTAGAATTATGGTATTTTTATCCGAATTCCATATGCGTACAAAGCTGAAGGTGAAAATTGACTTTCAAACGAAGTAAATAAAAGTGTGTTAAAACTCAAGGCGGTTGGCAATATTCTTCATCTAGACCAAAAGCACAGGGCCTCTACGGACTAGGTGGACAGATAAACATAAGGATCGCAGGTTGACGGCGAATACAGGCTGCTGCCAATTAGTCTTTAGGTCCAGTAGTGGACGTCCTATTGCTGTGAAGAAGGTATGACATCACCAACAGCATGATAGATGAGAAATAAACCAGTTTTTTAAGAGGTCGTCAGGTCGAGCCTGACCGCACATATATACCGCACATATACTTACTTCTGGTGAACTTCCACCTCGGATCATGTCTGTGAACGGTTTCAACTTGTTCCACCTTGACTGGACACACTTCGCAGCGGCAGGAGCCGTCGAAAGTGCGTCCACATCTCTCGCAAACCTCTAAAAAAACCAGACAAACCAAGATAATTAAAATAATATAAAAAACACGTCTGACCTGGGAAAATACCAAAATATCCTGCCTGTGGTGTTGGTTATATCATAGTCATATCATACAAATAAGTTTAATGATGCTTTATTGGCGAATCCGTCCAGGAGAAGAGTGATCAAGGACCTAATGTTCGGAGTTTGTGTGTTTTCTATGTATATTGTATGTCGTTTATTGTAAAACTAGTTTCATGATTATCCGTGTGTCGACGGATTAAGAAAACGGAGTGTCATCACCCGTATTCATGAAGTGGGCGTCGTAAGAGCCGACAACAGTACTGCAAAGAGAAGTTAAACTTGAAACAATCTAGTAAGCCAAAACCTCCTTTCTTAGGAGAGCCAGGATGTCCAGTAGGGCACCAGGGACTTCCTTTGTAGGGTATACCTGGTTCCCCGGCTGTTAGTACCCGAGACGGCGTGCGGTTTTAGTCGGTTCGAGTCCGACATGCCACCAATAGGTGGTATCCGAGGGGATTTCCGCACGGAAAAAAAAAAGATGGCCAGTAGTGAATAAGCTGTTGATGATTGATGAGTGTCATATCGCCTAACCAGGAGGAAGCCAACATACCCCTTGATATAAATATACCCCATATGTACCCTAAATAATATACCCAACCGAATATCTAATCCTATCAAATAAACAGTTTGACGTTACCTTGCTTTATTTCTGCGTCATCCAAAAGGCCAAATATAGTTCGTCTGGCCGCTTCAAGCTTCGCGTTTTGTATTTCGGTGATGTGGTGCCTCGCGGCTGTTTGGTGGGTGTGTGGCAGGAGGAACTGGTGAACCAACTCGGCAACCAACTCGTTCTGTTCTGCTGTAGATCTGAGAAGGAGAAACATAATTGCAGAAGGTACAGTAAATTGTTACGGCCACCCAAGAGATGTAATAATGACCGATAGTTCCTGATAAAGTTCTAAAAGACCGGGATACATGGCGCTGATTGGTAGAGCCCTTCGTTCAGCAGTGAATGGCGATAGGTTTAAAATCTATACTAATATTATAAAGCTAAAGAGTTTGTTTGTTTGTTTGTTTGTTTGTTTGAACGCGCTAATCTCAGGAACTACTGGTCCGATTTGAAAAATTCTTTCAGTGTTAGATAGCCCATTTATCGAGGAAGGCTATAGGCTATATATCATCACGCTAAGACCAATAGGAGCGGAGCACCAATGAAGAATGTTTCAAAAACGGAGAAAATTTATTACTATTGAGAGACGCAGACGAAGTTGCGCGGGTCAGCTAGTATATTATATAATCTAGATTTTTTGACAGTATATTATAATTATTTAGGGGTGTGAAGTTACCCAGTTCTCGGGCTACTGGTACCCGAGACCAGACCTGATCGAGTGTACGAGTCCGACATAACCAGCCCAACGGTAAGTGGTATCCGAGGTGAATTCCCGAAAAAGGGAGTCAAGTATTTGGGCTATTTCAAGATTTTTTGGGAAAGAGCCTTCTGAAACCTTCCTTGAGTTATCTCATGCCCGGATTATTATCCTCGCCGTGATCCGGTGTGAAGACATTCCAGATCACAACAGCGAGTAAACAAATGAGAAGATTTTTTTACGATGAATGGGGGTAAGAGAGGAGATGGGTCACCTGAAGGCAAGGGATTACCACTGCCCATGGACATCTGCAACTTAAGAATAGAACGGAATGGAATGGGATAGAATGGAATGGAATATAATATATTTATTTCATAAAGCACAGCATACAAAAATTAAAACAAAAGTTAAATAACAAAATACACAAAGAAACCAAAAACCAAGTAAGGTTTGATAAACACGTTAACAAGGCAACATTTTTCAACATGTCAATCTTTTATACTTGACAGAATTGCCATGACACGTCAATGTGTCACGTATCCAACCACGCTTCTTTGAAATATTACTTGTAATAACTATTACTTATAAACCTGTGCACCATAAAAAACCTTTAATGTTGCTGAGGGTTGTACGCAGTGTGTTAGAAAATAGGTGGACCCTTAGTGTACACTGTGGTGGATAGATGCCACCTCAGTACTGATTTTCAGTGCCCACCTTAGTTGTCGCCCTGATACTGACAGTGCGTTGCCGTCCGTTCAGTCTCTCCCCCAGAATCAGAGGGAGGGAGAGAGTTTGGCTTTCAGTAACTTCACTGAAAAAAAGCAACAAAACTGACCGCACAGTGGCGTACTGGTTTAAGCGGTCGCCACGCCGCTTACTACTGTGAGAACATGGGACAACACATTGTGTGATCCACAAATTGTTGATTTGAGTCTGGGTGTTCTTTGTGTTCGTTTCATGTATGTTTGTAATGTCCTCCGCGACACAGGATATGTTCCTACTGCGGGTAGTTTAAAAAAAAACCGATATTTTGTACGAATTTAGGTAATAATAAGCTTTAAATTAACTTACATAGAACTGTATTCAGCTATAGACTTATCGATGTTGTCCGCTTGTAATTGGGCTGCCTTAACTGCCTCCTCCTCTGCCGCCAGTTCCACCCCTTCTGTTATTATCTGCTTCAGATACGCGTCCACTGTGCCTTGAGTTACCCCCAACACCTGTAATAGCAAATCATGCTTGAGTTTCTGACTGCTAAACCCAAGGTTTGATTTTCCCAGGACAATTTTTTTATCACATCTGACACACAACGCCATCTAGTTTCAAGCCAAGCAGAGCTTGTACTATGAAAGCTAGATTGACTAATAGAATACTTATATACTTTTTTTTTGTAAATACGTACATATAATACATAAAAAACACCTAAACTTTTCAAACAAACCGAGAATTGTGTGGTGAGCCCGATTATTTGTTCTTTTTTGGGCGTAATTTTTCTATAACATGTATGTATTTAGAAATCCATACTTCCGTACTTATATAGAAAAGAAGAAAGAAAGAGAAATGAAAGAAAAAAAATATTTATTTTGGCAATAACACAACACTTTATATAATTTTGCAGCTTGAATTACCACCGATGCCAAAAACGGACCCAATTCAGCCTTGTGTCAGATGAAAGCCTGGAGCTGGTTTTCAATTGGGCCCAAAATGACGCTATGCGTAAAACCAGTTGCAGACCCTAATAGCTAATAGGTCAAAAAACAAATGAAAAATTAAGTGTCTGTTTGTAATGTCCAAGGTTTTTTTATTTGAAGGTTTTTTTCAATTCAACGAACCCTAACACGTAACAATAGTTACAATACACTTACTTGTTTAAACATTTCATCATGTTCTCTTCTGCGGCGTTCTTCTTTTTGTCTTCTGCCAGCCTCTGCGGCTTCTCGCATCGACTTCTCGCGTACTAAAAAAGTGAGTAGAAAGAAATATTATTCTATCTATCTGTTTTACAAAAAGTAAAATTAACTCTAGCGTGTCGAGTTACGACACATTTTACCTCACGTAAATAAAACCAAAGGCAAGGATTTTATTACATTCGTTCAAATGTGTACTTAGTTGTGTAAATGCGACAGTCGATATTTCTTTGTCCGTGAGGAGTGGGAGATGCGTTGGATACGAATGCCGCACTCTTTACAGTAGTCCCTTTTTTTTCCGTGCGGAAATCCCCTCGGATACCACCTATCGGTGGCATGTCGGACTCGAACCGACTAAAACCGCACGCCGTCTCGGGTACGAATAGCCGGGGAACCAGGTATACCCTAGAAAGGAAGTCCCTGGTGCTTACAGTAGTCCCTACTATACCGTACCGCGTGTCGGTTCGATTCCCAAAACACCACCAAAAAATATTAAATGCAAAAATAGTTATCCCGGGTTTGAGTATTCTTTCCGCGCCACAGATGTCATTCTAAGTGCAGGATTTATCTTACCGAAAATCTCCTGGCGGTCAAATTTCTACCATTTTGATCGAATCATCAACAGCCTTTAGTAATCCACTGCTGGACTTAGACCTCTCCTTAAAAAGCAGGTTTTGGTCTACTATACTACGCTGGCCAGCAGGTTGGCATACGGTTTGTTTCAAGTTTTAATTCTCTTTGATGTTGTCCTGAGTACTTTGCTCTTTCACACACACACACACACACATCAACAGCCTTTAATAGTCCACTGCTGGACATAGGCCTTTGCTCTTTAGTTGGGATGAATAGGGATGGTGACACTGCGTATTCTTAATCCGTCACCACACGGTTGAAAGACACAAAGAACACCCAGAGACATTCCTCAACCCAAATTAAAACACGTGCTACACTGGTCTCCACCATTTCTGAGGGTTCAGGACTGTATTATCCCTAACACAGGCTAGTATGTAGCCTAGCTGGGAAAACAGCACTCAACCACTATATTATTGTAGACTTTTAATTGTAACACAAACTCATCATAATAAACGTAAAATTGTGTAAACTTACAATCTCATTTATACAATAAAAAGTTATTATTATTATTAGACTCAAAACAACAATTTGTGGATCACACAAAGTTTTGTCCCATATGAGGATCGAACCCACAACACTCAGTTAATTTTGAAGCGGCGAGGTGATCGCTTAAACCACTACCCCGATATACTTACTAGCGATAAGTACGAAGGCATGTTGTCTTCTCTCTTCCTTGAGTCTCCTCAACTCCTTCTCCAAGAAGTCCAGGGCGGCTGACATGGCACCACCACATAGTTCATCTACAAGTGCCGAGATCGCATCTTCCTGGATGTAAAAAGAGATGGTTGAGAAATATTAATACCGGATTTGTAACCCAGTTACAGCAGATTCGATCAGGAAACCAGATAGTTTTTTTATCGATTAGTGGACAAATGAGAATAGACGGGTCACCTGATGGAAAGCGACTACCGCTACTGATGTGATCTGCAGCTCAAGCGAAACGAATACAAATAAATCTGGTTACGAGAAAGATATCAAAGGAAGTCATATACCGTTAGAAAGTCCATACTCTAGAGATGTTTAAAAAAAAAGGAGAAGTCTTCCATCACTTTTAGTTTTTTTTTAATGCAATGCAAAGCCTTTAAAAATATTATTTTTTATGTTTGAGGGTTCATGAATTTGTTTCTAACAATAATTTGCAACAAAATGTTATTTTTAAACTAGCTGGTACCCGCGACTTCGTTCGAATTTGAAAAGCGCTGCCTTAGTGGGTTCGATGCCGGGACCAGCCAAAATTTTAAAGGGTTTTTCTAAAAGAAAAAAATAGCCTAAGTTATTCCTTATGTGGACAGCTATCTGGTAGTAAAATATTATCGAAATCGATCCAGCCGTTTAGAAGTTAACCCGGAACAAACAGACAGGCAGACAGAAAGACAAAAAATATTAAACTTTTCAAATGCCACGCGAACGAGGTACCTGCTAGATATAAATATTTTAATAAAAACCTTTTGTTCCGTTTCGGTTCTCATTGCATTGAACTCCCTTGCTTTGGACTCTTCACGAGCTATGCGTATCTTGTCCTCCCTCTGGAGTCCATGAGTAGTCTTCAACTCTTCGGTCAGTTCAGCAGCTCGTGTACGACCTTCGTACATCTATAAAGTGAAAAAAGAATATTGTGACATACATATATTACGAAATGTATTGCAGCGCCATCTAACGAAGATGATGCGAACTACGTAGAAACTACATGCATCACTTCACACTACCAGAGTTCTCGCGATAGTGTATATGTTACTAGCTGAGCCGGGCAAGCAAGTTATTTAAAAGAGGAGGAAAGCAACAAGGATCAGCAATAGAGGGAAAGAGATATTGCATATGCAAGGAATAGCTTGAACAGATCTGGATGGCAATCCTGAAACTGAGAAGACTGCTCAAAAAATGCGCAAATCAAAACAACATTACCAGATACTGCACAGCCCTGCCCCTAATGATCTTTTGAAGCAGCAGTGCGGATTGGTGTTCTGTTTCCTCCATATCATCAACTGCCTCCACCACAGGAGTAGCAGGTCTAGGAGTGGTCACCAGCCTCCGAGGCTTCAGAACGTGTAAAGGTCCCGCTGTCATCTGACCAGCTCCAAGGCGGGCCTCTGAAATGAAAAACTGCGTGATAGACCAATCGTTCCTAAAATTGAAAAAATACAGACAAATACAAAATATATTCTCTTCTTTATCCTTGAGCAGGTAGTCAGAGACGTTATTAAAAAGACCAGGCAGATTCAGGCAAAAGAGGGGACGTCTATTACTGCCAAAAGAACACTTTCAGGAAAATTGGTAGCGTTAACAAGAAATTAGATTGGAAGCAAATAATGTCCGTGTGATGACGGATCAAGAATACGGAGTGTCACCACCCCTAATCATCCCGTAGGGGACTAAAGGAGCAAACTACGCAGGACAACGGCATGGCAGCACTACAATAAGAAGGAATAGGCAGCGTGGTATAGTAGGCCAAAACCTTCTTCGTAAGGAGAGGCCTGTGTCCAACATTGGACTGTAATAGGCTGTTGATCATGATGATGATGATGATGAGATAGGAGGCAATGGAAGAAAAGTAATATTACTAGAAATTGATTAATTGGGGAGTGTTAGCAATAAGTCGAGCTGGTTAATTGGTTATTGCCGTAACGTCAGAGCCTTCTAACCAGTTATACTCGTAGTGATGGATTATATGATTTGAAGGACCTGTTGGTCACTGGACTGCTAAGCAGGAGGTCTCGATTCCCACCAATGACAAATTTATGTGATAAGCACGCTTATTTGTTCTGTGTCTGGGTGTAATTTATCCATAATAATGTATGTATTTAGAAATATATAAGTATGTTTATCAGCAGTATGGTTACCATAGTACAGGCTCTGCCTAGGGTAGGATAAGACGGCCGTGTGTGAGATGAGTGAATAATAATAATAATAATATTCTAACACATTCACACAACGCCATCTAGTCCCAAACTAAGCAGAGCTTGTACTATGGCTACTAGACAACTGATATAAATACATTTATATTTTTTTTGTAAATACATACATATTATACATAGAAACACCCAGACCATATCAAACATTAAATGTTCATGCACACAAATATTTGACTTGAGCGGGAATCGAACCCGCGACCTTTGGAATAGCAGTCCGTTACACAAACCACTACGCCATTCGGTCGTCACTGTGTAGTGAAGTTATTATTATTATTAATAATAATTTCCAGACAGAAAACAAACGCATACTTACTCTTTAAATCGTTGTGTAAATTTTCCAGAAACTGCTCGCTCCATTTTGTCTCCCGCTCGCAGAGTTTCATTGGATCCCTTGGCAGGTGGTGGCCGGAACAGCTCTTAGTCAGGTTTTGACAGTGGTTCAGCCAAGTAGGAGGTTCTGCTATCGCCGCATGGTCTTCTGCAGCTTCGAGAAGAAGAGTACGTTTCAAGTGCTTTTAGATTTAGAACATTAGATTCTGTAGTCAATCATCACGGGTTAGACATTGGAAATTACTACACCTTGACATTTTAAACTTTCAAAAATTTATGAATCCATTAAAACCGAGTCTTTTACAGTTAATTCGTTCTTTGGCAAGGCGTTTGTGACATCTAACTTACAGGCGTTCATGGGCGATGGTATTCACTTTCCATCTGGGGACCCGTGTGCTCGTTTGCCTCCTCCTCCTCCTTATAAAATAAAATTAAACTTGAAAACAGTTATTTCTTAATTGGATTGGATTATGTTTCATATTTGTAACTTCAGAACTCTGGCAATTACGAACTGATCCGAAAATTGATTTTCATTTGGTTCTTCCTATTCGGTCCAAATTTGAAGAAAATATTCCATGTATGTAGAATATTACTATTCATATATATAGCTGATTATGTTTTTTAAAAGTTAATTGACTAAGTTAATTGAATAAAGTTATCGACTGCACGGATGGCGTAGTGGTTTAAGCGGTCGCCACGCCGCTTCCTACTACGCCGAGTGTTCTGGGTTCAAACCCCACATGGGACGACACTTTGTGTGATCCACAAATTGTTGTTCCGAGTCATGGTGATCTTTGTAACCGTTTCGTGTATGTTTGTAAAGTCCCCCGGGACACAGGATATTTTCTTAATGCGGGAGTTGTCTTTTAAAAAAAAAAAAACATTATTGGCTCGTAGCTAAGTGGTCACCGTGTAGGTTAACACATATAACATAACATTAACACATACAAAACCTCCTTTCTGAGGAGAGCCTATGTCCAGCAGTGGACTAGTAAAGGCTGTTGATGATTGATGAACACATACAAATTAAGTAATCCTAGCTAGGTCAGTCTATGGATGAGGTTAAGGCATGATGAGATGACATTGAGACCTCTCCGTATCTTGGAGATCACGTTAAGCAGTCGGTCTGGGTTGCCATACGAACATTCGTGGCAATTGTTATGGGTAGTTGGGGCATTAAAAAGTCCGAACAATCTTTCTATAGAATTTTGATATCGCCTACTTGGGTTTTACATTCGGTCGATAAAAAAAAACCGTAGACTTAAAGCCAACCCCAATCTTTTTCACAAAGACACAAAGAACACCCAGAGTCAGAACAACAATTTTTGGATCACACAAAGTGTTGTCCAATGTGGGGATCGAACCCAGAACACTGAGCGCAGTAAGAAGCGGCGAGGTGACCGCTTAAACCACTACACCACATACGCCAAGGGTCGCAGGAAGTAAAGATTAAACTTAAGAAGAATACAACTTACACAAGAGTGATGGATCATAGTATATGTTTGCGTGTCTTCTGCGCGCCTGGTAGCCGTGTCTTAACAACGGGGCGTGAAGGTCTGAAGTGGGGTCCGAAGCTTGCTTGCACACTGACCCGTGACCCCTGGCAGCTCTCGACCGAGCCACCTGACCCACACGACCCCCTCCCTCGTGGATTGCGACCAACTTGCGATGTTCTGCAAGAGTGGAGTCAAGAAAATGTGTTCATCTATTAGTTAGGAATCCTGATTGTTAAACTAGCTGTAGATAGGTTCGATTCCCACCGAGAACAAAATATATTTCTGTGATGCACGACCTTTTGTTCTGTGTCTGGGTGTAATTTATCCCTAATAGTCTTATAAACGCGAAAGTAACTCTGTCTGTTACGGTTTCATGGCTAAACCGTTGAACTGATTTTAATGAAATTTGGGATGGCGATACTTTGATTTTTGAGGAAGTACAAAGGCTACGTTTTACTATAATAACACATACACGCGGGCGCTTGTTTAGTATTTATTGGATTTAAATTTGAGAAATAGTTAAGTACTCGTATGTTTATCAGCATCGCAGTCGAGGATCTGCCTAGTAAATATTTCTTGTGGAGGGCATTTATAGGCCGGTACTGCACTTGAATTGCAGTTGTCCCGAGGTGGCTGAAGTCACTCACCATCAGGTGACCCATTCGATGTATTTCGGTGATACTCAGGTGATTAGTTTTCAACCTGAGGGTTTCCCTTCAGTGTGAGGCGTGTGGTGACGGATTAAGAATACGATGGAATAACGGTTGTTTGGAAGTTTGTCATTTTCAAGGTGAGAAACATGAAATAATCAGGCGAGCAAAGCCGCGCGCAATAGTAGTATCGTAACCGGACTGCTAATAAATAAACTAATGTATTTTTAAATACAATATGATAGATAAATTACACTAAGACACAGAATGAACGATCGTGCTCATCACACAAATATTTGTCCTGGGTGGGAATCGAACCCACGACCTCCGGTTTAGTTTAGTCAGGGTCACTAACCACTAGACCAACAGGTCCGTTATTTAACAGTTACCTCTATCCCTGGTCTTCCGTATATGGTCAATCTTCCTCTCCATATCCGTCTTCTTGACGAACCACAATTTTGCCAGTTTCTTGCTGGTCCTGTTGGTTTGTTTCTGTCTCTGATCTGCCTGAAGACGGTGGAGTAGTTCCAGTCTTATCGATTGCAGTTCATCGATTTCCTAGAATAGAAATAGAAAACAAGCAAAATTTACTTTAATAGCGTTTGTGTCTCCTGAGTTACAGATGTTCATGGGCGGCGATGGTCACTTTCCATCAGGTGACCCGTCTGCTCGTCTGCCCCCTCTGACATTAAAAAAAAAAAAGTAAACAGCTAACCCACCCTAACTATTAAGTGGGGTGCAATCGATCGAATCGTGGGAAAGGCCTATGTCCAGCAGGGGACTGCGATAGGCTGATGATGATGATGATGAATCCACTAGGTTAGTTAGTTACTAGCTATTTACAAGTTTTTGTATCAATTAGTATTAAACGCTTGCCAAACTTAATAAATGTGTTTTAGTGATACCACGGCCTTACAGAACACTGGTATTAAGCAAACTCTTTCTTAACACGCAATCGGGCCGCCACGCCGCGTTTGTGGGAGGGAAATGTTTTCCACTGGGATAGGGCCTGATTAGGTATGGTGTCAATTCGGGGAGGACCTGAAATAATGTGATCGGGGTCCTCCCAGAGTGGCACACCTGAGGCCGGCCGTCGGGGTGGTTTTTAGTGGAATCACCACATACTCCTAGCTCCTGAGTCCCCGAGGAGCAGGAGATCTGAAGGGATTTTCCACCCCGTCAACAAAAAAGGCAACTCTTTCCACACATATAAAAAATGTGGATGTGTGTATGTGTCTAGTGTATATGTTTGAATTAGTTTGTATAATCAAATAGTCTTAATTTACAAAAACTCCGATCTACAAACTGCAACCCCCTATCTCACTCCTATTCTCCTTCTCCATCCAGTGGTTGCCTGGAAGAGATCGCAAAACGCGATAAGGCCGCCAATTGTACAAATTTTAATAGTTTACTCTCCATGTTACAATAATTTAACTTTAGATATAAGACACACAATGTATACAAACTGATTTCTTCTTTTTTATTATGTTTTTTGTACAATAAAGAGTTATCTATCTATCTATCTACCTTTTTTATACGTGTGGAAATCCCCGTCACTCTAGCGGGATTTGCAGTGGGGCGCTGTGTCGGAATCGAACCAAATAAAACCACACGGTGTGCCATTCTGCGCTTAAAATAGAAGGGATCCGGACATATCTGTCGATACTGGTCGTGGAGGGTATGACTATCGGTAGCGGCAGATCCTCTTTGATGGCGGAGCAAACGACGGGTATTTCGGGCTAGTGGTTAGCGACCCTGACTGCTAAGCCTAAGGTCCCGGGTTCGATTCCCATCCAGGATAAATATTGTGTGATGATGCCTCATAATACGTACAGATTCTCTAAATATCCAGTCTTTGGTTTCCACATCAGTTATGATTTCATCTCTCTTCTTCATCCAGCGTGGGAAGCCACCTTTTTCTGCAACCGCCATCCAAATACGAGCATGACGCATCCTGGAGATAATTCGTTTATTTTTATTTAAACTTCATTCACAAACCTGTCTATTGTAACGAACCTTCCAGAAAGTTAATTTACTGTTAGAGCATCGCGAATAACAATAACAACTCAGGGCGGCACGGGGCTATAAACTTTATAGCCATACGCATAGAGTCGAATATAGATCGTCGCCTGAGGTAGTGAAAAGTGACCTATAGTTTCCTAGAAAATCTTTCTGTGAACTTTCTAGATAAAAATGTTTTATTCTAGAAAATATTTATAAATATGAGCACATCTTCGTCGGTAAGACAATTTAGTTTGAGCCACAGTGCGATTAACCTCGAAGTGATTTAAGCGAACAGAAGGGCAACCCAGCGAAATCAACGAACGTTTAAGTGTGTTGGTAAATAATTTCTCTTAAAAAGGTATTTCACTTGATAGTTGCTTGTAATAAACCGTGACATGCGGAACTTACTTATTAATGATTTCTGTTGTATGGAAGTCAGCTGGAAGATCCCCAATCCGATATGGGCAACCAGGTCCTGAAAAAGTACCAACTAGTGTAAAGCTGATATTGGTAGTCTATTCATAGTATCCTGATACGATTGAGGCTTAGAAAATAGACATTGTGGCTACTTCCACATTCAATTAACAAAAACTTACTGCAGCGCCATCTGACGAAGACACACCGAACTACGAACCAATCCTGTATCGCACAATGAAAGCTCTCGCGCCGATTAGTATAATATAAACATACAACTTTCCATAATCTACCGTTACGCTGCGGTAAACCAGGCATGATCAACTCACCAGGTCGGAGGATTCTCCCTTTGTCTTGGGGGGCATAAAAATCTGTTCTTATATTTACTATCGATAGTATCGATTGTTTTGTCTTATGGATATTACACTAACTAAAAGAGGAACGAGCATTATAGAAGTCGCATTTGATGATATTTGGCATCGCCGCGCCAGTTGCTCAAATCAAATTGTATGTGCATCCCTGTGTTCTTGTTACACACTCTTTTCGGCTGTTTTTGAAATAATTTCTATAGATTGCATCAATAAAAGAAATAAGTTCAAGAATATTCCAACGCAAAAGATCTTATGCCTCACCTCGACTCGATAGTATTAAAACTTATGAAAAGATTCATCATCAACAGCCTTTAACAGTCCACTGCTGGACCTCACCTTAGAAAGGAGGTTTTGGTCTACTATACCACGCTGGCCAGGCGGGTTGGTTTTGTGTCAAGTTTTCCTTCTTTTTGCAGTGCTCGTGATCTGCGTTGTTTTGCGCCCTTAGTCGGCTCTTACGACACGCACGGGATGAATTGGGGTAGTGATGCTGTTACATGTTCCAATGTCCATCACCTTATAACTAAGCAGGCGTTCTCTAAGTTATTGGTTCCAAACACAAAATCATCAAAACATGTTCTACGTCAATCCAAATGTAATCATCAAAACATGTTCTACGTCAATCCACTATTGATGTTATCGATGGTTTTAGTACATAGATACGGTAGATTTATGTAGTACTAGAAGTAGTTAACATCAACAATGGTATTGTTGCGCCATGGGATTAAATGGTTCGATTGTATGGAATGTGGAGGACAGCGCCCATCTCGTATCGACTAAAGTACATCTATTAAGATTGTGGTTAATACAAGGAGTTCTGATCCTTACAGCGCTACATGGCGCTGAAAGTAACTCGTGAATGATTCTGGAACATTCTTGTTTTTCTGGAACGGACTATCGAGTACTAGGGATCTTTCTAGTAAATTCGATAGCGCTATAAAAGCGGTGTGTTGGGCTGTTAGAGACAGTATCGTTTTACGACACAGCGAATTAACATCGGAGTGAATTTCTAGTGCGACTAACGAGATATATAGTGATTTCTAGTTTCTTATAGTGAGTGTTTGTAAATTCAGTGCAATAAAGTAATTAACTGACAACTTTTATTTATTATATACCCCGCTCGTAACAGTACTACCACTGTTAAAGAATTACGTTGATGAAGTCTCTTGGAATTCTGGTAAGGAGTACGTACCCCACTCTAACTTGTCAAGGTACAACACTTCTGGCGTATTTTCACACCCTGGTGCTGGTTGAGCGTCTGGCTGCCATGGTTTTGTCTGCGCTGAAGATTCTCTGGAACAAGCAAAGAGAAATTATATATCTGCTAGCATTTGCCTGCGGCTCCGCCCGCGTGTATGTCGGTTACGTTTCGGTATGACGGTTTAGTAGTTTAGGCGTTGAAGCGTAACAAACAAACAAACTCACTTTCACATGAATACTAATATTATAAATGCGAAACTGTGTCTATCTGTTTGTCTGTTTGTCTGTTACCTCTTCAAGTTTATACGATAGTTAGAGTCCTAACGGATGATTTCTGAGAAAAAACCTATTCTATGTCCTTACATAGGACAGGTTTTTTCTAAGAAATCATCCGTTAAGGGGATGGGGGTTTGTATGGGTAATCAATAACGGCTAAATCTTAAGGCTTAACACATTTGTCATTCTTTAATCGCAGGCGCCCGTGGGCGGGGGTGGCCACTTACTATCAGGTGACTCGTCTGCGCGTTTGCCCCCTGTTAAAAATACGTTTAAATAATCTTCTATACAAATAAATAAAATTGAAGTGTCTGTTTATTTTGTCATTATTTTGACATTAAATAATGGGTTCTCTCGTGCTCACACGGTTATTTGCACGATACCTATGCCTAAAAACTGTTTAATTTTTTTTTGGTTGTCTGTTCCGGGTAATCTTCTAAACGGCTGGACCGATTGTGATAATATTTTACTACCAGGTAGCTATCTATATAAGGAGTAACTTAGGCTATTTTCCCTCTCAGAAAAAAACGCTTTAAAATTTTGCCAGGTCCGAGAATCGAGTCCACTAAGGCAGGTCGCGGGTACCAGCTGGTAGATTAATTAAATAATTACTTTATTCACATCAATCACCAACAGCCTTTAATAGTCCACTGCTGGACATAGGCCTCTCCTTAGAAAGGAGGTTTTGGCCTACTATACCACGCTGGCCAGACGGGTTGGTATAGGGTTTGTATGGGGTGCTGGGCTAGAAAACCTCCTCGTGGTGCACCCTGGAAACGCTGGCGATGGTACTGTTTCCTCCTTGTCCTCTTGGAGGAGAGGATTATCGCCAGCGGCCAATATTCTAGCAGAAGAGGCAGCCGTTCATCGGCTCTCGGGCAAGGCCTGGTCCAGCAGGGTGGGCGTGTCTGCCGGTTGCCCTGCTGGCTCTTCGCTCTTCGGAGCATGGAGGAGGAAACCTCGGTAAAAAACCTGATGGCGGGGCCCTGTAGGGGCCACAGTTTCTCCGCTGACAGCGGTGGAGAAAGGAGGACGGGCTCGGCGTGTACTCACACTACCACCGAGCAGGCAGGGGGACGTAGTCTCCCTGTCAACCGTCGGCATATCGTAATCCCGAGAAGAGCGCTGTGGTTAAGTCTCGCGGCTCTGATCGGGGGCGAGGGTCTTGGCTTAACCGCCCGGACCGCGAGGAAGATAACCTCTCTAAAAAATTCCCCGAATCCCGTGTTCTGGTGCGTGGCCAGGGGATGCATGGCTGATGGGAAGTTCAGTCGCGAGCGCACTCCAAGCCGAGGTACCTGCGGACCCCTCGGTTGGGTTAAAAACTTACGCTTGCCCGGGTAATGGGGGATCTCTGCCCGGGTGGACCTCTAGTTCTCCCCCACTCGTGGGATTATTATGGATGATTTACAACAAATTAAAAAAACGATCGGAACCAACATACAAACGAAAAAGGCAAGCCTAAAGGACATGAAAGCAAAAGGAAGGAAGGACAAGCAGAACAGTGGAGCGGATGGGTCGTCCACTGAGGGCGAGATGGTGTCGGGAACGCCTATCTCGATGGGGCTCCCAGAGGTCAGTCTGACTCTGGTCACTGGGAGCCGAAGAGCATCGGATCGGCTGCGTTCCGGATCCGCCGCTTCGTCGGATGGCGCGGAGGCCATGGAGGCGGAACGAAGCGACAGCCGGAAACGCGGACGCTCCAGAGACGAGGAAACGGATACGTCCCAAGAAATGATGCCACCAAAGGTGGCAAGCAGCCGCCGAGGGAGGCAACGTAAACCGGCCTCGGCCTCGGTCTCGACCCCGTCAGGCTCCGCGTTCTCAAACGCGGAGTCCTACAGAAGTGTACGGGTGGACGGCGAGGCCGTAGCGGAGGAGGAGATCGCGGATCTCCTGCTCAAGGTTCGGGAGCCGGTGGGGGGAAATGCCCCCCAGGCTCCCGTGTCCGTGCAGGAGAGGGCGAAAGCGGCGGTGGCCGTCATCAACAAGGTGGCCACCAAATCCGTGAACCTTAAGGGCTCGTTTGTGAGGGCCCTTAAGGACTCCTCCTCCGCTTTGTCGGAGGTCGTGGAGGGCCTAGCGGGCGACGTCTCTCGCCTGCAGGTGGCCAACGAGAAGCTGACGGAGCGGGTGAACGAGCTGAGCGCTCAGTTCGCCCGCTTCCAGGCGAACCTCCCCGAGCGGGAAGCCCCGTCCGCGTCCCAGCCTGCCCCTACCACCAACTCAGGGGCATTTGACTCCCAACTGCGAGAAATCCTCATCGCAGTTGGGAATATGCTGGACGGACGCCTGGCTGGCCTGGAGGCGAGATTGCCTCCTGCGCCGATTATGCGCCCCCCCGCTCGCGTCGGCACAGCGGCCTAAGGCCGCCGCTCCGACCGCGCTCCCCGTTGTGGGAGGCCGCGTTTCTTACGCGGCGGCGGCGTCTGCCCCTACTCCATCGGCTCCACAAAAGCCGAGGAGGGGGGCCAAGGCACCGGCCCAGGCGCCGGCCAAGGCACCGGCTAAGGCGCCGGCCAGGGCGCATCCCCAGGCGCCGGCCAAGACGGGGCCTAGAACAGCGCCGAGGAGCGGAGTGGCATTCCCTCCGCTCCCCACTCCGACACCCCTGCCGGGCCCCTCCGCACCTGCCCCCTCCAACGAGGGTTGGCAGGAGGCGAGGGGCTCCAAGAAGTCCCGAAGGCGGGCCAAAAAGGCTGCCAAAAAAGCAGCCCAAGCCCAGCCTTCGCCACCGGTGGCAACGGCCTCCACAAAGAGGCCGCGGAAGCTGCAGCCGCCCAAAACCGCGGCTGTAGTGGTGACCGTGTCCCCGGAGGCGGCGGACGGCGGGCTGTCCTACGCGGCCGTTTTCAAAAAGGCCCGGGACAGCCTCGCCAACGATTTTGGAACGGTGGGGGTCAGGATGCGCCTCGCCCAGACGGGAGCTCGAGTCCTCGAGTTCCCTGGGGCTGAAGGCGCAAAGACGGCGGACTCGTTTGCTGAGAGGCTGCGGGGTATATTCGCGACTACAGATGGTGTGAGGGTCGCCAGGCCTACCAAGTGCGCGGAGCTGCGCATCTCGGGCCTGGACGACTCTGTGACGGCCGAAGATGTCCGCGCTGTAATCCGGGAGAAGACGGGGTGCAGCGCGGACAACGTCAGGGTCGGCACCATCCGCCCCGGTCCAGGGGGGCTTGGCGCCGTGTGGGTCAGCTGTCCCGTAGCGTCGGCCAAAGTATTGGCCGACGCCGGCAGGCTGCTCATCGGTTTCGTGAGCGCCAGGATCACAGTCCTGGCGGCGAGACCGATGAGGTGTTACAAATGCCTAGCATCGGGGCACACGCGCGTCAAGTGCCAAAGCTGCTTTGACTGCAGCGGACTCTGTTTCCGCTGTGGTCGACCGGGGCATGTGGCGGTGGAATGCTCTGCCGCCCCTCACTGCCCGGTGTGTGCGGCGGGTAACAAGCCCGCCAATCACCAGATGGGGCAGGGGGGCTGCAAGCCTCCCCGCAACTCTCAGCAAGCATCGGGGGCTAGCCAGTCGACCCAGGCTGCCTCCGATATAGTTCGTGCGTCGACGTCGTCGCCCATGGAGGAGGCTGTAGAGACGATCCAGTAATGGATCGGGTCTCCAGCCTCCTGGTCCAGACGAACCTGAACCACTGTGCCGCGGCGCAGGATCTCTTCCTGCAAACCATGGCACAGTGGTCGATAGGTGTTGCCGTAGTCGCGGAGCCCTATTCTGTCCCTCCCCGTCCAAACTGGATGGGTGACTGGGACGGCTCCGTGGCAGTCGTCGGTTCCACGACGGCTCATTCCCCGCCCTTGTCGCTAAGAGACAAGGGCACTGGATATGTTGCCGTCGAGTGGGGGGGGATCACCATATATGGTGTTTATTTCTCCCCCAACCGGAGTTTGAACGACTTCGAGGTTTTCCTAACCAGCTTGGAGACCTCGATACGGCGACTAGCGTCTGGGCACGTCCTTGTGCTGGGGGACTTCAACGCAAAGTCCATTGCGTGGGGTTCCCCCAGGACGGACGCAAGGGGCGAGGCCGTAGAGGAGTGGGCGGCCTCGGTGGGCCTCTGTCTTCTAAACAGAGGCTCCACCAACACGTGCGTGCGACAGCAGGGGGGGTCGATAGTGGACCTCTCGTTCGCTACCCCTGCCCTCGCCGCACGAGTAAGGAACTGGTGTGTCCTGGAAGAGGTTGAGACGCTCTCGGATCACCTGTATATCCGATTTGAGCTCTCCCGGACCCAGGACTCCAGTAGGGGTCACGTGGCGCGGCGTTTATCCCGCTTTCCGCGGTGGGCTGTTGCCAGACTGAACCGGGACCTACTAGAGGAGGCAGCCATAATTCACTCGTGGCTGTCTCCTCAGGCTCCGACCGAGGAGGTCGACGTGGGGGCTGGCCGCTTTCGCGATGCGATTACGCATATCTGCGATGCGGCCATGCCCCGCATTCGAGGTCGTCGGCCTCCAAGGAAGGAGGTCTACTGGTGGTCCCAGGATCTGGCGGACCTCCGTGCGGCCTGTACACGTGCCCGGAGGTCCTACACACGCTGTCGGCGGCGTCACCGTGGAGACGGTGAGGAGGACCGGCTTCATGAGGAGTACCGGCGGGCGCGGAAAACTCTGAAGCTGGCCATTAGCCGCGCCAAAGAGGAAAAGAGACAGGAGATGCTGGAGGGTCTTAATCGTGACCCCTGGGGTCGCCCTTACCGCGCGGTGCGACAAAAGCTCCGCGCGTTGGGCCCCCCCCTTACGGAGACTCTCCAGCCCAGCTCCAGCGGGCGGAGCACACACCCCCGTCGATGGCTGCATCAGCCGGAGACGACGGGGGCAGCGAGGTCGATGTTCCGCCCGTCAGGGAATCGGAGTTGGGGGCGGCTGTTCTACGGATTCGATCCAAGAACACCGCCCCCGGGCCGGACGGGGTTCCAGCCCGAGTGATGGCCCGAGCCCTCGACTACATGTCGGACCACCTCAGGGGGGTGTTGGACGCTAGCCTGGCGTCCGGACGCTTCCCTGAGCGTTGGAAATGCGGGAAGCTGGTCCTGCTGCAGAAGCCGGGACGGCCTGCCGATTCGGTCGCGGCCTATAGGCCCATCGTGCTGCTGGACGAGGCGGGCAAATTGTTTGAGAGGGTTCTTTCTGCCCGCATCGTCCGGCACCTCTGCGAGGTGGGCCCCGATCTGTCGGACGCCCAATTTGGTTTTCGGGCGGGGCGTTCGACAGTCGACGCCGTGTTGCGCCTGAGGGCCGTGACCGAGGAGGCCGTGAGCTGTGGCGGCGTGCTGTTGGCGGTGTCATTAGACATCGCCAACGCATTCAATAGTCTGCCATTCAGCTGCATCAGGGAAGCACTCCACTATCATGGGGTGCCAAAGTACCTGAGGCGGCTAGTGGCAGACTATTTAGAGGAGCGTACCGTCGTGTACGAGGACCGAGAAGGTAATCTGAGGTGTCGGCCCATGTCGTGCGGTGTTCCACAGGGGTCTGTTCTTGGACCCCTCTTGTGGAACATAGGGTACGACTGGGCCCTTCGCGCCGATTTCCCCCCCGGGCTGGGTGTAATCTGTTACGCAGACGATACCCTCGTGACAGCCCGGGGGGCAAACTTCCAAGAGGCGGCGCGCCTGGCCACAGGGGGAGTCTCCCTGGTGGTCGGGCGCATTGAGGCGCTGGGCTTACGGGTGGCCCTAGATAAGACGGAGGCCCTGTTATTCCATGGGCCCCGTCGTGGTCCACCCCCTGGCGCCTCAATCGTGGTCAACTCGGTCCTCGTACCGGTTCGGGCCCAGATGAAATATCTGGGCCTGATCCTCGACGGGAGGTGGCTCTTCGACGAGCACTTCCGACAGCTTGCTCCAAAGCTGGTCGGCGCTGCGTCTGCCCTAGGGCGACTCTTGCCCAATATGGGTGGACCCAGCGTCGCGACAAGACGGCTGTACACGGGGGTTGTCCGGTCAATGGCACTGTACGGTGCACCGGTGTGGGCGGCGGCTCTGACCGCCCAGAATAGGGTACGCCTCTGGCGCCCTCAGAGGGTAATGGCGGTCAGAGCCATACGCGGTTACCGCACCGTTTCTACGGAGGTGGCGTGCGCGTTGGCCGGAACTCCCCCGTGGGATTTGGAGGCGGAAGTGCTCGCCGAGGTTTATCGGCGAGTGGCTGACTCCCGGGCGGAGAGCGGATTTCGCCCTCCGCCCGAGGATGTGCGCGAGTGGCGCGAAGCCGCTCGCCGAGCCACGATGGCTCGTTGGTCGTTCCGGCTGGAGACTCCACGCGCTGGCTTCGCCGCCGTGGAGGCTCTCCAGCCGGTCATCGCCGAGTGGGCAGGGCGGCAGCACGGGACCCTTTCCTTCCGACTGACGCAGGTGCTTTCCGGGCACGGTTGCTTCGGAAAGTACCTGCACACGGTCGCTAGGAGGGAACTGAGTCCCGCCTGCCACCACTGCGACTGCAGTGAGGACTCGGCCCAGCACACGCTGGCGGTCTGCCCCGCATGGGCGGCGCAGCGCCGGGCCCTCACTGCAGTCATCGGAGTGGATCTCTCGCTACCGGCCGTAGTACGCTCCATGGCCGGTAGCGACAGTTGTTTTACCGCGGTCGCAACCTTCTGCGAGGTAGTAATCTCGCGGAAGGAGGCGGCGGAGAGGGCCCGGGAGGACGACCTCCACTCGGACCCGATCCGCCGCCGGCGAACCGGGCGGCGGAGGCCCGCCTACCACAGCCTCATGCCGCCCTGAGTGTGGCCGCGGGTGGACGGGGTGGGTTTCCCCTCCACCCGCATTAGTTTGGCCAGCCGCGAGGGGGCGGCGTCCGCGTGTGCCGGACGTCGCCTATAAAGAGAGGAAAAAACACTGAGACGGAGCCCGCACCAGGAGCGGGCTGGCGCTAGGAGGGGTCCGGATGTCTTAACAACAGCTGTTCCCGGATCCCTCCTGTTACAGGCGCAGAGTGGCACACCGTGTGGTTTTAGTCGGTCCGAGTCCGACACACCACCCCGCCGCAAACCCCGGAGGGGTGACGGTCCGAGGGGATTTCCACACGTTAAAAAAAAAAAAAAAAAAAGAAAAAGGGTTTGTATCAAGTTTTCCTTCTTTTTGCAGTGCTGGTGTCCTGCGTTCTTTTGCGCCCTTAGTCGCCTCTTACGACACGCACGGGATGATTTGGGGTAGTGACATTCCGTATTCTTAATCCGTCACTACACGGACTTTATTACTTACCTGTAAATGCTCTGAGTTCCTCTGTTCCTGGGTTTCGTAGGAGCTCCTTGTGCTGATTGAGGTGGTTGGAAATCGGGAGACACTGACATTATTTTTAAGATTTTCTTCGGACTGAAACGAAGAGGTTGCGTTATAAATGCGAAAGTTTGTGAGTGTGTGTTTTTGTATGTTTGTTACTTGTACACGCTCAAACGGCTGGACCAATTTTGATAAAATTTGGTATGGAGATAGCTGACACCTTAAATTAATTTTGTCCCGAAAAATGAGCTTCCCGTGAGATGAGCAAAGAAATAATACACGTTTTAGCGTATGTGATAAATCTTAGCATTTAACCTTAATTTTATTATTTGGTGTACTTTTACTTTTCGTGGTATTTCTATGACGCAGCCAAACGAATTGTGCTGGTGCTGGTGTCGAGGGTGTTCTGCTTAATTTGTATTATTTATTTTTAATTATGAACAAGTATTATTAAGTATTACTAAGTGGGGTACAGAGGCCTATATTCAGCATTGGATTGCGATGGGCCGACGATGATTACTAAGCAGAATACAACTGTTGTTTATTTACATTAGAAGTGACTGACTTCACGGATGGCGTAGTGGTTTAAGCGGTCGCCGCTTTCTACTGTGCCGAGTGTTGTGGGTTCAAACCCCACATGGGACGACACTTTGTGTGATCCACAAATTGTTGTTCTGAATCTGGGTGTTCTTTTTGACCGTTTCATGTGTGTTTGTAAAGTACCCGGCGACACAGAAATGTATTCCTAATGCGGGAGTTGCCATTAAAAAAGACAAAGACAAATGGACTCACAACGCAATAAATTTGAATCGATCTTTCCCGCCAAAATCTGGGGTTGGCACACTCTTCCTCTCCTTGACACGGTCCAAATAAGCATGGTATGATCTATCTACATGGTCCGGCAGACGACAATTCGGATGGTACACTGTAAATGAGATTTTTTTTAACAAAAATCTTTGTAAATTGAGCAAAACATATAATTTTTCATATTTAATGGTATATGGTGGTATTGCTTCCCTGTTTAAAAGGGTGTGTGCCCATTTTACTTCATTTTGTCCCCCGCTTTGCTAAGGAGGGAAGTGGATTTAATGGTATATGGGTGGAAACGAACTGATGGGTCATCTGATGGTAAATGTTCATCGTCCATGAACCCCGTTATCCCTTTTTTTGGTCTGTTCCTAAATCCCCTTTGGATACCACCCACCGGTGGTTATGTCGGACTCGAACCGACCAAAAACCGCACGCCGTCTCGGGTACCAGTTGACGTGGAACCAGGTGTACCCTAGGAAGGAAAATCCGTTATCACTGTGGTGACGGATTAAGAATACAGAGTGTCACCACCCCTGTTCGTCCGACTAAGGGAATAAAGTACGCAGGACAACAGCACTGAGAGCACAAAGAGAAGGAAAACTTGACACAAACCCTATACCAATCCGTCTGGCCAGCGTAGTATAGAGGGCCAAGACCTCCTTTCTAAGGAGGGGCCTATGTCCAGCAGTGAGCATAGACAGAAGATAAATAATGTTTTTTCTTTACTAATTATTTTGTGGAATGTGTTTACACTGTAAAATTATGCTCTGATATTGTAAATATACTTACATACTTGAATTCTTGGGAATTTGAGTAGTTCTGAGAACATATTCCCGTAGTCAGGATGTATAGACTGAAAATAATATCAATTAGATAATTGAACATTTTGTAACATTCTGAAGTTTTGTTTTTTATGTATCTATGTAGTTTTCAGGTTAGAGCAAATGAGCAGGCGGGTCACCAGGGCCTCAATTCTGCTATTTTACGTTAACGTGACACGCTATTGAGATGCCATTGGCATCGGTCAAAATGTCGGTATTCTACTGTCATAAATTCACAGTGTCAGTAGACTACCGATGTAGTAAAAATGGCTCACAAATGGTGATACGGACACCATTGCCATATCTGGAAAATTTCCTTATCATTTCCTTACAAATTTAAAATATACCGTTTACCGACTATTACAAAGACATCAACGATATTTGTATCAGTGGCAGTTCAGTAGCAAGTCATCGAGAGACCATTGGACTTACATATGTAGTTAGTAGAATACGAAAAGTGGTTAACTATTCCGATGACATTCCACCGACAGTCTATTGATACAATATTAAAATAGCAGAATTGAGGGCCTGATGGTAAGTGACTATCTCCGCCCATGAACCCTAGAGAGTACTTTGTGTCCGTTTCATGTATGTTTGTAAAGTCCCCCGCGACATAGGATTTATTCCTAGTGCGGGAGTTGTCTTTAAAAAAAAAAAGAAAAAAAAGGAATCTCCACTCTACCACATGTCGTCTCCAGCGACCATCAGTTTCGTTTCGAATTTTATCGACTAGTGAAACATCCAGTTTTGTATACATTCAGTTGAAATTAGCCTTTGGTGTCAAATCCATAGGTAAATTATGTTAATGTCAACTTGCTACCCAGGAATTCTTAAGATATGGGTCTTGGCAGACAGCTTACCAACGAGGTGTTCCTTAAGAAGTTTTCACTACAATTAATATTTTAATTGGTTACCATTTGTGCAGAAGCCATGGCTGCCTTGAAAGCTGTCCGCGCATAATCTCTCGCTCCGGACACTATGAAAGCGGAATCTGTAAATATGTAAAATAAATAAAATATTTTAAAATAACATTTGTTTATTTACTTTATTAACTGCTTTGCCTTTAAAGGACTGCCTCGGTGGTGCAGTGGAAGTGTATTCGACTGCTGTGCTGTGGTCTCAGGTTCGATTCCCGGGTCGGACTAAGTGTTTGTATGATCTTCAAATATTTGTTTTGAAGTTTGGGTGTTTTATATATATAATATGTATGTATTACGTTATTGAATATGGTCCATTTGTAACTAAGCCTTTGCAACCTGCTCGAAACGTCAGGTATTTTAAAAGTATACAATACCTATTACTGTAATTTCTGTTGATGAGTATCCAACGCGACAGGAATGCGAAAGTTTAAAAGCTAGCAGAGTAAATCGTTAGAGGCGTTTCTAAGATCATCACATCATCATCAACAGCCTATACTAGTCCACTGCTGGACATAGGCCTCTCCTTAGAAAAGAGGTTTTGGCCTACTATACCACGCTGGCCAGACGGGTTGGTATAGGGTTTGTTTCAAGTTTTCCTTCTCTTTGCAGTGCTGTTGTCCTGCTTAGTTTGCTCCCTTAGTCGGCTCTTACGACACCCACGGGATGAATTGGGGTGGTGACAATTTGTATTCTTAATCCGTCACCACACGGACCGTTTACGTTACGTTACGTTACGTTTCTAAGATACTTATTTATAACTAGCTGAGACCCGCGGTGTTACCCGTGTTTGTTATTATAACCGCGGGCAACGCCGCGGGGCGAAGCTAGTCTAAAAAAAGTAGCCTAAGTTACTCCTTATGTCATCAGCTATCTGCCAGTGAAAGTCCCGTCGAAATCGGTAATGCCGTTACAGAGATTACCCGGAACAAACAGACAAACAGACAGACAGACAAAAAATGAAAAAAATGTTATTTTGGCATATGTACCGTGTAGGCCAAAACCTCCTTTCGAAGGAGAGGCCTATGTCCAACAGTGGACTATTAAAGGCTGTTGATGTATGATGATATGTTTAGTTTATTTTTCAATCGCCGTCTCAATGAACGTCAAATTAATGACTACTCCGATATTTAAGACAACCTCAGCTAAATGTTTCTAGCATTAGTACAAGTGTAATAAAATAATAATATTACCGTACAAATAATCGTGTACCCGCATTTTGGACACGCTGGGTTTTCTTGGAATCTCGTAAGTTGTTTCTGCACACATTGTCACCACAAAACTAAAAAAAATAATACCGTACCACACACTTGTTGCTAAAAAAGCATCTGAAATCTTTTTATTGATATAACGCAGATAGTGGCAGGAGTAACCATGGCAACAAAGCTAAATATAGTTGATACGCGGTATATGTAGCATTGTATCGACTGATACGTCCTCTTTGGTTTGCTTTTGTGCGTGTTACCACCGCGCTATTCATCCCGTGGGTTTTTAGTAAGAGCCGATTAAGGGAGAAAACTACGCAGGACAACAGCACCACAAAGAGAAGGAAACCTTGTCACAAAAACTTAATTTTTGGAACAAAGTTATCCTTATATTAGGGGAACCCTAGAAGTGAGCGTGTCAGATTAACATAGGAGGAATACCTTAAACCCAGTTGAGTACCTCCACCGTACATGAGCCCTACATATAGGGGGGATCATCTAGGGCAGCCCATCATTAGCAAAAAACCGATGGCCAGAAATACTCGAGCGTGTAAGGTTAAGGTGAGTTCAGTCAATTACACACACATTGGTTTGTATTTAAAAAATCTGTCGATTTGAACGTGACTGCACGGATGGCGTAGTGGTTTAAGCGGTCGCCACGCCGCTTCCTACTACGCCGAGTGTTGTGGGTTCAAACCCCACATGGGACGACACTTTGTGTGATCCGCCCCCGTGACACAGGATTTATTCCTAATGCAGGAGTTGTCTTTAACAAAAAAAAAAAAAAACAACATAAAGCAGTGGGAGGGTCACTAAATTATAAAAAAATTCATATGACCTTCATATTTTTTTATTTTGAAGCAGACAATGAAAGATACCTTTTTTAAATGTCTACAAAATTTTTCGTACCTTTATTATATAACAAACGGTCTACTATCGAACACTTCTTCGCACGCACGTGTTGGTGAAGCCTTTGTTCAGACCTCCACTCCTCTACGGCCTCGCTCTTTGCGTCCGTCCTGGGGGAGCCCCACCCAATGGACTTTGCGTTAAAGTCCCCTAGCACAAGGACATGCTCCAAGCTGTTGAGGAAAACCTCGTAGTCACTGAAACGGTTGGGAAGTATACACCGTATCGTAGCGGCTCTCTGCCAGCGACTCACGCGTAGCTGAGGGCTTAGTGTAGGTTTATTTCACTTCTACTCGCTCTCGACAGAGAGCACGTTTGGCGTAGCGATTGGTGAAGATTACAGCGCGGCCCAATCACAGCGCCAAACGCGTAGAAGTGACATAAACTCACACTAAGCCGGTTCCGTCTCGCTTGCACTCGTGGATCGTCGCACACGTAGCACCGTTGGCAGCCGTCCTTCTTGCTCATCGACGTGATCCGTCGTAGCACTCTGTGCGTAGTGTAGATGAATTTAGCTGATCACGTCACTGTCTCATTGGTCCGGCGGTATGACGAAGTGGTTTCATTCACCGAGTCACCGAGTCGGGCGGGGGACACCATAACAAATAACAACAAATAAAATAGTAACATATTAACACCGTATAATGTTATTTGGTTCTTTCTATTAACGCCCAGGGGGTGGTGTAACTGGTGGCGGCGAGCGCGTTGCGAAGCGCGCTTGCTTCCAGGGAGCAGAGGGAACATGGGGTTCCCACACGGAGGGGGGGTCGTCTACTGGTCTGTAGATGGCCCGTGTTATATTTGTAGTATGAAATAAAAGATCTAACGTTTATATGACGACATCTTGTTTTATTATTATGTGTGCAAACTCATTCTCCCTGGTGTTGCCACAGCTCACACCTACATGTATTACATTCATATCGAACATCCCCCCTTGTATGACAAGTAGGATAAACAGTAACACACAAGTCTCTGTTAAGTTGGCACTTATCTTAAACTTAATAAAATTACTTTTAAACATAACAAAAGGTTACAGACTAAGAATAGCCATCTTAATACACACAATAATCTTTTAAATATTGCGGTGTCTTAACTACTCTACCTGACCTAGTAGTAAAAGGAACCTCAGTAGTAACATTTTGTTTCCTAGAAATGTTAGGAACAACATTATTATTTCCCAGTCTATTATCCCTAACAGGATCATCACTATCCAGTACTTCCCTCTTAATAACTAATTTATTCTTGCTAGGATTTATATGCTTTTCATTCCTTCGAACTACATTGCCTTCCTCATTCATAATTTTGTAAGATCTCGGTTTAACTTTCTCTAAAACTTTCCCCGGCAACCATGTTTTATTAGGCACATTCTGTATTACAACATTCTCCCCCTTTTGAAATGATTTTTTTAGTTTTAGCTGTCCTATTATAATTCTGTGTATACTTTTCTTTAATTATTTTCATTTTTTCTGTGACATTAATAGGTAATTTTGGCTTTAATTTATCATATACACATGGTAATGTAGTTCTAAGGAGTCTTGACATGAGTAACTCAGAAGGACTGTACTCTAACCCTGCTACAGGTGTAGTTCTGTATGCTAACAAGCTCATCGCAAACTCTGTACCATCTTCTTTACATTTTTTTAACAAAGACTTTATAATTCCAACAGCTTTTTCAGACAAACCGTTTGACTGTGGATATTTAGGACTAGAGTGAATCAATTCGATATCATACTCTTTGGCAAACTTTTTAAACTCAAAACTAGAAAATGGCATATTATCACTTACACAGAACTTTGGAATACCATGAACTGACATAATTACTTTAAACTGTTTAACAACATTGCTTGCAGTTTTCTCTTTTAAATATTTGACCTCTACCCACTTTGAGTAATAATCAATTAATACCAAAAAATCCTTCCCTGAAAAGGTACAAATATCTACACCAACCTTGTGAAATGGAATATCTGGCACCTCATGAGACATTAAAGGCTCTTTTGCATTGGATGGTCTAAACTTTTCACAAGCTTTGCAGCCTAACACAAAGTTTTCTATGTCCACTGTCATACCTGGCCAAAACAATACCTTTCTAGCACGTTGTTTGCTCTTTACAACACCAGCATGACCTTCATGAATTCGCTTGATCATATCTTGCCTTAAATGCTTTGGAATAACTAACCTATCCTTATAGTATATAATATTGTTATAAACATGTATGTTATTTCTCAATTTATAAAAAATCTTTAACTCTTTGTTATAAAAATTTCTGTCATTACTAGGCCAACCATTGTTATACCAGTTGAGCACACTTTGCAAGTTTGTATCTCTCAATGTTTCATTTTTTAAGTTTTGTAATCTTTCTTGAGAAATAGGCAATTCTTTCTCTAATCCATACACTATTTCTGTACTAATAGTATGTATAATTTCTTGCAAAGTAGGCTCTTCCTGCTTGTTATCACAAAAGTTTCTAGACAAATAGTCAGCTATATACATCTGCGACCCTGGTATATACTTAATCTCAAAATTATATTTTAAAAGTTTGAGAACCATCCTTTGCAACCTGGCTGAAATTTTACTTATATCTTTTGTCATGATTGCTACCAAAGGCTTGTGGTCAGTTTCAATTAATATTTTGCGTCCATACACAAACTGATGATATTTTTCAACTGCCACACAGATTGCAAAGAGCTCTTTTTCTATAGGAGCCCACCTAGTCTGACACTCAGTATAGGACCTTGAATAGAATGATATTGGTCTCCCCTCTTGCATTAAACATGCTCCCATACCATTTTTTGAGCTGTCTGTTTGTAAAACTACATTTCCTTTACTACTTAACATTGCTAATGTAGGCGCACTAGTTAATTTCTCTTTTACCTCACTAAAAGCCTGCATTTGGGCTGATCCCCAGTTCCATTCTACATCTTTTCTTAACAAAACTCTCAGTGGATCTGTTATTTTTGAATACTGTGGAATGAACTTACTTAAGTAGTTACACATCCCTAAAAATTTCTGTAGTTGTTTTACATTTTTTGGCTCTTCTAGGCTAATTATTGCTTTTATATGATCTGGATCTACACTAATTCCTTCTTTATTTATTATCAACCCTACATACTTTACATGTTCTTGTCTATATTGCAGTTTTTTACTATTAAACTTAACATTATACATTTTGGCTCTATTCATTACTTTAGTTAGAATCCTATCATGGCTTTCTTTGTCCTTTCCTGCGACTATCAAATCATCGAAATATATCATAACTCCTTCTATATCTCCAAATATCTTAGTGTTCATTTTTTGCATCACTTCAGGTGCTGAGGAAATACCAAAAGGCATCCTATTAAACTTATACCTACCAAAAGATGTTCCAAATGTACAAAGATTTTTATCATCCTCTAATTTTATTTGAAAAAATCCGTCCTTCATGTCCAACACACTAAACACTTGTTTTCCTTGTAAACTATTATAAATCTCCTCTGGAGACGGTATCAAAAAATGCTCTCTTAAGATATTATTATTTAACTCCTTCGGATCTAAACATAACCTAAGAGACCCATCAGGTTTTTCAATAATTACTAAGTTATTACACCACTCAGTTGGACCCTCTACTTTTTCTATCACACCTCTTTTTTCATAGTTATCTAAGGTTTCTTTTAATTTATTTTTAATTGCATGAGGAACTCGCCTTATGGGTTTTATGACAGGAACTGCATCTTCCTTTAACTTTATTTTATATGTACCTATGTCACCAAGACCATTAAAAACATCTTTATACAGTTTTATAAAATTTTCTTTGGTTGAATCGAACTGTGAGAGACTTTCTACTCTTTTCACTAAGTTTAACTTAATACAATCAGGTAAGCCAATCACTGGCTGCACTGGTAAGTCAATAATATTAAATTTTAACACTATCTTTTCATATTTCTAGTAACAGTCCAATTCAGCCTGTCCTACAGTGTTAATTCTTTCTCCATTATACACAATTAGTACATTTTTAGATCTTTCTAACACACAGCTATTATTTTTTATCTTATTATAAGTTTGTAAGGACAAAGTATTACAGTCTGCCCCAGTATCAATTTTAAAGTTCAACTCCTTTTCACATACCTTTATCTTGACTAACCACTGTTGTTTTATACTGTTATTAGTTATCACACTCGA